GCAGGATAAAGAATTCTTGCAATACTTTAAATATTTTCACTTCACTCCTCTCTTGCTTTTATGGTTTCTGAGAAGTCAGCTGTAGTTTTTATCTTTGCTCCTCTGAGAGGGCTTTTAAGGATATTTTTTTTCTTAATTTCTGACAGTTAAAAAAATAATAGGCTTAGGTGTAGTGTTTGGGGCATTAAATTTTTTTAATAAATTTAAAGTATTGTGAGAATTGGTTTTCCCTAAGTTTCCTGTATCTGTCATTTAGTGTCTGATATTAGTTTTAGGAAATTTTTGGTCATTAGTATTTCAAATATTCCTTCTGTTCCTTTCTTTTTCCTCCTGGTATTCTTATTATATGTATGTTTCATTTTTCATAGTCATTTTTCCTGAAATTCTTGGATATTTTGTTCTTTTTTTTTCAGTTTGCTCTTCGATTTTGGAGGTTTCTATTGAGATATTCTCTGTCTCAGAGATCCTTTCCTCAACCATGCCAATTGGCCCATCAAAGACATTCTTCACTTCTAATTGTGTTTACTTGTAGCTTTTCAATTTGGTTCTTTATTGGAATTTCCATCTCTCTGCTTACACTGTCTATCTTTTATTGCACACTGTCTATTTTATCTATTATGGCCCTTAGAATATGAATCATAGTTATTTTAAATTCCTGGTCTGATAATCCCAACATTCCTACCGTATCTGAGTCTGGTTCTAATGTATATTGTGTATCTTCAAATTGTGTTTTTTGTCTCTTAGTTTTGTCTTATACTATATCTGGATATGATATATTAGGTAAAAGGAGTGGCTGTGACTGGGTCTTTAGTAATATGGTGGTAAGAAACAGAGAGAGGAGCAATATACTATACTCCTATGCTTAGGTCTCAGTGGTCTAGGGAGCCTGTGCCTCTGAACTGTGACTTTCACATATGTTTCTCAGTTCCCTCTAACTTTTAGCAGAACTGGATAACTAAAGGGGCAGGAGTTGAGTATTTCCCTTCCCCCAGATTGATTAGGCTCTGATAAAACTCCAGCGGTGGGCTCTGGTTAAATACTCTCTTCCAAGGGTGAGCCTTGTTAAGAATACCAATATGTTGTTTTTTTTTTTTACTGATCAGACTGTACTGAGATTTCTCTTTTCAAAGCTTAATTTTCTTTATTTTATCTTTACTTTTCCGGTTTGTTGATTTCTGATCTTATTTTTAGCATTTTAGTATTTATATTTCTTTTGCATTTATTATGTTTTCTAGTTTCTTAGTTGGACAGTTAATTTCCAGTGGATTTTTGTTGAAATCTCAGCCCCCTGCACTCTGAGTGCTAAAGAATCCTAAAGGACCCCAGAAGAATTTTTGAGCCGGGAATGATCAGTGGCCTAGACCTGATCCCTAACTGTGCTGTTGCTGGTCCCTAGGACCTGCCACAGGTGGTCATCTGAGGGATGACCTCAGATGAGGTCATCCTCCATGAGGCCGTTTCAAAACATACACTCAGAGTTTCACCTCTTGGCTTAATTGCTTATACTTTTCTTGGTTATAGTTGTTAGGCCAAAGAACTATTGAAATGTGGCACTTCTTGGACTTAGCATGTAACTCTTTGTGCTTCAGGTTAGGAACTCAGGGAGGTGAGGTGGTGGTATCTAACATCACACAATTGTTCAGGGATGGAGGGGAACCTAGGAGATGAGACTTCATAGCCTGGGCTCCTTCCACTCAGCCAACCACCTCAACATGAAAAGTGTTCATGTTACAAAGTGGCAAGGTCACTTGCATGACCATTTCCAAATGTGATCCAAGTATGAAGCTTCTATTTGTGACACCAGAAAATGCAACTGGAAGGAAGTATGGCAGGGACAGTGAAAACTGTGTGACTTGCTTGCTCCAAGAATGCTGGTGTGTTTTGCTTCTCTGACCATCAATGGTCCAATATTTGTGCCTGTTGTGTGCCGAGGACTTATCTTGCAGCATTCTAGTGTGGACTTTAGTCTCACTTTGAATATTTTTCTTTCTACTTTTTGACTTCTGAGGAGTAGAATGGCTTGAGGAAGCAAAGTAGTGAGACATCAAGTGCTAAATAAGCCAACAGCCAAGTATCTTTGATGCTGTGGCAAAGACCCAGTGCAACAGTGGATAATATTTCTGTTTCTGAAGAAAAAAAAATGGGTACTTAAAAATCATTTACTCTGTAGGCCTCATTTTAAAGAAAAGAAATGACATTTATCTTCATTTTTGCTGAAGTCTCTTTTGTATCTCTTCCGGGCTCTTAATATATTTTTTATTTTTTTTTGCAGACCTGACCTGGATTATGAGTTGGCTTGTTCAGGGCAGAAGTCTCCCTGAAACCCCTGCTTCTCAGTAGCCTCAAGAGAGGGGGTTACACAAGTTCTGAACATTCAGGGTTTGAAGCCAAGACCTGGGTGGCTGTGCTGCTTTTGCAGCTGTGGTTTAAATTAGAAGCATTCTACCTTCTCAACTGAAAGTTTACAGAGATCCAGATTTTTGAAAAGGATTTTCTGACACATACAAGACTTGCCTTGGCCTCAGCTTGCTTGATTTAGGATGGATGGAGGGCAACAAAACTCAGATCGAGGAGACCCGTGCCTTTGTTACATTAATGAGAGGCAATCAATCTCCTTGTTCTATTAGGATGGAGAGTATTATGAATTTACATTTTATGTTGATTGCTTTAAATAACTCCTTCATTCTCCCCTCATTATTGTCTCCAAGGGCTCAGATATAGAAAAAATGCAAATGTCATACTACTTACTAGAGAATCCTGGTCATTTCTGGCAGTAGAATAACATGGAGATCATAATCCTTGTCTTGGTGGGCCACAAAATGAACTCATTCTCCCTGCCTCCTGAGCTTGAACAGAGGATGAGGTCCCACCATTTCTCCTACCACACACACCACCATTGCTGCATTCATACAAAGTAGGGCACCTAGTACCTCCAGAGAACTTTCACTGGGCTTCAACTCTGTGTGGCCTTACAGCATACCCGGTTTGGGGTTCCGTTTAAAGGCTGCAAGAAAATTGTTGCATAAACATACTAACCCAGAGAACTCACCTTTTAAGGGACCAATGGTACTCACCATCCACATGGAGAAACTTGCAGATGCCATGTGCTGCTTTGGGACTCTCGTGGCCTTATTTAACACTAGCTTCTCTCTCCAGGTGCTTAACCTTTGCTCAGTAATGTTTTCTTCCCATCTTGACTGCTAAAATCTTTCATCTCATGGATTCATCCCAAAGCACTTTCTCTTTGATCTTTTGTAACTTGAAAGACTGCACTAAATTTATGAAGCTCATAATATAAACAAAAAAGAAGAAAATAGTATGAAGCCTTGATTTTGAAAATCAAAACCACAAAGGTATGTAAACAAGTACCAGTCACTCCTATTCCTTAGAAAAAAGACCAAAAAAAAAAAAAATGAGGAGACACTTTGCAAGTTCATAATATTGGGTTTGGGATGTAGAGTAGCTGAATTTTAAATGGCAGGTTTAGGAGCATACAGATGTGAGTTCCAGTTTCAACGGTGGCCTATTTACCAATGTGACTTTGCATCTGTTATTTATTTCTCCTTTAGGAATTGGTTCTTCATCTACAAAATAAGAACAATAATAGTGCTTGTTACTAGGGCTGCTGTCAATGTCAAATAGAACAAATGTGTAGCCAGAGCCAGGCACAGAGTAAGGTTTGATGAATGGTAGAATTTATAATTCATTGTTTGACACAATAAAATAGAAAAAAAATACAGGATGGCATGACTTGATTTTCACTTTAGGCAATCCACTTTGTGCCTAAGTTCCTCTAAAATGAGTGAGTTGAACTAAACATAACCCCTTAAGATTCCCCTTCAGCTCACAGACTGGAATAGGACTGATAGATTGGCTTACAGCTTCAAAACTTCAGGTTGTCTTGATTTCTTGTGAAGGACTGGAACCAAGTCCCAAACTGCAGAATATCAGAGTGACAATAGAATTAGGTAAAGCCATAGGATGGCATTTCTCATGTCAAAGGTCCCTTTTCTAAAGAGGTAAAATATTAAACAATAGCACCCTGTCTGAATTGGAGCAAGATACCCATACATAGTGTTGCAAATACATTTGTAAACAAGTAAGCAGGACATAGAGACCCTCGCTTGTTAACACATCAGAAATGGATCCATTCATTTTTTTGTTCAAGGGGAAAATGAATGAACTCAATCTGTGTTTCATTATGATATTTACTTCCAATATCTTTAATATCCTATTTGTTCCATGAAAGGAACATTTCAAGGTAGCTGAACATGCTGGAGGAGTGACCAGAATTGGAAAACTCTTTCTTCATGCTTTGCTTGTTAGTTGTACACAAATTATGTTCCTCATTCTAAAGAGAAAGACATGACATGAACTATGGAAAGTCACTGCTTAGTTTTTTTTTTATGTTTGTTTTGTTTTTTGTTTTGGTGTGTATGTCTTCTCTCAAATTTAGGGATAAAGGGAGATAGTTACCTTTCTAATTAGCAAGGAAGAGGGGAAAACAGGGAATTTTGACCACATCTAGAAATAATTATTATTCAAAGATGAAATACACCTACATGTTCATGATGATGAGATTACCTTACAGGTTTTAGACTGTGTCCCAACTGTGAATTCTGAATTGTCATGACAATGAGTGAACAGAGAATGACACAAGGGTCCAGGGAAACGAGTAATAGGGGGACATAATATCATTGGAACTAGAACGCACCTGTCTGCTCCGACTGACCACCCAACATGCCATGTCTCTACAGGTCTGGGGACCAGGACAAATTCTTACAACTCTGTAAATGATGCTTCATTTTTCTCAAAGGCACTTCACCAATTAGAAGGTCAGTAAACCTCCGACATTCTTGTCCCCTGTCACACCCAGTTCATTGTATCATTTCATGTCCTGTTGTGTATGCGAGTCTGGATTCATAAATAACATCCATAGATGTTTATATTTTTGCTTTTTCAGATTTCGAGTTGGAGATTTTTCAGGACATAATATGAAAATGTGGCTGATTTTGTTCCTCATAATAACTTGTTTCCATGTTTCTGTGAACCAAGATTCTGGTAAGGAAAAAATATGAAAAGAATTCTTTTCCTTAATTTTCACCATAGTAAAGAGATGATAAGTGAGTTTGACCTACTTAAAAGTTAAGTTTTCTATCACTTTGTTTTGATTTTCATAGTAGCGAGGATGGGAATGGTAGGTCAACTTATTTTGTTTCAAGATTACTCTCTGTTCCTTTGAAAATTCTGGACTTTATTCCTTGTTAGTGATAGAAAGATATGGAAGTTGTCATTTTGTCCTCAGTTTCAACCCATTTTGGGTCTTCTGGGAGGTTACATGAAAATTCTGTTACTATTAGGTTCAGGCCTGGAAAATTTGGAATGTCTCTTTCTAATTCATTTGTGCCAAAAGGTTGTCTTGGTTAAGTGTCCAGATTTTGCTCCAATTTAAACTGCTAGTCTGTTTATCATAAAGAACAGGCTTTCACCCTGGAGAGAAAGTTCCGTAGCTGTCTACCGTCTGTCAGCAATCTGTGTGCCATGGAATTAAAGTCCAAACCCTGACTTGCCCTTCACCACCTCTACTACCTAATCAAGTAATTGGTTCTTGTGCTGGTCAGTTCATGTCCAGGACCACCTACATCAGCTTTTACAGCTTCCTTGAGGTCTCTGACCTTGGAAGCAACTTTTACAAAGAGATAAACTAGACTTTGCCCTGCAAATGTTGTCCTTCAATGTCTCACTGAGTCTTCAACTTTTAAAGGAGAGGCAAATTTTCCTCCCAGTCATTTCATGGTTCAGACATAACGAAGGACCTTTTTGGAAGCTGAATCTGCCTCCCGTGCCAATCACCTATGCTTCCTTTCCCTGTACAACATATAGGGATTTACTAAAGGTCCCCAGTGGTCCTGAGTGGAGCCACCCTGAGCAGGGCTCACCTGGCCATCCAGCCTGAGGTCTGATTGCCCTCACTTATTTCTGCAATGCTGTATGATCATGACAGGAACCTCAGGTGGGACTGGGATCAGGTTATGTAAAAGACAAGAAAGAATTATCCACTATGTCTGGATCAGACAGACCACTGTAAGGAAAAATGAAATAACTCAAGGAACTAAAGCTGGTTACCTAGCAATTGCAGGAAAGAAAATATTGAAGTTATTTTAATTTGATTAGAATTTTTATAGTAACCATTTCAGATGGTGAGAATCTCAGAGGGAGGAGGAACCTTAGGTGGTTTCTAGTTGAATCTATTTAAAGTAGAGGGAACTAAAGACCAAGTATATTGGATGGTTTGACAGAGCTCAGAGAGTTAGCTGATGACACAGTCAGGGTCTCATTACTTTTTTTATGATATATTTATTTCTTTTTATTTATTTATTTATTCATTACTTGTTGATACACACTGTCTTTCCTTAAATATAAACCACACATGTGTACATTCCCCTCTTTTCCCTGGACAAGAAGTGGATCTTATGCTTAGGTACTGAGAACTCTTGCTCTAAATGACCACCAGTAAATGACATCAGTGTTTGAACCCCTGTGATTCTCTACTTGTAAATATACAATTCTAGATACCTAACATCAAATCTAACATTAAATGAAGTTTTAGAAGTTCAACAAAATATTACGTTTTCATATAAAAATTATTTGTTTTTAAAACTATAATCCCTTTTTTAGCCTAAAATATACTAGTGCCATCATATTTTGCATATGTGAAAATAAATTTATCAATTATGACACTCAATCACATAAGTCTTCAAAAATATTATAAGTAACTTTAAAATAGATTAAGCCAATCCCGTATTTTCATTATTTGTGTATTTTTAAATTTCATCAACTTGATACTTTAGAATACAAACTAATATGTTTATAAGTTAACTTGTTGCATTGCATAACTAAGAATCACAATGAAAGACTTTCAGATTTCAACACTCAAATCAATTAGAAGGAGCCTGATTCTCAAATAAAATTTGTATCCTGTCGAGATCGAATTGAGATAGAATTCTGAAAGCCAAAAATACATATATTAGGAGAAATTATCTACTAACAGTCTAAACACCCATGATGTTTTACTTCTCTAATTTGCCTATTCCTAATTAGCTAATTTTTTTTTTTTTTTTTTTTTTTTGCAAAAGTGATGCTTAATTTTGTGAGATGCTCAAATGAGAAACTGTGTAAAAGAATTAGCCCAATAGGGCTGGGGTTGTGGCTCAGCAGTAGAGCGCTCACCAAGCACATGCGAGGCCCTGGGTTTAATCCTCAGCACCACATAAAATTTTAAAAAATAAAATAAAAGTATTGTGTCCAACTACAACTAAAAAATAAATATTTTTTTTTTTTTAAAGAATCAGCCCAAGAAATCAGTATTTCTTTTTCTTAAGAGAAAGTGCAGTTTTGGACTCTCAATGAATCCGCTCATTGAGAAGGCACTTAAAAAATAAAATGAAATGAAAAGTAAGTTTTCCCCTATATGGTTGGCATTAAAATTTTCGCTTTGTTTACATGTTTGTTTCTGGTTTCCCAGGCCCTGAGTATGCAGATGTGGTGTTTCTGGTGGACAGCTCTGATCACCTGGGAGTTAAGGCCTTCCCATTTGTGAAATTTTTCATCAATAAAATGATCAACAGTCTCCCTATCGAGGCCAACAAGTATCGTGTGGCCCTGGCCCAGTACAGTGACATGCTCCACAATGAATTCAACCTGAATACCTTCAGGAGCAGGAACCCCATGCTGAACCATCTCAAGAAGAACTTTGGGTTCCTTGGCGGATCCCTGAGGATAGGAAACGCTCTTCGGGAGGCTCACAGGATCTACTTCTCTGCACCTTCTGATGAAAGAGACAGGAAACTGTTTCCTCCTATTTTGGTGGTCCTGGCTTCAGCAGAATCTGAGGATGATGTGGAAGAGGCTTCGAAGGCCCTGCGGGAAGATGGGGTGAAAATCATCTCTGTGGGGATGCAGAAGGCTTCCAAGGAAAACCTGAAGGCCATGGCCACATCTCAGTTTCACTTCAACCTTCGGACGGTCAGAGACCTCAGCATGTTCTCCCCAAACATGACACAGATCATCAAGGATGCAACCAAGTACAGAGAAGGAACGGTCAATGATCGCCTCGTAGAAGGTGAAATTGGGATGCACATATAGGAGTGATGATAAAATGCTTTTGAAAAATCAGTACGGGGCGGGGGATAGGATTGCAACTCTTTGAATACTCCTTTCTCAAAATGGGCTGCATGTTCAGATATTAAATATCCATGTTTTCTGGAGGATCTGATAATTGTGAAGATTTTAAATCTAATGATACCCACAGGTCTTGATTCTCATGCTTTGCTTATTCATGGTGCACTTCATTCAGATTTCTTAAAATTCAGGATGCCCTCTTTCCTGCTCCTCAGCTTAAGTCTAAGCTATCTCCCTGGGATCTAGTTGTTACGTCATTTCATTACTGGCTCATTTAAAAGGTAACTTTGTTCCTAAAGAAATGTATGATTCCTGAAGCCACATAACTGTGATCAGAGAATGTTACAGCTAAAAAACAACTTTTGTTTGCCCAAACTCCTTATTCTGCAGGAAGGAAACTACAGGTGTCCTTACCAGTGATATGGCCTCACCCAGGGAACTGGGTGCAATTTGCAGTCAGAGCTAAGTCAGGTCTCCAGATTTCAAGCCAGGTAGTCAGCCCACAATGCCTCCCTCCCTGCTGCCCTGTTCTGAGTTAGTTTCTCCCCGATCTCCACAGCCAGGCTGCTGTCTGTTCTCTTGTCCTAGAAAGGCCAAGAGTTATAAACATCATGCAAATGAGGAACAGGAAGAACCAGTAAAAAACAATTTGCTCCAAATGTGCATGTCCAAATAAGTAGCATAGGAAACTCACATTATTCTCGGATAAATCAGTTTGAGATGACTTATTTAATGACCTATTAATCTTGTGGTAAGCCTATGACAATATGAATCCTTATTAGCAACATCTTTCCCAAATAAAGCAATTGAATGTGCATGTGTATTCATTACCATTCTTAGTAATACTTGGACTGTAACTGTTAATTATAATGGTAATGATGCTTCAATGATTTTAATATTTAACAGCTACTATTTGTCAAGTGACTCTTATGTATTAGTCACATACTAAGTATATTATCTCATTTAATTCTCATAGTATCTCTATGAGATGAGAATTGTATCTCCATTTGACAGTTGAGGAAATTGAAACTGGGAGATTCAGCAGTTAAACCCAGGTCCTTTTGATCTCAGCTTCCTACTCATTTCACACACCTCCTTCTTTCTTTAAGCAGATAACCAAGCTCTGGTGTATGTTCTCCATGTCTTCTGATGCTCAGCAGAAATGCCACATCTCCAGCTAATATCATGCCTGTTCATTCCTTGCCCACCACAGTGTGCCAAGGCCCTTCTGTGGCTGACGTTGTGTTCCTGTTGGATGTAGCCATCAATGGCAGCCAGGAGAACTTCGACTACCTTAAAGCATTCCTGGAAGAAAGTGTCTCTGCCCTTGACATCAAGGAGAACTGCATGAGGGTTGGCCTTGTGGCCTACAGCAATGAGACCAAAGTGATCAGTTCACTGAGCAGAGGCGTCAATAAGTCAGAGGTTCTCCAGCGTATACAGAGCCTGTCTCCCCGGGCCGGGCAGGCCTACACAGGGGCTGCCATCAGGAAGATCAGAAAGGAAGTCTTCAGTGCACAGAAAGGCAGTCGGAAAAATCAGGGTGTGTCCCAGATCGCGGTGCTGGTGACCCACAGAGCTTCGGAAGATAACGTGACCAAGGCAGCAGTTAACCTCCGGCGCGAGGGTGTGACCATCTTCACCATGGGCATCGAAGGCGCCAGCAGGACCCAGCTGCAAAAGGTAGCATCTCACCCTGCCGAGCAGTATGTCTCCATGTTGAGCAATTTCTCTGATCTGGCTGCCCACAACCAGACGTTCCTGAAGAAGCTTCGGAACCAGATAACACACACCGTCTCTGTCTTGTCAGAGCGCACGGAAACCCTCAAATCGGGTAAAGTCTTGCTGAGAGAAAGACTGTTCAGAACCTTTTGCTTTTTTCTTGTCTTTTGAATGTTTGCTTTTTTTTTCTTGTCTTTCTAATATTTATATATGCAAAAGGAATTGGTGGGAATATGATAATGATGTGGGTGGGCAGAATGAGTTCCTAATTTTTATTTTAACTTGATGATGTGAAGTCCAGTTAGGGGAGAATAAAATCTATAGCTAAAGAGGATTTCCCTTCTCATTTCCAATAGAGTGGCTCCATTTCCATTTGTCACTCTGTACCCCCTGGAATACCATCATTTGCTATTTCTCTCTCTTTTCTATGTTTTTCCCTGCTCCCTCACCCCCACCCTTTACTGGAAATTGAACCCAGGGGTACTCTACCACTGAGTTACATCCTCAACCTTTTTTACATTTTTTTTTTTTTTTATGTTGAGTCAGGGTCTTGCTAAGATGCCCAGGCTGACCTAGAACTTGCAATCCTCCTGCCTCAGCAGCCTGAGTTTCCTCTGCTCTGTATTTCTTTCTTTCTTTCTTTTCTTTTCTTTTTTTTTTGTACTTTTCACTTTCCTTATCTTCTTCCCTCATACCCCAATTCCAATTTCCAGAATAAACAGGAAGTGTGATTTGGATAGCAGACAAACTAATTAATTTGTCATGAAGTACTACTCCGGTGTCTGCAAGTTTCAGAAGAGAGAGGAAGGGCAATGTTTTTTTATGGTTTGCTATCTACATGTAAACACAGTGATGCTGTGGAAAGATTTTTATGCATGTATTTACACATCACATGTTCGTATATATTCTATAATAAGTGTTTACATCTCACTTACTATAAAAGTATCATTATCTTTCACACATAAGTTTGCTGACAATATCCATAACTCTAGTTAATTGATAGGATTGGATGCGGAGTACATGATTTGCTCTACATTCCAAGAAAGGGAGCTCATATGTCTACAAGGACCTGTTAAACACCTTCTTCATGTCACAACATATCACTTGACTTTTGGCTAAGCAGTTATTTAACTCCAGGAAGAAGTGACTTGTAAAGATCAGCTTTAAGTTTTCTAATCCTTTACTACACCCACATTTATTTTGATGGGTGGCAGAAAATTTTTAGGGTAATCATCTCAAACTCTCAGAAGCATTCATTTGGCCCAACTGATGCTAAGATCCCCCCCCTTCAAGCTAGGGAAAGCAAACCTTTTAAACCCAAACACCGTTTTCCATCTGTGGTGGCTAATCCTTGTCCTTCTTCCCCTCTGTGCCCGTTTCTCTTCCACATTTACTCCCTAATGTCATGTTCAATTTTTTGGTTCCATCATAGCATGTGTGGACACAGAGGAAGCAGACATCTATCTGCTCATTGACGGCTCCGGGAGCACACAGGCCACAGACTTTCAAGAGATGAAGACCTTCCTGTCGGAGGTGGTAGGGATGTTCAACATCGCCCCCCATAAGGTGCGCGTGGGGGCTGTTCAGTACGCCGACAGCTGGGACTTGGAATTTGAGATCAATAAGTACTCCAACAAGCACGATTTGGGAAAGGCCATAGAGAACATCAGGCAGATGGGTGGGAACACAAACACGGGCGCAGCCCTGAATTTCACACTGAAGTTGTTGCAAAAAGCAAAGAAGCAGCGGGGAAACAAAGTGCCTTGCCACCTCGTCATTTTGACAAATGGCATGTCCAAGGATAGCATCTTAGAGCCTGCCAACAGACTGAGAGAGGAGAACATCCGTGTCTATGCCATTGGGGTCAAGGAGGCCAACCAAACACAGCTACGAGAAATCGCAGGAGAGGAGAAGAGGGTGTACTACGTGCACGACTTTGATGCGTTGAAAGACATAAGGAACCAAGTTGTCCAAGAAATCTGTGCTGAAGAAGGTGAGAGAAATGGTGGCCCTTGCCTTTTGACTTTAGCTCACACATCGCCTTCATGGTGATGTTTGACATTGCTGGTTAAGGGGAACAATGTACATTGCTAAGTTGAGAATTGTTGATCTGTGCAACTATAACCGTGTTTGTTCTCTAGAAAAAAAAAAAAAACAGCCCACTGTAGTGTTGTTCTAATTGATACTGTTCAATTACTGATATAATTGAAAAATAACAAAAATATTTGGAAAGATTCTCCCTAATAATAATTAATTAGCTTTCTCCAACAAATCCCTGCAGGCTAGATATGTGGTTAGATGTCACCTGTATCATATGATCAAGTGATTTCAGATTTCCAGGAGTACTTAGGGTTCACTTAAATTTCTGTTTTATAGCACTTTTATGAAATCTGTAAGTCGGTGGTTTTCAACCAGATGTTATTCCCCTCTGGTTGAATGTGGTAACTTCTAGAGATATTTTGGTGTCATAATCATGAAGCCCTGCTAGCATCCAATGAGAAGAGGTCAGGGATACTGCTAAACATCCCAATGTATCCTACAATGCAGACTGCTTTACTTACCTACTAATAATCCTTACCAAGCATGTGTTTAACTTCCACACTAGATCATTTGTGGTTTGGATTCTCCTGTTTACTCTTATTTATTTATTTTTCTTTTTTGGCATGGAGTTGTCTTGAATAAACATGCTAATTTCTCTTATGCAGCCTGCAAGGACATGAAAGCTGACATCATGTTTTTGGTGGACAGCTCTGGCAGCATAGGACCTGAAAACTTCCAGAAAATGAAAATATTTATGAAAAACCTGGTGAGCAAATCTCAGATTGGGGCAGATCGGGTGCAAATCGGCGTAGTGCAGTTCAGTGACATCAATAAGGAGGAGTTTCAGCTCAACAGGTTCACTACCCAAAGCGACATTTCAAATGCAATAGACCAAATGGCTCACATTGGAGAAACTACCTTGACTGGTGGCGCCCTGACCTTCGTGTCTCAGTACTTCAGCCCCGCCAAGGGGGCCCGGCCCAACGTCAGGAAGTTTCTCATCCTCATCACAGATGGTGAAGCTCAGGACATAGTAAAGGACCCAGCAGTCGCCCTCCGGCAAGAAGGCATCATTATCTACTCTGTGGGAGTATTTGGCTCCAATGTCACCCAGCTCGAGGAGATCAGTGGGAGGCCAGAGATGGTTTTTTATGTTGAGAATTTTGACATTCTGCAGCACATTGAAGATGATCTTGTTTTGGGAATATGCAGTCCCCATGAAGGTAGGCATGCCTGTGTTCATGAGTGGGAATATCTGAGCACCAGATGTGGATATGAGTCATTTTCTTCTGGAATTAAGTAGAGCTCTATTTGGACCCCGTAATATTTTCATTAAATTGAAGTGTTTATGCTAGGATTTTTCACACACACACACACACACACACTTGTATATATATATATATATATATATATATATATATATGGGGTGCTAGAGATTGAACTCAGGGCTACTCCACCACTGAGCCACATCTCCAGCCCTATTTTGTATTTTATTTAGAGTCAGGGTCTCACTGAGTTCCTTAGTGCCTCATTTTTGCTGAGGCTGGCTTTGAACTCCTGATCCTCCTGCCTCGGCCTCCCAAGCCACCTTGGGAGGATTGCAAGTATGCGCCACCATTCCTGGCACTGACCTGTTGAACTAAATAGACAGTCAAGAGCAATTTGGGTTCGTCTAGTCTCATTCCTGTTTTAGACAAATAGACCTGAGGTGATGAATCCTTTATTTAAGAAAAGTGGTACCATACCAAGTCTTAGCTCAGGTTCCCAGCTGATCAGAAGTTCTTGTGGAGGTGATTTATTGAGGAGGTATTTTCAGAAGAAGAAGAAGAAGAGGAGGGCAGGGCATAGGTAGGTGCTAAGCAAGGAGTTCATTCTAGCTGGAGTCTAGTTGCAGCCTGATCCCATGGGAGCTTTACATCATGAGTTAGAGAAAAAACTGGCCCTATCTTAAGATGAGGGGTCCAGACTGCATACACTGTGCCACTAGATTACATGTGGGTTTCTGAGGCAGTCAGGAGGGGCATAACTTCTAGACAAAGGGTAGTTAGTCTTTAAGCCTGGTATCCAGTCTCTATGGGCTATTTTTTTTTCTTTTTGTAATTTCTAAAAATAATACTTAATCAAAGGAGATATTTACGAAAACATTTTGATATACATTAAATATTATAAAGAAGGACTGTGGTAAGGGGAACTTGAACAATGAATATTTCAAAGGAAGTAAAGAGCAGTGTCCCCAATCTCTGCCTATGATGCTGCAGAGTAATGGAAGTCATCAAACAAATGCTCAGGGCTGGGGATGTAGCTCAGCTGTAGAGCACTTGCCTGTGACATGTGTGAGGCTCTGAGTTCAATCTCCAGAATAAAAACAAAACAAAAACCAGATCAACAAATAGAAGGGGCTGATTTATCCTGTGACCCCGGGGGCTTAACAGCAGGCGTATTGAAAAGTCTACGTGGGCGATGGATCTTAATGGGATTTTAGGGGAGGAGAGGGACATTCAAGTAACGGTTCTGTCCAACTCCCACTACAAGGTTTGATGATCATGGCCTGTGTTTTGTAGAAAGGGGAGTATACCTTGTTTTTAATCCCTGGTAATTCCATCCAGAACAAATATGAACCCGTTGAAATCTTCCAAAGCTGAGCAATCTACCCACCCACCTCCAGTCCCCTGAGTCATCCAAGCAAGATTTGCAGGCAGCCTAAGACCAGAGGGACCTAGCTCCTTCTTTAGTGGAGTCAGACTTCCTTGGAATTTGGTTTATGGCTCTGTACACAAGGTCTCCAATTAGCAGTTAGGTATATTGGCCCTGGGGTTTTCAACAGTCCTGCACATGGCCAATGACTGGGTCACAGAGGAGGAGATACAGACACTCTCGGAGGGGGAGGGGGAGGGGGAGGAGAGTACTTCCTCCCAGTCCCATTTCTCAGGAAGGGATGAGTTAACACTTGGATCATACCTTTCTAAGGCCTGCAGAGACAATGCACTATGTAAGGTCAGAAGGACTTGCCTTCTTAGCGAGAAAACTTCTCCAGAATGGATGAGTTGGCGCTTTGAACTCAGAATAGATGAGCTCCTTTAGATGGAACATGCTTCTCATGAATTACTAATTGGGGTCTTTCCTGCTCTACTTTTCCATGGCCTTGACCTCAGGTTTAAGAAGTTCAGAGTGTCATACTAAGACAATTAAACTGGGCCAAGGGAGAAATGGGCTTTTTTTTTTTTTTTTCATATGGTGGCCCAATATGAAAATAGATGTTTCAAGAAGGTCAAAGGGGGATAAAATGTAACCTTGAAAGTCAGCCATCATAACTATGAAAAAAATATAGTGTTGCCAAATTAATTTTTATTCGGTTATTTCCTCAAAGTTTTATCTTAGGAATAAGATCTCAAGATCCCTATAGCCTTAAAGAAAAAAAGACAAATTCATTTAAATGAAAACACATGTTGAAGGAAACATTTATATGGGAAAATTTACATGAAACTTTGATTTGGGTTTTTTAGTCCAAAGGATTTTTTGAAAATTTATTCCCGATGATCTTGTGTTTGTTTTTCCACCCCTCCCAAACCTTTGGTAGGTTTCCCTTCGTACCTGCCTGGTCTTGAAAACTTACCTGATCATCATTATGTATTGGCAGTGCAAAAGTGCATGTGTCTCTATTATCCAGGGAATTGATATTTTAATGTTCAGCATGATCCCATGCAATGGAAACACCAGCAATTAAAAAAACAAAAAAACAGTTTGGGGACTCTCCAAAGCTAATCCATATTGACTTTTCCTTCCCTTCCTCTTCTAGAATGCAAGCGGATTGAAATTCTGGATGTTGTGTTTGTGATCGATAGCTCTGGCAGCATTGATTACGATGAATACAATATCATGAAGGACTTCATGATTGGCTTAGTGAAAAAAGCTGATGTTGGAAAGAACCAGGTCCGGTTTGGAGCCCTGAAGTATGCTGATGACCCAGAGGTACTGTTTTATCTGGGTGATCTTGGCACAAAATTGGAGGTGATTTCAGTGCTCCAGAATGACCAGCCCATGGGGGGCAACACTTACACAGCGGAGGCACTAGCCTTCTCAGACCACATGTTCACTGAAGCCAGGGGCAGCCGCCTGCACAAGGGGGTCCCCCAAGTCCTCATCGTGATCACCGATGGGGAATCTCACGATGCTGATAAACTCAATGCCACTGCGAAGGCCTTGCGGGACAAAGGCATTCTCGTCCTGGCTGTGGGCATTGCTGGTGCCAATCCTGTGGAGCTGTTAGCTATGGCAGGATCAAGAGATAAGTACTACTTTGTGGAGACTTTTGGAGGCCTGAAGGGTATCTTTTCAGATGTCTCAGCCAGTGTCTGTAACTCTTCAAAAGTTGGTAAGCCTTGTCCATCAAGTTTTTCCTTATTATTAGCATAGGGCCAAATGCGGGAGATGCCAAAGCGATAGTCCTTAAGGGAGAAGTTTTCCAGAGAAGAGAATGAGCCAAACTTGTTTCAGCAGACTCCCCTACTCTGAGATTCCAGAATGTGGGAAAACCTCAAGGTCACTTTGTTCAGCCTCCTCCCTCAAGAGAAGTACCTTCTCCAACTTCCTAATCACTTTTCCTAAACTATTCTAATGATGGGGAATTCACCAGTTTGGAACAGGCTTTATTTATTAAATCACAGGTTATTCTACCCACTGGTTTTTCTCCCTGGTTTAATAAGAAATAAAATTCTATCTCTAAGAATCAGCATGAAATCTTCTTATCTCCATGGTTAGGAATCCCCTGTTTATTTACTTATTTCTAATACGGCACAAGTTCATCTAAAATGTCATCTTACACTTTGGGGTTAGAGGGAGATTATGTGTTACTATAATGTCTTAGTATTTTTCCCAAGATATATTTTACGGAAAAAAACCCCACTATTTTTATTAGATGAATGGCTGTTAATGCACAATTTCAACATCTTGGTGCCGTTCTTTTCTCAAAATCATTTTAACTTTTCTGGTTTTCGTATGCCTTGCATCCATAGAACACAACTACCATCTTTTTCTTTGATGAAACTAACAGAATCTTTCTGGGTCTTCACTGGGACAGATCTCTTTATAGAAAACAAGGACAAATCTCCTTGTGGTTAATTCCTAAAATTTGATTTGTCCTTCTCGAGTCCCCTGTGAAAGACGGCTCTGCATTTTTGTATTGAAAAGTTCTTTGAGCAGAAAAACAGTACTTGCTTTCTTTTATTGGAATCTGAAATGAAGGAGTTTAATGAGCTGACCCATTCCTGAAGGCTCTCCTGTATTTCTTTTGATGTCTTCCTTATCTGGACGGCAGGAATCTCCGATACCTTTAATCTTCTCTGAGGTGACAATGAGATGTAATTAAGTTGGGTCAGTGGTGGGATCACTGAAGTATTCTGGGAAATGATAATGCTTACCAGAAAGCCAAGGATCACACAGGACTGTGTGCCAAGTATAACTCACTCATTGGCCTCTTATCCTTTTTGTTTTGTATTTGCTGTATTAATACCAGAGAAGTAGCTCTAACATACTAAATTGTTTACTCAAAAATATTTTTTTTTCCTCAGGTAGGTATTTTTTGCCTACATATCAAAAAGAGGGCTGAAAGAGGAGGAAAATCAACTAGATATACACCAGAAGGCATGCTCTTAAGTCCTCCCATTGATTCGACCTAATAAACCAGAAAAACATTTATTGGCTCAACTGGCCAGAGAGGCCAAGTCAATAACGTGAACCATCTGTTTCTGTTTGAATTCCTCAATGGATATGTGTTATTTTGTTTTTTTTCCTTGCTGTGCTACTACTGACCCTGGGCTTTCTGGAAGGGTTAAGACTAGATTGCAGATGAGAAAAAGTTTTTTTCTAGCACCATTCCCAGCTCTCTGGCATGTCAGAAAAGAAAATGGCGTCAGACCAAATGGACAAGCCAAGAGAAATATCAAGAGATGTGTGAGTAGTTCATGCCTGTGTTGCCTTTATGAACTGATCATTTGTTTTTACTTCCTTCTCCAATTAATGTGACCAGAAAGTAGCATTAAGATAAGAAACCACTTTCAGAAATATTGTCTCTATGTGGCTGTAAACATTTAATTTACTTTTGGTGGATGAAAGAAAAACTAATACTCTGGTTTTTGTCATTGTTGTTCCAATTCCTCTCCTTTGTAGATTGTGAAATTGAAAAAGTAGATCTTGTTTTTCTCATGGATGGTTCAAATAGCATTCACCCAAGTGACTTCAAGAAGATGAAGGAATTTTTAGCATCTATTGTTCAAGACTTTGATGTTAGCCTCAACAGAGTGCGCATAGGAGCCGCCCAGTTTAGCCATACCTACAGGCCAGAGTTTCTACTAGGAACATTCACCGGTGAAAAGGAGATATCGTTTCAGATTGAAAACATCCAGCAGATCTTTGGATACACACACATTGGCGCTGCACTCCGGGAGGTGGGGCATTACTTTAGGCCAGACATGGGCAGTAGGATCAATGCAGGTACCCCGCAGGTGTTGCTGGTCCTCACAGATGGCCAGTCCCAAGACGAAGTGGCTCAGGCTGCTGAAGAGTTGAGACGCAAAGGTGTTGACATCTACTCGGTGGGCATCGGAGATGTGGATGATCAGCAGCTCGTTCAGATTACTGGGACTGCACAAAAAAAGTTGACAGTTCATAACTTTGATGAACTGAAAAAAGTCAAAAAAAGGATTGTTCGCAACATCTGCACCTCGGGGGGTGAGAGCAGTAAGTATTTAATACGTTCTTCATTTTTCATCTCTCTACTGTCTTCAGTCACATTTTCCTCAGGCTCTGTGTGCATCCCCTGGGGTTGCTGGGAGAACTTAGATTTGTGCCTCTGGTTTTCACATTTATTATTTTTTTCACAGTTATCAAGTATTTTTGTGACTTGTAGATTGAGAAACAGCATGTTTGGGATTCTATATCTTTTTTTCACCCTCCATCCTGGGGGAGCATGCCCCCTCTGAGAATGGAGAGCCTCAGCTTCAGAAGGTGTGAGGACAGGGCCATTGTTCACAATCTGGCTGGTTTCAGAGGTTGAAGGACATTTTCAAATGAGTAAAGACTTATGATGTTGGTTACCTGGCAGTTGAGCCTACAGGACCTCCAAGTGCCATAGGTACAGATGTGGAAATTCATATCTTTGTTATGAAATTATACCACAGAAACTAATAAATATCTTAAACACATTAGCATATTTTGACACTGTCCCAATAGGTGGAAGTAAAGTGTCTTGAAGGAGAGTAACTATTTTTTTACTTATCATAAAGACACTCTCCGGGTTGGTAAACATTAACTCCAAATTTCCACCAAGGAAAAGAAAGCCACAGGACATCAAGAGGCCTCTGCAGACAGATAGCCAACTACAAAGTCCCTGCTCCAGCCGATTTTTCTTGGTCAGGTTGCTTAACTTCTCTAACTTTAATTGTCTCACCCATGGAATGTGAATAATAGCATCACCTGGTTTAAAAAGATCACTGTGAGGATTAAATGAGAAATCACATATTTAAACTTTACTTTGAATAAGCATGACACCTTGGGATGTAATTAAAAAGTCACTTAATTTTTGTCCACCACTGACCCATTAAATTTATTCATGGGGGCTAGCTCTTCCCTTGCCCCTAATCATTTCTAAGAAATAAATGAACCTCCTCTTGGTGATTAATATGTCTATCTCAATGCAGCTATTAAAACTTTAAACTTCATCCAAGGTTATTCCACTTTCCAGCTGGCCACAGACTGCTCACATGCCATCAGAGAAGAGGCCATACACAGTTGACATTTTGCTCATGGTTCCCATCTTTTACTGCTATCCTTTCTCCTAGATCCTGTCCCCACCTTGCTAAAACTGGTTTCTTGCCATTCCAGAATGGGGTGGGGAAGGGAGAGGAGGTCCATAGAAGTTTTTACTTGATAATACTTGTCAGGAATTGGTTTTCTTTGATGATAGCCAATGTCCAAAGCTGGGTCCATTTGTGAGTCCTTCAAAGATCCTCTGTCCTATCCCCCATCATCCTTCCTCCCCACCAAGAATCCATTTCTGGGGGCATCTCTCAACTGTAGCTCCTTTGAGGAAGTCAAATATGTCTGAATTCTAGATGGTTCCTGATCCCTTCCTCAGCCTCTGAGCCTCTGGTGATGATTCTGGCTTTATTCCACTGAGGTCTGTATGCACTCCCTCCACTCACCGGCCCCTAGATAGGCTTCTTGGATGGGAGATGAGAGGAGCCCCAATACCTCTTTCTTATACTCAGCCATATCAGTTCCACAAGGAACAGTAGCATGTCACTTGCCCCAGTAAACACTGGAAATTACAGCCCTGTGTCTCACTCCTTAGAGTTTCCAGGCTTAAGTTATCTCTGAACACTCCTCTCTCTTGACTTAGAGGAAATTATCTCGTGTGTGTGTGTGTGTGTGTGTGTGTGTGTGTGTGTGTAAGAGCTCCCAATCATCAACAGTGCTCTCCATAAATGTTCTTCTTAGCTCCAATCTCATCTTTTATAAGACCCAGTGTGGAGGTTTACAGTTAAGAGCCCCACCATTGACTAAAAACTGTCTTTGTACTTCCTGCTTTATGATCTACTCATACTTTGGAATGTATCTGATTCCCTCGGCTAAACCTTCTGCATCAATTTCCTGTTTTCACATGAAATATCCATTTCTAGTTATTAGGCAGAAAATTATCTTAAAACAATTTAGTTTCTACTTGAGTGCATAACAAAAAATCATGCAGAATGTAAAATACAAAAATATAAACTACAAGTAGTGAATGAGTTATCTTTAAAGGAAATAGCTGTGAATGCAAAAAAAAAAATTAAATAAGGAAAGTACTCTGTATTAAGATAAACTTGAAGTCATTACTCCAGCAAGCAGGAATGTGAGAGCTTTGGATCCAAGCTACGAGCTGAGGACTGATGAGTCTGGAATGAGCACCGATAAACCTTCAAAGGCCTATGAGAATATATTAAGGGATGCCAGTTCTTTAATGTAATATAATAAATCCTCAAATGAGACAGTAGCTTGATGTGACTCAAACAAACTAAGCTTAGAGCCTGGACATTCTGCTTCTCATTTTACTTATTCTTTTGGTGATGGAAATGGAACCCAGGGCTTCACACATGCTAGGCCAACACTTCACCACTGAGCTACACTCCCATCTGCTCTGCTTCTTAACAAAAAAATATGCCTAACTTTGAAGAAGTCGCTAGCTTTTCTGAGTCTTTGTTTTGTCATTTTTAAAGCTAACTCATCTCTAAGAGTTTCTCCGATTGTAGACTGTGATGCAGAATGCAAAAGTAAAGTCAACTGCATGGAAATATTAAGGATCTTACTGAGAATCAATATCCTTTTGAGCATCTCTGAAGGGTCAAGCCTAGAGCTCTAAGAACTTCAACTGTTATTATCTCATTGACTCTCCTAACACCCTATATGATGTGGAAACAAGGACTGGAGATGTAACTCAATGGTAAAGCACTTGCCTAGTATGTCTGAGGCCCTAGGTTCAATTCCCAGTACCACCAAAATCAATCAATCAATCAATCAATAAAACTATGGAAATTGAAACTCAAAGGAATGTTGGTAGTCCGGTCCGGATCATACAAGAATAATAGATAAAGCATATTTTGAAACCTAAGTCTGTCTGATCCCAACCTCTTCCACCCTAGTCTTTTATTAAATTAACCTGTTTTCTTGATGTAGTTGTTGTGCAGATTATCTGGGGCTGACAGTATAAAGAATGAGTGTCAAAGTGTTGTGCTTCACCAATTAATAGCTGGGGTTGATGAGGACGTCAGGGATTAATATCCTTGAAATCGTTTCCACGAGCTGCTGCTTCCGAAGGAAACCACCTGCTGCTAAGCTGTCACTTCCAACAGCACAGCACAGTCTAGCAGCAGGACTGGTAACCCGCATGACCTGTCATCATTGGCCACCCAGGAAGTGATAAAATAGGGTGGCTCAACATATGGACTCCCGACAAGCCTGGATCTAAATCCCAAGCATGAGATCCAGTCATAACTGTGAGACCTTGGGCAAACTTCTCTAGGTCACAGCTTCTTCCTCTACAAAATGAACATATTATGAGGGATTCTGCATGTTTCCTGTTATATAAGGACAAGTGAGACCAAGAGTGGGAAGTGCTTGGTAAATGCTCAGTAAGTGTAATAAGTGTAACTTATAATAATAACTTGTTACACTTATTGAGCATTATTGTTAATCTCTGTTATAAAAATTGGAGTAACGGGGTTAGTTTGTAGGTGAAAATTTACCAAGGGTTCTTTGGCTTAGGAACTTTATTGTATTTTCTTAAGACCCTCAGTTTAGACAATGTGAAGATAATTTTTATTTTTCTATTATTTTATTTATTATTATTTTTCTTTTGCCTTATTGGGGATCAAACCTAGGGCCTTACACCTGCTAGGCAAGTGCTCTACCACTGAGCTATATCCCCCAACCCCAAAATTTCAATATTTTAACATATCAGAACTATGTTCAAATTTAATATGCCAAATCATCCTACATAGCTAAACTCCAAAGTCTGATTTATAACCTTCACCCAAGGGTGATCATTCTTTCTGTACTCTCCTGATTTTTCTCTGGAGGGTGGTTACTCTGTCTACCTAGAGGAAACTTGGACAGTTTTCAGGATGGGAATGTCCAATCTTTTTGGCATGGAGCCCTGAGGAGGTAGCAAAAGAGTCAGGAGTACTTCTCATCTTTTGCACCTGTAATCATGGACAGATGGATCAAAAGGCCTGTTTGAATAGAATGAGGTCAGAGGAAACTTAAGGATTTATTTGATTCAAGGAATGTGAGAAATACAAGGGGAAAATAGAAAATAGTTTCCAACTTTTCTTGACAAGGAGCTCTTTATGTTCCTGCTTTTGCTGGATGCTCTAGAAACAGAACTCCGAGCAACGCTTACGTGCTAATACTTTATTGGAAGTGCAATAAAGTAAAGCAAGACTGAGTAGCAGAGATGCAGGAAAGAAGGGAAAGTGAATACAAGGTGGTACGTTGCCAAGCTACCCATGGCTTCTTAAGAAAGCACAACTGGCACATTGGCCGTGCAAAACATTACCCTGCAGAACCACTACCCAGACCAGGCCAGCATGGGAGTAAAGGAGAGGATGCATCTTTCCATCTATGTCTCTTGGTTAGCATTTATCCCATGGAGGGTTTGCCCTCCCACCCTACTGGGTGGTGTTATCCAGCTTCTTTGGGAAACTGCTAAGGAAACCAGCAACAGGATGCACCATGCAACACATGTGGGATTGGAAGTGGGAAAGGAGCCAGAGCCTTCTTGACTTCACCTGGGTTACATGCATGTGGGCACCACTGCAGCTCTCTTAGAACGAACACAACAGAGACCCTGTCAAACCTGACCCTCACCCCCGTGTGTTAGGAGACCAAATGGTGGAAGTTGTGGTTCTTCAGTGGACAAAGTCGTAATTCTGTGCAGAGGGAGAAAACAGATATAGGAGTTATAGACACTGGGACTCTTATAGTACCTAACTATATTTCCTTGATCATTCTTTCTTATTTTTCTTCAAAGATACACCTTATTTCAAAGACCCCGTACAAATCTGTCTCCTCCCCAGCTGATAACTACCAACAGGCCCACTTTCCCCACTAGAATCTGTCTTCAAATCTTCTAAATACACCCTAGCCTCTGAGCAGTGTTTCTTAAGACTAAGAATCTGCCATCACCAACTCTAACTTATAAGGACTCTTTTTAAAGACTCAGATAATTAGAATCAGCTTCGGGATCTGGCTGGAAAACCACAAGACTGTCCAGTCCAATCTACGCTTTTTTGTTCTTTTGTGTTTTTATTTTGAGATACATAATCCCTTTATCTTCATGTCAAGAAAAGTAATGCCTAGAGAGGGCAAGAGATCTGCCCAAATTCATTTAGCACTAACAGAGTCATGGCCAGCCCATGCCTGAAACGAAGCCTCCTGTCTTCCCAAAGACCTGCCCCCTGGGCACCCATACTGGGGGACTAGATGAAGGCTCTGAATGCTACTTTTACTTCTCTCTCTCTCACTCTTTTTAAAATTTTTTCCTCTGTAGCCTGTGGATTACCTTCTTAATTTTCTTTTATTGCTCTTCTCTATTCCCATTTCTGTTATCCTAGTTTAATTCCTCATTATAGCTCATAAATCAATTTTAGCCTTCTCCCTAGCTCACATCCAAAACTACCCCTGCCTCCAGTTCATTTGAATCACCTTTGCTGGATTCATTCCAAAGTACAACTCTGATGTGGAAGACTCTAGGCCTCAAGACTTCCAGGGGCTCCTGATTTAGGGCAGTTACCTCTGTAGCATTTTCAGGGCCCACTGCCTGGGAACCCACTCGATCAGTAGGGCCTCATCACTATTGTACTTAGACACCCGGCTGCTCACACAATTTGTTTGCTAAATTCTATTCCTTTGCTCACATTATTATGAGATCATTTATCTTAGTTACTGACTGGTTTTCTTTCCAGAGGTTAAAACAATGCCACAATAAAAATTTCAATCTCAAGTCAAGAGAAGATATAAATTTAAGAGGTTTTTGGAAAGGACATACTCTGATGTTTCCTTCTAACTGCTTTCTTTTTCTTATCCTGCTTTTCTAGTATCCAAGAAGAGAATTTCTAATAAAGTAAAAGATAGCAAACTAAGAAGGCCACTCTTCTGGATGTTTTGATAACATATTGACTTACCTTAAATCTCATGGTGAAAATTGATAATCTAATAGAGCTTTTATTTTCCTTCACTTACCTCCTTTCTCATTGAAAAAAAAAATCAAGTTATGGTCCTTGTTTTAAGAACTGAAGTTGACATTTTGGTTTCAAAGATTTGCAAATGTCCAACTAGCCAGGGTATCTGGGAAGAAATGTAGGCAGGCATTGTCTATACAAAACACACCTGAAAAACTGCTGATCTAAGCAAAGCAAAGCAAAAAGCACTCACTCCTACTTACTGTATCAAGCAAACTGTACATGTTGTTTGCTGTAAAAGGTTCGAATGTTTAACCAGCTTAAAAAATCTTGAAGAAAAAGAGTGTGTTGTATGATTTTTATCCTTTAATTATCTACCTTTAGGAAGCTCAGCTTAAAACATCAAACCCATTCTGATTTTTCCAATGCTTGATTTGTCCTGATGTTAAGGATAAAGGCAAAGTCCTTTAAATGAAACACTTCTCCGACTACCTCTAGATTCAAAAATAGAAGTACCTTTATCTTCCTGAAGGGCTGAGGGCTTGAAGGGTCACCTTTGACATGATCAAATATGGAGGATTGGATTGCGACTTTCTTTACCTGTAGGACTTAAACGAAGCAAAATCTCAAGAATATTTTGTTTTGTTTTTATTTGTTCCAAAGGAGGAATTAGAGACCCTTTTTGGAAAAATGAATCATCAAAACAAGTCCTCTGAGATTTATTTTATTCTGAATTATTTTCTGTATGCAAAATGTTTTTACATTTCCCTTATATTTATTCAAATTTAATATCTACTAAAAGACCTCAGTTGATAAATAGCATGATATGAGTTTCTTGCTTTATTAACATTTCCACAACATACTTTAGAGATATTTAAATGACTTTGCCTATTTAAAGGGGATTATTTCAATGACTACAATAAAATCTTTCAGAAATGTGGTTGCTATAGAACCATCTAGATCATACATCAGATAAAAATAATAATACATTTATACTATTACAGGTTATAAAACAATGGTTCTGAGCCTCCTCCATTCTCCTTTCCCTTTCTTGTCTTCCAACTTCATACCTGGAATCGAAATAAAAATTCCAAGAGCCTAGAATCAGTCAAGTAAAAGTTTGCTGATTTGGTAAGACATGCTTTTCCCTTGAATCCTAGATTGTTTTGTGGATATTGTGGTTGGATTTGACATCTCAACTCAGCTGAAAGGGCAGACTTTTCTGGAAGGCCAGCCTTGGATGGAAACCTATCTTCAAGACCTCTTACGTGCCATCAGCTCCCTCAACGGGGTAAGCTGTGAGGTGGGCACTGAGACTCAGGTCAGTGTGGCTTTCCAAGTGACAAATGCCATGGAAAAACATTTTCCCAAGTTTGAGATCTACAGCGAAAACATCCTGAACAGCTTGAAGGGGGTGACAGTTAAAGGCCCGTCTCTTCTCAACGCAAACCTCTTGAGTTCCCTGTGGGACGCGTTCCAGAATAAGTCAGCGACTCGGGGAAAGGTAACCTGGCTTGATTTTATTTGTTGCTGTGTGATTGCAATGAAGTTCTTTGACTCGTCTTTCTTTTCTTTTTTAACACATTCCAGGTGGCCCTTTTATTTTCAGATGGATTGGACGACGATGTTGAAAAACTTGAACAAAAATCAGATGAACTTAGAAAAGAAGGTACTGGACAGGTGTGGGGGAAGTGGCACTTATTAACTTTACAATCTCAGAGCCCACCTCTTGCTCTTAAGTTTCCAGGCACTCAAGTAACCCTGAACTTGGCAGTCTTTCCATTTTGTATGCACCCAACAGAACACATGGACCCTGAGAACATTTTGACATCTGCTTTCTTCCTCCTCTGAGTGTCGGAAACAGCTCTGAATACCACATCCAGTCCCTTGTCTTGTATCACTGAGTTTCTTCTTCCCAATCTTTCCTGGAGAAGGTTTCTTTTCCCCTTACCCTGCATTATCTAATATTTCTACATCTTTAGAGTCAACGAAAGCAAATGGGATATTTCTCCTTGACCAAGGAATATGAGAGTTGGATTATTTTCTTCTAGAAGTGGCAAGCATTGCTGGACATGTTTATTCATGTTTTGGGGCTTTATAATCAGTTCCTTCCTTCAGACCATAGATGGACCAGCCATGGCCTTGGTGAGGTAATAAAGCTCTGGCACCAGGTTTTTAGCTTTAAGAACCAATGGCCAGTCTTACTTATTGTCAGTTCTTATTACAATATGGATCAGTGGAGGCAAAAGGATCCAAGTGTTCTTTCTGGTTTGACTAAGAATGGAAACACTCTCCTGTAAGTGGGTGTTATTGTTGGTCCACCCTGGTCCCCTTTATTGGCAGGACCACCCATCTGCCAACTGTGGTTGAGTATATTGGCTACTAAAAAGTCACAGCTTACTCAGTCTCTGAAGAATTAGTCGTGGCCAGAGGAAGCCACCTCACCTGGCAGATTGCTCCCCACCCCATCCCTGGGCAGCAGATATAGTAGGAAGATTTGAACCTTTGCCTCAAAGTGTGCAATTTGTGCTCCAGGGCTCCCTGGGATCAGGCTAACCTTAAACTCAAGCTGAAATGCTATCTTGCTCACCTTCTTTCCCTGCCCTAACCCTTATTCCCTCTACCTTTTTCTTAGAGTTCTTCCTCAAAAAAAATTGTATGCATTGAGTTCTCCTCTAAGGCTCTGCCTCCAGGGAAACTGGCCTTCTTAGGAACTGAAGACAACGTACTAAGATACTGAGACAACGTACTTAGGATACCTGCCCCACAGGTTCACTAGTAGAGGCTGACTGTACTTCATCTTTTCTGTTTGGTTCTCTCCCCTCAATCGTCAATAAATTGCAAAGTTCTCTAAACTTACAGCTTTTCTTTCACCCTTCGTAGGACACTCTTTATCAAGCCTTTGATCATGAACTTAGCAATTAGGATTTTAATTAAGATTGAGAACAAGAGCTCTTAGTTTGGGTGGGCACTTTTGTAGAAGCCATTGTTCTTTTTAATCATCTCAGCTTTCCTTCTGTGGGGAAAAGATGTATCTCTTTCAGACAGCATTGAAGTTTCTTCCAGGAGATGCCTTGGAAAATTCAGAATGCTAAGACCAATCCTTTCTTCCAACTCCCACTAGAAAAGTTGTAAATCAGTGTTAACTTTAGAAGTTAGATGTTTAAAATAATAGTCTCAGAAATTTAGAATCTTTGAAAAATAGCCCAAGGAATGAAGTTTCTAATGTTCTCTAAAAGGCGTCAAATGACTCTCAATATGGAAAAGAAGTACCCCTGGCTTCATATATGACATTAGTTGATGGATCCTATGATCTAATACCTAGAAGAGCCACCTTAATTTGAGGTCACATATATACACATGTAAACTGCATAATCACCATGTAACAAAAGGAGATAAGAGAAAAGGATCCTAGATGGCAGATAGTTTCAAAACTTATCTTTGTGGGCAGAAGTTGAAATCAGTTTTTAATTTTTTAAAATTGAATACCCTAGAATCTACTCAGTGAATCTTTATTCTCCCAAGTTTTGAAATCTCTTCTTTCTTAATTCCTTCTTCGGAATTGAAGACAACGTACTTAAGATACTCAATTACTGGATGACACTAAAGGGAGCATGGCTGGAGTCTCCTATTCTGAGAAAAGCAGTTATAAATAATAATTATATGCATATTTCCTGAAAGTTAACAATCCCATGTTTCTTGTAACTCTTAAATTTTTACCTTTCCTGGAACTTAATAAGAAAAATATGAGATGTGAGAAGACTTTCCCTCCCTTATAAATAGACCTATAAGCATGCCTTCTCACTATTGCTAATCTCCAATCAGTGTGTACAGCTCTCCCTATCCCAGCCCACCTAACAACCTCTTTTCTTCTTCTCCCATTTTATTCCCATTCTAGAAGGGTGACAAACTGTTCTGGTTTGCTTGGGACAAGCCAGAAACTTTGAGCTCTACAGCTAGGCAAGTCTCAGGTACCTTGGGATGAGTTGGTCACCCTATTCCTTGGCAATCTTTCTTTTATTCCATTTACACCAGCCATTCCATTTCTCTCTTATGGAACTCAAGACACTCCAATATTCCCCTGAAACTTAATTCTTTTCATTGTCCTCTTTGTCTTTGCCTTACTTTATTCAAAATTACATCATATAAATGTACCTTAGAAGTCATCTTGACTCTCTTAAACAATCTACTCTGGTGTGTTGGACCCAAATCCTATCCAAATAATCTCTTACCCACCTGTACTCAAATGAGAAGCCAATGGAATTAGGGTTTTCATCAAACTAAATTTACACAGTTTTAGGATTGCCCTTTATTTCATGATCATATCCTTAGTGCATTTTTGTTAAAATGTCCTTTTGAGTGCAAGGCTTCACAATTAGGCCAAGTGAAAACCTAAAAATACCAATGTAGCCAATCATTTTGTTTATTTATTAAATAGGGTTATAATCATATCCAAGAACCCAGAGGATTCTCATGTAAACCAACTTCCAGGCATGTTGTGACTATTGACAAATGGTAGCATTATAGTGATTGTCAAGTCTATTTAATCTTCCTGTTTGCAAAATAACGTCATTGACAAACCTATGTTAGTGCTAAAAGTTTTCTTTAAAAATATGCTTATTCATAAAATTCCAATCATAAACCACAGTTCCCAATGATTATGTATCATCCCTTTCAAGCTGGGTGATACGTTTGTTACCATGAGGTCATCTAAAGATTTAACCTGCATGTAAATGACTTGGGAATTTTGTTAAAATACAAATTCTGACTCAGTAAATAGGGGATGTGGACTGAGAGTCTACATTTTTTAAAGGATCAGTTTCTCACTCAGTTATGTACTTGATTGAAAGATATTAGTCAGAGTGGGTACATAGCCCAAGAAATTCTGTATTTCTGAAAGCTTCTTGGTGATTGAAATGTTACTGTTTCAAGAATCCTCCATTTAGTGGCAAAAATGTACAACTTTTACTTTCTTGAATTTCTCTGTACTTTAGCATGCTCTTTGTCTTTTTAAAAATGTTGTTCTAGTTGGTTATACAGTAGAATGGTTTTTGACACATTGTACACAGATGGAGCACAGCTTCTCATTCCTCTGGCTGTACATGGTACAGAGTCACACCAGTAGTTTAATCATATGTGCATATAGGATAATAATATCCCTCTCATTCCACTGTCCTTCCCACTTCCATAGCCCCTCCCTTCCCCTCATTCCCTTCTGCCCAATCCATAGTCCCTTCATTCTTCCCTACCCACACCCCTCATTATGGATTAGCATGCTCTTTTTTTTTAACTCACTGTCCTACTTCAAATTATAAGGGTATTGAAGTTTCTATTATTTTTTCCGCTTTCTCCAATTTAATAAGTTTATTGCAGTCGTGTTAGTTCTTAGATTTATATCATGTGGTTAGGGTACATAGACAATAAAATTGAGTGTTCTTTTTGCAACTGTTTATTGAGAATAGCAATTTAAAAATACAGAAAGACTAATCAATCTACCTCACATGGGCAATTGTAAACTGTGTTAAATAGGCCTGAATGCACTCATAACCGTGGCTCTGGATGGAGCTGCCTATTCAAGTGACCTGGCTGATCTCCTCTACATTGAATTTGGGAAAGGATTTGAGTACAGGACACAGTTCACTATTGGCATGAGGGATCTTGGGAGTCGGCTGTCAAAGCAGCTGGTAAGTCATTCAGAAAAGACTGGACATTTTTAAATTTCAGTTATCTTGTATATATGTTTCATATTTATGTGTATACATTTGAACTAATTCTGATCATTTGGGGAGTGGAGGGAGGCTTTTCAGTATCAGTGAGCAGCCTAAAAGTAAGGGGTGTTTGAAAAAAATATAGTTTAGTAGAGATAGGTCAAAACATGCTTAAATGATAAGTTTGGTAAAAAGTAAAAGGAAAAAAAGAGAGGGGGGAGGGAGGGAGAGAGAGAGAGAGAGAGAGAGAGAGAGAAGAAAAAAGAAGAAAACAATTTTTTAAATAGCTCTGGCAATCCTGCCCAAATTACAGTCCATGAGCATGAGTGCCAAAGAGAATTTGAAATACAAACATGATTCTGCTGTTCCCTCTCTTCCCTCCACCAGTCATTTTCACATTCCTTGCAGATCTAAATATCCAGCTCACCTTGCTGTGTATGATTCTAATGTTGAAGATATGTTTTTCTCACAACGTGGCTTGTAAGTGAGAGCAAATTCCATATAGAGCTCAACCTGAGCAAGCAATCTGCTCTAATGCAGGAGAAACAATGTCAATGAACACCATATGATCTATTTTATGAGCAAGTGAAAGATTTTCACAGTTTGTCTTCAGCTTTGAGATTCTCACTGTATGTTCTATTTTTTAGACTCTGATGCCTATAAATGATGCATCTTAATGCCATTTCTTTCAGAAACATACAAAGTTTTGAACTTGAGTGGTGGAACATTACCAAGCTTTGTGACACTATTTTTTTCTTTGATGTATAGCTAATAATTTGTAATTTGTTTATATTTTATAAGAAATATATTTGTTTATATTTTTCAGAAATGCTAGTTCCTGCTTTTTACACCATAGAATTTGTATACAAATAGATGTTTAAACACAATTTTTTTCAGTGTAGTAATTACATAAAAATAATTACAAAAACTATTATGGAAGTTTTGTTGTAATTCCTATCCTCTGTGTATTTTTTTGTGTCTTGTACTCTTTGAGGTCTGTATTGCTAATCCATAGAGGAAGTTATTCTTCAAAACAAGCTTATAAGTTTTTAGATATCACATAAATGAAACAATGTATAAGAAAAATATTAATTTTAGAAGTAGATCAATTTTAATCCTCATAGTGCTAGGTTCAATGCTGGATGTGACTGACCCAAAGAAAATTAGAATATCTAATATGAAACCATAGAATTCATTTTGTTGTCATTGTTTGGTTTTACATATTTCAATTTTCAAGTTTTATTGCTTTTTCTGAAATTTTCAAGGAAAGTTTTATAATGTCGTAAAAGGAATATTATATAATAGAAAGCAATCAAAGGGGAAAAATCCTAAATGGTTATAACAAAAGTTGTATGTTTTTCATTGGCACTAGAAATTTAATGAGAAACTTTGCAATTCAAAGATTAATTTTACACCTCTAAAGGGAAGCATAGCATTTGTTACAAACAGAATTTTCCTAAAAATAAATCTGGTGGGTTAATTTTTAAAATGAAGAACAGTATGTCAGTTATTCAGGAAACAACTAAGTCCAGGATGAAATTCGTTCACATTTTTAAATATATAATACGAATTTTTTTACCATTATGTCAAGAGGAGTATTCTCTTCATGCCCACACCCTCTATAGCAAGCGTTTCCAAAATTTGGGCATGTGTTTTTGAAATGCTATCAAAAGTGTTTTGGAAACGTTTACCACTGGACGCCGTTCCAAGCAGTGTTACAGCAGGTACTATCTAAAAATCCTCTGGCAGAGATATTTCACAAAATGGGGAAAGGAGAAAATAGCATGTATCCATTTTATTGCACAAAGTACTTGGGGCAGAATTATATCGACAACACCATGGTCAATGCTATAGTAGGGTGGGATGTGAAAGGGAAGCCACTCTAAAATATTAATACACAGTGAGTTGATCATGGTTAGAGTGCTACCATTTTCAAAACACAAAAATACTTTTTGAGTTGATTTGAGATTTCTCAGATGGTGGAGAATGCACATCACAACAAGAAAGATGGGGGCAAAAGAATACTGGATATCCTCCCTAGAGCACAGTCATTTTAACAGTGAACAGATTTCTGAAACTGCTATAGAAATCCGGGTTGTGGCTCAGTGGTAGAGCAATCGCCTAGCACATGCGAGGCCCTGAGCTCAATCCTCAGCACCATGTAAAAATAGATAAAATAAAGGTATTGGGTCCAACTACGACTAAAAATTAAATATATTTTTAAAAAATTTTTAAAAAGAAATCTGGGTCATACTGTTGAGCATAAATCAGTGTGTGTGTGTGTGTGTGTGTGTGTGTGTGTGTGTGTGTGAGATAACTATGTTAAAAAATGTTTATGTGGTGCTGAGGATGGAGCCCAGTGCCTCATACGTGCTAGGCAAGCGCTCTACCACTGAGCTACGACCCCACACCTCGTGTGTGCTTTTGTGTGTGTGTGTGTGCATGATATTTGGGAAGCGATACCATCAAATGTAACATATGTCTCTCGTGTCCCAAGGTCAATGTTGCCGAAAGGACTTGTTGCTGTTTGTTCTGCAAGTGCATCGGAGGGGATGGCACAACGGGAGATCCCGGTCCACCAGGGAAAAAGGTGGTTTTTAGTTCAGCTTCATGGTTCACTTTATTTGAACTGTAGTATGTCTTGTGGACATGGGTTTAGATGACAATAAGGGGTGATTTTGGCTTCCAGATAGGACCTCTGTGGTAACCATTTATTACACTCTTTTTTTTTATGGCCAAGTTAGATAGATAGTGGTCAATTTTCCTTGACATGCTAAATTAGGATCTTTAAAGTTCTTATAGAACTCTCAGGAGAAATGACTGTCAAGATCTTGCTTACCCAGTGGTCAAGCAGAGGTGTCAAGGATGCAAGACACTGATCCCTCAATGTTGAATAACGAAATCCTCCTCAATACCAGTTGTTCGTTTCAGTTTCCATTTTTAATGATGGCAGAGTCCTAAAAATCTAGTTGATATTTTGTCAGCTGAAACTCAAGCTAGATCAGGCCACTCTGCCATAGCAGATGTTAAGTTGTTGATGTTTCACAGATACACACACACAAATACAGGCCAGTATTTTTTTTAAGCAGCTAACAACATTAATTCATATATTTCCTAGCCAAAAATATGTTTATGTATCCTTATGTTAAAATATTATTTTGGACTTTAAGAAATCTTCAAATATGTAAAAACACACTGTGGGATATGTTTAATAATGATTTCAATACGAATTGTTTACATATGTGTTTGATTTCTGAATAATTGATGGATAGCGCCAGAACTCCCAAATCACCAAATCTGTGTCTATAAAGAAAGTTTTCAGACTAATTACTTCCTGAATGCTTCAACTTCATATAAAGAGAATGGTAGGGTAAAAACAAACAAAAACAGAGCTCAGAAAGAATAGGAAAAAATGTGTGTGGTCTATTTTTCTATGCGTAGCATAAACCCTAAAAAAATTTTTTTTAATGAAAAGAGGATATTTGTAGTCTGTCAAGGGCAAATATAGTCGTGTTTGTTTGAATGTCTGGAAGGAAACATCCGGCACTATATATAATCCTAGAGAGTCGCAGACAATATTAAGATAGGCACACATGCGCACACCCACACTTGAATACTGGAGACTTGTCTCAGAATTCCATCTCTTCTTAAAATATTTTTTTTCTTGTTTTTATTGGTTCTTTTTAGTTATGCATAAGAGTAGAATCCATTTTGACATAATTATAGAAGCATGGAATATAACTTGTTCTAATTCGGTCCCCAGTACCTCCATTTCCCCTCACCTCCCCAGTTCTCTGTGCTCTGTAGATCTTGCTTTCTTTTACCCATAGTTTTGTTTTTTTTAATTCATTTCTTGTGGATGGACATGATGGTGAGATTCACTGTGGTATATTCACGTATGTGCATAGGAAAGTTAGGTCAGATTCATTCCACTGTCTTTCTTTCTTTCTTTCTTTTTTTTTTTATTAGTTGCTCATGACAATACAATGATCTTGACATATCATACATTTGAATCAAATGGGGTATAATTTCTCATTTTTCCAAGTGTACAGGTTGCAGGATCACATTGGTTATACAGCCACGTATAGACATATAGCAATACTAGTGTCTATTTTATTCTGCTTCCATTCCACTGTCTTTCCTTGTCCCATCCCTCTCCCTTCCCTTCATTCCCCTGTGTTACTCCACTGAACATCTATCCCTAACCCCTATTGTGAATGAGCTTCCAGATATCAAAGAAACATTTGACCTTTGGTTTTGGGGGATTGACTTATTTTATTTAGCATTATAGTCTCCAGATCTGTTTATTTACCAGCAAATGTCATAAAGTCATTTTTCTTTATGGCTGAGTAATACTCCATTGTGTATATATATACCACGTTTTCTTTATCTGTTCATATGTTGCACAATCCCATCTCTTTTTGTGTGTGTAAATACAGTCCGGGTTTGGGAGGGTGGATTTATTTTTACAAACTCTTACTACTCCACTTGAAGTAAAACTGTACAGTTGAAGAAGTTTGCTTGGTGACCTCTGGATTGGGGTTGATGAAATGCTAATGTTCTTTTCCTTTTCTTGTTTCCAGGGACCCTCGGGTATTAAGGGCAGTGAAGGCTACTTGGGGGAGGAGGGCATTGCCGTAAGTCAAGGCTTTTACTCAGCTTTTTTTTATTCTTAAAAACATATCTACAGTATGAAATGTCTTGTGTCGCTTCACAGGAAGGCAAGAAAGGTCAGGTTCTAAGAATTCATGTACAAAAATCAGGTCCTTCCTAATGTTCATTGTGCTTAGCTTCTTGTGGTTTGTTAAGCTACTGTCTCCTGTTTGATCCAGGTTGCACAATGAACTCAATGCAAAATTATCTTCTTCATTAGGCAAATCAAATCAGTGCTTCTTCACCCTTTCTGGTCCATTTTGCCAAGATAAACCAACTTACCACATTGTTTATCAAAGACCTCATCCTTCCTTCCTTCCTTCTTTTTTTCCTTTCTTTCTTCCTTCTATCCATTCATCCACACATCCATTCACTTAACTATAAGCATCTTACCATTCACTACATGGATATTTATCAATGACTCACTCACTAATGCACTCATTCATTCATTTATTCATTGAGTATATATTAAGTATCTTATATGCCAGGCATAGTGCTAGGCCCTCGAAATGAGAAAATAAAAGGAAAAAATATGGCTCCTACCTTAGAGAACTGGCAGACTATGCGTAGGACAAATGAGACAATGGCTCCAGTTGTTATACACAAGGACTATTTTAGAGGTACAAAGAGGCACAGAGGAGGGTCGAAGAACAAGAACCAGATAGCCTCTAGTACATCTTTGGTGGGAGTTGGAGCTTGAAAGGAAAAAAACTGCAAAAAGTGGGGAAGACTTGGGCAGATGTTGGAAAGATGAGTAGGAATTTCTCCAGGTGAAGTTTGTGAGGAAGAACATTCTACAGAGAGAACAATATGTTCAAGGGCATACAAAAATTTGCAATTTTTCAAAATGGCACATGGTCAACATGGCTGGAACCCAGGACACTGCAGGAGGGGGGTAAAGTTATTGGGAGTCTGAAATACCCTACACACGTTTTGGAGGGTGTCTCCCATTGGCAGTGATTGAACCAAGTTAAGCACAGGAGTAAAAATGATGGGGATGATCGGAAAGATGATCAGAAATGATTGCATGCTCAGGCAATGTTTCTGGTGAGGATAAGGTAGGCGTCACAAGAAAAAGACTTAACAGTCGTGGGTGCAAAACAAGGAGCTGATTATCTTAGCTTGACACAGAATGAATAGATAGGTTAAGAAGATTGAAAAGATATGATTTGGTGACCAGCTGCAGAGAGAGAAGCCAAACACAGTCAACATGAAGGTAGGATCCAAAGAAAAGCAAAGGACTGTCATCAGAATAGCTCTGATTTACTTCCAATCTTTGTTTTTAATAAGCACGGATTATTCTGGATGGTAAACCATGAACAGTCACACACATATTTTTTGCAACAACAACAAAAATCTTGCGGAGTGTCCAAGAAAGAACCCAGATTCCGGTAGGAGAAGCTCATCTGGATACGTGCTCTTTTTCAGGGAGAAAGAGGAGCCCCTGGACCAGTGGGAGAGCAAGGTACTAAGGGATGCTACGGCACCAAAGGTCCTAAGGTAGGAGTCGCATGAGGCGTCATGCTGTCTTCTCAACACTCAGCAGTTCCCTTTTGCAAACTAACTTCTGCCCTTCTTTTCTATTTTCAGGGAAGCAGAGGACTAAATGGACAGGAGGTATGGCCCAGGCCCATTCATTTATCTATTATCTGGAAATTTTTTTTTTTACATTACTGCTGACCAGTAGATCATACCACTGAAGTTTCTGTTGACCTTCTTTTTCTAGCATTAGCAATCTCATTTTGCTTATTTCTTTTATTGTATGCTTTGTATATTATTTGTTGACAGTTTTTCTTAAAGTAATATTCTATATTGCATAGTCTAACCAAGGGGTTGTGTGCAAACTTTGAAATTAGACTGTTTGGGTTTGCTGTCTGACTTCTTTCCACGTAGATGTAATGCACTGTGGTCTAATCACACCTGTCTTTTCAGGGAGAAGTTGGGGAAAGTGGAATTGATGGGTTAAATGGAGAACAGGTAGAGCCTTTTCCTTCCACCACACAGACCCCTTCTGAGCTATTTCTCATTAAGAAAATGGGAACTTGAGCTTTTCCTTCTTTGTCTTTTAGGGGGACAGTGGTCTTCCTGGAAGAAAAGGAGAAAAGGGAGATGAGGGATCCCAGGTAGGGATTCAATAAGGGAAAACCAAAAACTGTCCTTGAAGTTAAACGTGATTAACGGAGTAAAACAGCGACTCCAGGTGTATCAGTCAGCTACCGTCCCAAATTGATTTGTGACCACTACTCATGAGACCCCCAATCATGCACAACATTAAACCTTATTTCTTCTGTGTCCACGGGGTCAGCTGAGCTAGGGTGGGCGAGGCTGACCTTGGCTCGTATGACTGCAGGTTGTCCACATGCATTGTTCTATGCGTTTCCTGTGCTCCTTGGGCCACGGCTCATCCAGCCATGTTGGCCATGAGCTTTTCATGGCCAGGGCAGAAGCAAACACCCCAGACCTCTCAGGGCCTCGCTTGGAACTTTTTCAGCAACACTCCTCTTTCTGTTGACCATCTCCAGTCACTCTGTTGATTCCCTCCAGTGGGAAGGGAATCCTGCCCACCACAGCTGCAATCATTTCAGAGCTGCATGGAAAAAGACACAGGGACAAGGAGGAGTGAAGTATTGGGGCCACCAAGGCAGCTCCCACAAAAAAGCAGAATGAGGGTGGTGACAAGGGTCTGTGGGGCCAGTCAGCGCATGGGGTCATGCCAACCATTTTCATCTAGAATATCGGTACCAACCATGCTTCTATCATTTGCTTTGTCTATGAGTGGGAACCGTTGAGTCAGAAATCCACTTTCTAGCTGATACAACCACCTCCAGGCAAATTGCATGATCTTTCTGAATCTCAGTTGCTCAGCAGAATAGAATAGACATTATGATTGCTGTATGTATATAGGTGACTCTATGACCAGTGTGATTCTGCAATCTGTACAATTAGAAAAATGAGAAATAATACCCCAATGATTTAAATGTATGAATTGCCAAGATCATTGTAATGTCATGTGTAGCTAATAAAAAATATAAAATTAAAAAAAAATAACAATTAGCTGGTGTGATGGCACACAGCTTTAATCCCAAGGACTCAGGAGCCTGAGGCAGGAGGATTGCAAGTTCAAGGCCAGCCTCTGCAACTTGCCTCAAAAAAAAAAAAAAAAAATAGAAAGGGCTGGGGAAGGAGTGCTGTGGTAAAATGCCCCTGGGCTAAATTATCAGTCCAAAGAAAGAGAGAGAGAGAGAGAGAGAGAGAATAATACTTATCTCATAGAATATTCATAACAACTAAAAGGGTTATAAAAGTGTCTGGAACACAGAGCTCACAACTGTGACAAATAATCAAGTTCACTATTAAGTTATTTGTGCCCCAGAACTTTTTTTTGGGGGGGGGGGTGATCTTTTTTTCAAATTTAGAAATAACCTGAGCAGAAAAATAGTGAATTATTCACAGCAGGAAGAAGATTAGCTCTTTGTTTATATTCTTATTGATTTCATTAAAATTTCTCATCTTGTCCTCATTCTGACTTGTATCCACTTTAGGGAAGCCCAGGAAAGAGAGGCGCTTCTGGTGACCGTGGACCAAAGGGCCTTCGAGGAGATCCGGTAAGACCTGTGCTGTGTGGGCTTGTGGACTGTTTTAGGACTGGTCCCACAGGCCCTTCTGATAAGGAGAGATGTTTCCTTTCTATGATGCAATAGCAATCCTGAGTTTAAAACACCAACAATCGTCATTATAGAATTTTAAAAGCAGATATCAGTGCTAGATCTTTTTCATATTCTTGTGTGGCAGAGAGATGAAGGGATCCCAGTGCGTTCCATTATCTTCCTTTTGAATGCCTGAAAATATGGACAGAAACAAACCCATTTCTCTCTCTTTTACTATTCTCCAAGACTCTTTCTCAATTGAGAATAGGAACCTCATTTCCAGGAATCCAAGGCAAATCTGGCAAAACTTCTGACACTAAGTTTAGAGATCCGCCGAGCCAGCTCAGCATGTTTATTATATAAGTTTTAACATCAAAAGGGTTATTGTGAGAAAATTTCTTCAAAACAGGCAGAACCAAGGTCACCGGTATGAGCAGCCCAATTATAATTATCAGCTTGCGGCTGTACTTTCTACCCCCAGGGAAGCTGGTGTCTGAACTTCAAGGTCAAAAACTGGTGGTCCTGTAGCTGGCTGAGAACCTCCTTTTGAACAGGGCATCGCCATAGCAACTGGGCAGTCTCCATGGGCATCTTCACACCGAGAGTTCCCAGAAGAAGCACCACTTCTGTTTACAGGATAGCTCAAGGACCAAAATTCAGTCACCATTCCCGACAAAAAAAAAAGGTGCCTGCTCTCGCAGGGACACAATCCAGTAGAGAAAGCATGACCCGCACACACACACACAGACACACACCAATGCAGGTTGGTGTCCTGCATTGAACATCATCAGTACTATAGAACTTTCATTGCCTGCTTAAGTACATCTCTAAAACCTTAATAGACTCAGACTTAGGTTTAAATTTAAATATCTGCTGAACTTTCTGTTGAATTGTCACGTACTTCAGAAAAATGCGCACCTATAAATGCACGGCTTGATGAATGTGAAGACGCCTGGGTAGTTACCTCCTAGGTAAGGAAAGGAAACGTACCAGCATCCCAAGGGCCCCCCTTGGGCCTGCTCCAGTCACAACCCACCCTTCTTAGATCATGACTCTCCTAGCCCCATACATTAGCTTTACCTGTTCTGGAACTTTATATAAACAGGATCACTTGGTGTCTACTCTTCCGTTTCTCGTTTCTTTTGCTCTACTTTATGCTTGTGAGTTTCCTTCATGTTGCATCTAACATTAGTTCATTCACCCTTTTTTGTATAGTGCTCCATTGTGAGAATATGATTTATTTGTGTATTCTATCATTGATAGGTACTTGGGTTGTTTCCAGTTGTTGCTATTATAGAGTGTGTTGTGGTAGATGCTACTGTACAGGTTTTTGGGGTACACTTTTGTATGCTTTCTATTGGATATCTACATTAGGAGAGGAATTTCTGGATCACAACACGGATGCCTGTATTCAATCTGAATCTTTATAATCAGTTTTCAAAATCGTTCACCCTGACTCACATTCCCACTAGCAATGTATGAGAGGTGTGCTACACACCTGTCAAAATGGCTACAATTTATAAAACTTGGTACTATCGACTGCTGATAGAATGGGGGCAACTGGGAATTTTATGTGATTTTTTTCTTTACTATGTCCTCCTCAAGAATATAATGCCTTGCTCACAGGAATAATTAGGTGAAATATACATACTGACAAATGTTAATGTTAGGTGCACTTTAAAGATGAGTTTACTTATAAAGCAGAGGAATTTGCACTTGATGGCAACATTGTTCACTGAATGACATCTTCTGATAATGGTCTGGTGACCCAAGAGTTTTGCAGACACAACTGCAAAGTATCTAATTTAGAACAGGAAAATATCCACAAATAAGGGTAATAAGAAACAATAGTCTAAACAGATGGACAATTCAATCATCTATATATAATGATCAGAAATTCATTTGAGGTATTGATACACACTTTCCATAGACTTTGATTAGAATTTCCCTTTGTCTATTATTTTTTTTATTTCTTACATACATGACAATAGTGGAATGCATTACAATCAAATTATCCATTCAAAGCACAATTTTTCCTAACTCTGTATATAAAGTATGTTCATGCCAAATTATGCCATTATACATGAGCTCTCTTATTATTATTATTTTTTGCATTACAATTCTTAATACACCTTTATTCCTTAACTGTATGATCATATAATGTTTTTTAATTACTTTTTATTTATATATGACAGCAGAATGCATTACAATTCTTATTACATATATAGAATACAATTTTTCATATCTCTGGTTGTATACAAAGTATATTCACACCAATTCGTGTCTTCATATATGTACTTTGGATAATAATGTTCATCACATTCCACCATCATTTTTAACCACATGCCCTCTCCCTTCCCCTCCCACCCCTCTGCCCTATCTAGAGTTCGTCTATTCCTCCCATGCTTCTTCTCCCTACTCCTTATATCAGAGAAAACATTCGGATTTGTTTTTTTGGGGATTGGCTAACTTCACTTAGCATTATCTTCTCTAACTCCATCCATTTACCTGAAAGTGCCATGATTTTATTTTCTTTTATTGCTGAGTAATATTCCATTGTGTATATATGCCACATTTTTTAATCAATTCATCTGTTGAAGGGCATCTAGGTTGGTTCCACAGTTCAGCTATTGTGAATTGTGCTGCTGTAAACATTGATATGGCTGTATCCCTGTAGTATGCTGATTTTAAGTCCTTTGGGTATAGACCAAGGAGAAGGATATCTGGGTCAAATGGTGGTTCCATTCCCAGTTTTCCAAAGAATCTTCATACTGCTTTCCAGATTGGCTGCACTAATTTGCAATCCCACCAGCATGTATGAATGTCCTTCCCCTTCATATAATGTTTTAAAAAGAAACTGGATAATGTAAAATAATTCATTTTATTTTTAAAAAAAAAACATTCTCTGACTTCAAAATGACTGTAAACTCAACCCATCAGAGCTTCTGTGATGTGCTGTTAGTCAATAGTTCTAAGTTCAGACGGCTTTTCAAAACAGAACAATTCTTCCCACCCACTTGGAATATGCATCTCAAATTTAAAACAACTCTATGTGCTTTTTTGTTGTTGTTATTCTACTTAGTTGTACATGACAGCAAAATGCATTTCAATTCATAGTACACAAATGGTGCACAACATTTCAATTCCCTGGTTGTACACCATGTAGAGACACAGCATTCGTGCAGTCATACAAGTACCTAGGGTCATAATGTCCATCTCATTTCATCATCTTTCCTACCCTCATAATCTGTCTCCACCCTCCTCTTTGCCCAATCCAGAGATCCTCTGTTCTTCCCATGCCCTCCCTCATTATAGATCAGCATGTATTAATCAGAGAAAACATTTGGCTTTTAGTTTGGGGATTGGCTTACTTCATTTAGCATAATATATTCCAACTCCATACATTTATCTGCAAATGCCATAATTTTATTCTCTTTTAATGCTGAGGAATATTCCATAATGTATGTACACCACAGTTTCTTTAACCATTGATCTACTGAAGGGCATCTAGGTTGGTTCCACAGTGTAGCTATTGTGAATTGAGCTGCTATAAACATTGATGTGGCTGTGTCCCTGTAGTATGCTGTTTTTGAGTCCTTTGGGTATAAACTGAGGAGTGAGATAGCTGGGTCAAATGGTGGTTCCATTCCAGTTATCCAAGGATTCTCCATATTGCTTTCCATATTGGCTGCACAAATTTGCAGTCCCACCAGCAATGTATGAGTGTGCCTTTTCCTCCACATCCTTGCCAACACTTATTGTTGTTTGTATTCTTGATAAGTGCCATTCTGACTGGGGTGAGATGAAATCTTAGAGTAGTTTTGATTGGCATTTCTCTACTTACTAAAGATGTTGAATACTTTTTCATATATTTGTTGATTGCATGTATATCTTCTTTTGAGAAGTGTCTGTTCAGTTCCTTAGCCCATTTATTTATTGGGTTATTTGTTTGTTGGTATTAAGTTTTTTGAGTTCTTTATATATCCTGAGATCAGTGCTCTATCTGATGTGCATGTGGTTAAAATTTGGTCCCATACTGTAGGCTCTCTCTTCACCTCAAGGATTGTTTCTTTTGCTGAGAAGAAGCTTTTCAGGTGAGTCCATCACATTTATTGATGCTTGATTTTATCCCTTGCACTTTTGGAGTCTTGTTAAGGAAGTCAGGGCCTAATCTGACATGATGAAGATTTGGGCCTACTTTTTCTTCTATTAGGAGCAGGGTCTCTGGTCTAATTCCTTGGTCCTTAATCCATTTTGAGTTGAGTTTTGTGCATGGTGAGAGAAAGAGGTTTAATTTCATTTTGCTATATATGGATTTCCAGTTCTCCCAACACCATTTGTTGAAGAGGCTATCCTTTCTCCAATGTATGTTTTTGGTGTCTTTGTCTAGTATGAGATAACTGTTTTTATGTGGGTTGGTCTCTGTGTCTTCTATTCTGTACTATTATCAACATGTCTATTTTAGTGATAATACCATGTTGTTTTTGTTACTGTTGCTCTGTAGTATAGTTTAAGGTCTGGTATTGTGATGTCTCCTGCTTCACTTTTCATGCTAAGGATTGCTTTGGCTATTCTAGGTCTCTTATTTTTCCAAATGAACTTCATGATTTCTTTTGTAGTTCTATGAAGAATGTCATTGGAATTTTATTTTTTTATTTATTTTTTTGGGGGGGTAGCTATATTTATTTATTTATTTATTTTTATTGGTTGTTCAAAACATTACAAAGCTCTTGACATATCATACTTCATACATTAGATTCAAGTGGGTTATGAACTCCCATTTTTACCCCAAATACAGATTGCAGAATCACATCGGTTACACATCCACATTTTTACATAATGCCATATTAGTGACTGTTGTATTCTGCTACCTTTCCTATCCTCTACTATCCCCCCTCCCCTCCCCTCCCATCTTCTCTCTCTACCCCATCTACTGTAATTCATTTCTCTCCTTGTTTATTTTCCCATTCCCCTCACAACCTCTTTTATGTAATTTTGTATAACAATGAGGGTCTCCTTCCATTTCCATGCAATTTCCCTTTTCTCTCCCTTTCCCTCCCACCTCATGTCTCTGTTTAATGTTAATCTTTTCTTCCTGCTCTTCCTCCCTGTTGTGTTCTTAGTTGCTCTCATTATATCAAAGAAGACATTTGGCATTTGTTTTTTAGGGATTGGCTAGGAATTGCATTAAATTTGTATAACAGTTGGGTAGTATGGTCATTTTGACAATATTAATTATGCCTATCTGAGAGCATAGGAGATCTTTCCATCTTCTAAGGTCTTCTTCAATTTCCTTCTTTAGTGTTCAGTAGTTTTCATTGTAGAGGTCTTCCACCTCTTTTGTTAGATTGGTTCCCAAGTATTTGGATGCCCTCTTTCACCACTTCTATTCAACATAGTCCTTGACATTCTATCCAGAGCAATCATACAAACAAAAGAAATTAAAGGGATACAGATAGGAAAAGAAGAATCAAACTATCACTATTTTATTTAGAAGATCCAAAAAAAATTCCACCAGAAAACTTCTAGAATTAATACATAAGTGATGAATCCACTGAAAAAGAGAAATCAGGAAAACTACCCCATTCAAAATAGCCTCAAAAAATATAAAATACTTGGGAATCAATCTCTGTGCTTTTTTTTACATGTGGTGTTAGTGGGTTGCTATTTCAGGAAGAATTCAGGAGAACAAGATCAAGACAGAATAAATAGAACATATGATCAGATTATTCACAGGAATGCATGCAAATGACACACATTCCTGAAAACTTGAGCTTATGCAGATTGAATTTGTGATCAGAGGAAAGCTCATTTGGCTGTTTGGAGTTTCCCATTTTGACAGGAAGTTTTTTTTTTTTTTTAATTTCCAGTAATGCTGGGGGTGGGGGAACTGAGCTAAATCTTTTACCTGATCTACAGAGTCTAGTAAGTCTAGAATGTTAATCATTTGACAACATTCTTAGAAGCCCATGTTTAATCATAAGTTTCTGTTAAATGGTATTTTTTTGTCCATTTGCATAGATCATGAAAAGACTAAATTTATTCATGTTCACATCAGCCAAACTATTTATCTATATGTAACTGAGGTTGTTTGTTCTATTAAATATACTGGTGTGTGATTCTTTTCTATCATTTCAATCAAATCCTGTAGAATTGAACTACAATAAGGGGCTTATGTGTCCAACGGAACAAAATTCTGAACTTTGCCTTCCTTTTTCTCACTTGCTATATTTGTTAAAATACAATTTTCCACCTTTGTCTTTTAGGTATATCTGCTTAGAGAACTTAAGAGTCAAATACTTAAACCTAAAGGGGGAAATTAAAATGTAGAAAATAATCTTTGGTTTTGGTAGGTAACTGAAAGAAATATTTTCTTATGTACATTTTAGTTATATCGATTATATAAAATAAACTCCAGATTCATCATTTTCACCCTATTAGCCTACAGGCTCTGTAAGTACAAAAACTATTTACAAAGTATCTGGAGCAATGATAAGTCCCTGTTGGTGATGGCAAATTACTTATTGATTGATGAAGGTAATCTGGGATGCTATCAGTTGAACATCCCGGCAGCTGGCACTCAGCAGGACTGGATAATTGTTGTCCCCTTTCAATTTATAAGAGCATCGACTGAATTGATTGGCTCAATTGATTGTCTCAGCATCACGGAACTCTGTCTGTGGTCCTTAAATCCAAGTTAGAAAGCCTTCAGTTTGCCTGCTAAGGATAACATCCCACAATGTGTGCCTACTCAAGTTTCTACTTGAATGTTTGCATGAACATTGAAAAAAAAAAAAACTCGAAGATTCCAGAATTTCCTGGAAACCGAAAAAATAGGGCCGGGGAATAGTATGTGGAGGGCAGCCAGGCATCCAGGAAGAGAAAGGAGATGAGTGGAAGGTATAGACTTCAGCATCCAGCAGTCTGCTTACATTATTGTGGTGGAACCCATCAGGAGCGTTTGCCTTCTCCCCAGGGGAGAGGAGAGCAAAATCTACTGATTCTCAAGTATAAATTTACACCACAAGAAAAAGGAAATGTGATGAGAAGGAGTAGCAAGAAGGGGAACCCAGGATAAGAGTTGACTTCCACCTGAGTCATGTTACATTCTTAAGAAGAAATAATTCAAAACCTATGAATTTTTCTCCTTTTTTTTTTTCAGGGAATTCCTGGATTTGACATTTACATAGAAGGACCCAAGGGCTTGAAAGGAGAACGTGGAAGACAAGTAATTATGTGGGCATTTGAAAGGAAACTTATAAAATGATTTTGGGACAACAGTGAGACTCAAGGTCAAGTAATAGAATATGAAATGCCTGATAAAGAATTTGAAATCAGATTGAATATACTTGGTGCAGGAAAACCATTGTTAGGAACGGTAATGTCTTTTACTCCTGCTCATCAGCTTCCCTGGGATTGGAAGAACATTCTCTTCTAAATCTGATGTGATTGCTTCACCAAGCTGTATCCTTGAGGTCTTTATTCATGAATACAAACATCTAACTGTAACTTAAAATGTAGGGTTAGCTGATTTCGAGAACAATGACAGCAATAAAACCGTGCAAGCGAAAGAGTTTTAGGCCTTCCCAGAATCCAGAGCGCACATCCTCTAAAGATTTGATTAAAAAAAAAAAAAAAAAAAAAACAAGACCTGGTAGATTTATGTGGTCCATACACCCAAGGCAAATCTCTTGGGATTGATCTCATGAAATCTCACTGTTTGATCTGTCATAACCTGTTTTTCAAGATTTTCTTCTTAAATAATTATCTGAAAAATGTCCCTGATACTTTTTTTTTTTTTTGTACTGGGGATTGAGCCTGGGGCACTTCACCACTGAGTGACATCCCTTTTTTGAGGCAGGGTCTTGCTATGTTGCTAAGGCTGGTCTCAAACTTGTGATTCTCCTGCCTTAGCCCCCAGGTTGCTAGGATTATACACATGCACCATTCCTCTTGATAAGAAAGTTCCCTTGATAACTTCAGCTAGGGAAGAAGTCTGATAGGCAGAACTTTTTGATTTGGAGACGACTTACTTTTTGGAAGCTCTGTTCCTTACTAACTTTGTGGCTTTGGACCACTTTTTGTAAACCTCAATTTTTTCATCTGCAAAATAGTTTGAATAGCCTACTTTTATATTTTCTAGGCTTGTAAATTATACTGTAGTTTTGCATCTTGGGAAGACTTGTGAGTATCATGAAGTTTTATTCACAGTAAGATGTTAAGCTACAAAGGTGAGCCAACGAAGAAATACAAACCAGTCACAGATGTCCCTGGTACATAGAGAGCTTCACTGTGCTGATGGTGGGAGTAGCTTGATTTGAATACTCTGATGTGTACCCAGATACAAGTTAGACAGTGGTGATGAGCAGGTGAAGCCTTGTCATCAGTGTTTTGTCCTGCTGGTTCTTGTCACCCACATGGAGATGTGATGTATGACCACTGGAAGTTAATGCCACATTCCAAAGGGAGGTACCTTTCTCGCTGGTTCGAACCCATCTGTTCTCCCTCGAGTACAAGCTGATGTTAAGCAGGAACTGTGTCAGCGCTGGGCAATTGCCTTCACATGTTTATCTGTTCCTTTAACAGGGTAGAAGAGGCTGGCCAGGACCCCCTGGAACACCAGGCTCCAGAAGAAAGACAGTAAGTGTCCTAGACAAGGAGACCCCTGGCTCCAGAGCTTACATTGTCATTGAAGGCTATGGACAATTCTCTCTCATGTACTTTTAGTCATGACTGTGGCTGATTGTGGGGATGGGGAGAATGGTTGCATTGAGTCTCACTATCTTGGGGGCCCGAATTAGGATATTGCTCAGAATAAGACTGGTGAAGGACTTGGGAGAGCCTCTTAAACTGGAGAGGAAAGTGTGGATGCAGGAGAAATTGCCATCAGGAGAGACTACCCAAAAGAGGGGGGGAAAAAAGCCTCCAACAAGGGGGGGTCAACATTTGGTCTACTTCAAGGCTAACTGTGATTGCAAGGGATGCCTTTTCACAGTCCAAAGCCCATTCCTTTGCCAAATTTTATAACTATATGGTGAGTCTGGAAAAAATGGAAGAAAAGCGGCCCAGGTTTAGGTATATATCTGAGAGGTTAGTTAGGTTAGTTCTTATGGAACTCTTTGTGGGTATCTTTTTTTTTTTTCATTGTTTTATTTTGTTGGGTTTTTAAATGAATACTTTTAAAAAACTTTTTCTGTGCTTGACTGCTTAGAAAAGCACAGAGATTATAAAAGAAAGTCTTTATCCAATAAGCAATAATTTAAATGAAATTCACATGGACACCTGCATCAGTCTAAATTAAACCTATTTTATCTCATTTTGCAACATTTTCTTTTCATTCTTTGGTTATCCAATCTCTCCAAGTTCCCTCGCCTCCCCCTCCCAAAAATAAAAAAAAAATGTTTTAAAATTGAGCACAAAGAAAAAGTAGTTGAGGATGTTGCATTTATTACACATTTTACTTTCTGAGCAGAAGTGGTTCATAGAGCTAGCTATTAGACTCCATCAAAAAAAAAAAATCTTTGTGTCTTGAAGCCTACCCATCTTCTTTGCAAGGGAGAGGAAATGGAAGGAAGAACTGAGATTACATTTAAAATGGGCAGAATTGGATTGCTGGGAAAGCACTTCAGTAACGCTGTTTTAATGCATATAAAGAAATGCATTTGCTATTCATTTTACTTTCTAAAAGGGTGTAGGCTGCTTACATACCCCTGGAAAATATTTTCAATTTAAAGACTATCATCCAGGAAATCCTGGCATGTGAGAGTGTGCATTTATTGTTTTATAGCCTCTAGAGACTAATGCAGTGTCTCCAAGTAGTATTGAAACCACAACTGCTAAGAAATACAGCCCCCTTGTTGAATTGCAGATTCAGCCAGGTTCACAGGAGTTAGAAGCAGGAATTCCAGTTCAAAAAACGGCAAAGCAAAGGTGTTTTTTAACATGATTGCTCTGCTGTGCAACTCACCCCAAAGAAATTCAAATTAGAGAAACAAACAGGACCACAGCTTCAGACCACAAAGGATGGCAAATACCAGCCAACTACTTTAAAATCTGGACCCTAATGAGGAAGGGTTTGGAGAGTTAATACACATCAACTTACATCTGATAAGCTGGGATCAGATTTCTCTAAAAGTAACTGGCACTGTCCAGAAAGCACTGGTGAACAAAACCCAGAGGCACTGTGGGTTTGAGAGGAACACAATTAGTACAAACACAATTAGCAGAGGAAGAAGGGTAAAGATGAGAAAGTGAAAAAGAGTCCATCTGTATTATCTACAAATCCAGCCAAGGCCCACAGAGGCTGCAAACAATGAGGATGGAAGACACAGTGCCTATCACAGCACAGAGAGACCAGGACTTTAAGGGCTTCCTGTGAATTCCATGAATCTCTTCAATGCCAAAAGCTGGGAGGAAGATGTAGCCCTAAGGTAAAATAAATAAGTAAATAAATAAATAAATAAATAAATTTTGATAAGAAAGTGTTTGAGACAGCAGCGTATCTATATCAAAGCTACTGGCTCAATCTCATCTACACCTCCCCATAAATTCTGCAGTCAACAGGTGCTCCTATTCAAAGATGGCTAAAGGTCAGAAATACTGCTAATTCTTTTATGAATTAATCAGATCATTAATCAGCAGCAGCTGCATAGGAGAGAAGAAAATCATTACCAACAGATAAATAAACCCTGATTAGAAGAGGGATGATTCAAGGAAAAAGTACAACTCTGGCAAATAGTTCTTCAAAGTTTCAAAGAAATGAAAATAACATTATTGCTTTAAAAAAAAATTTCAAAGAATTGACAAGACAACAGGAAGGGAGAGAAGCAAACTGGTCATGCTCAGGGGCAGTGGAAGGACAAAATGAAGCCCTCTACAATATAGTAGAAAGGTGACCGCTTGATTTGTCATTCCATTTTTGTTTTTTCCTTCTATTCGAGTAAAATGTAATATTTTAATTAAATTTAAATGTAATATTTTAATTTAAAATAGCATGAAGAGTGTGATCCCTCTTTAATGCAAAGTACCACTATTTAGAATTTATGCATGGAGAATTTGGGATGATTTTAAAAGACTTATTCTGTGTACTTTCTCTGTTCAAATATCTAAAAATCAGCACATATTACTTTTAGTAGAAAAAAATACTTTTATTTTTTTCATTAGGAGAACTTTCATTGGATACCATTTCCTTTTCTCCTTTTTCTTTCTTTTCTTTTTTGTGTTCTTTTTTATTTGTTCTAAAAAGATATACAATGACAGTAGAGTGCATTTTGACATACTATATATACATAGAGTATAATTTAGTCTAATTAGGATCCTATTATTATGGTTGTGCATGATGTAGAGTTTCACTGGTCGTATTCATATATGAACATAGGAAAATTATGTTGATTGATTCCACTGTCTTTCCTAATCCTATCCCCTATCCCTTCCTTTCATTCTCCTCTGTCTGATTCACTGAACTTCTATTGCTTTAAATAGATATTTCTGCCAGGCACAGTGGCACACCCCTATAATCCCAGCAACTCAGGAGGCTGAGGCAGGAGGATCACAAGTTCAAGGCTAGCCTCAACAATTTAGCAAGGTCCTAAGCAACTGTAGTGAGAACCTGGCTCAAAATTAAAAGTAAAAAACATAAAAAGGGCTGGAGGTGTGGCTTAGTGGTAAAATGCCTGTGGGTTCAATACCCAGAATAAATCAATCAAAAATTTAATTAAAAATAAATATTTCCTTTTGGTCAAAATTATTGTCTTTTTATTTTCCATATTTCTATTGGTACATTGTAGTTGTACATAATGGAGGGATTTGTTATTACATATTTAAACATGTTCACAAAATCAATACAATTTGCTCAATATCATTCCCCATATTTCTCTTTTCCCTCTTAGTTCCTTTCTTCTACTCTACTGATCTCCCTTTGATTTTTCATTATTATTTTAGGAAGAAGAAAAATCTATACCATTCACTGCAAAACTGTGAAATATAACCAGGCCTGGGATATAGCTCAGTAATATAATGCTTTCTGAGCACACACAAGGCCCTGGGTTCAATCCCCAGCACTACAAACAAAATTATTTTAAATGTAGGTTGATAATGAGCATTCAGGACTTCACAGTGCACTAAGATCCTGCTGATCTAGTAAGTGATTGGAGGATGGCCAATAGCAGGATGTGGCATGAAGAGCCATCATTGAACTGATTTGACATTTATCCATTCAACAAACATTTGTTTAGCATCTACAATGCACCAGCAACTCTACTAACTATCAGAGTTATAAACTCAAATAAGAGGTGATCTTCGCTCTCAAGGAACTCAGAACCACGTTGAAGAGCCTGATTTCTCAGCCCCAGTCCTATTGGCTTTTGTTGAATCACTCTTCATGTTGGGCTCTGTTGGAGGTTAATGCCACCACTGACCTCTACTCACTATGTGCCAGTATTACCTCTGACTTGTGACAACAAAAGTTTCTCCTGACTTTACTAAATCCTTCCTGGAGAAGGGAGCTAAGCACCCCCCATTCAGTTGAGAACTCTTGGTGTTGAGAGAGGCTAATTAATTGTTACCATAGTTGCCGCAGTCTGGCTGGGCACAATTAACGAGCCACTTGTCAAGCAGAAATGAACTTTATTTTTAGAACACACGCTGCACCACAGAAGCTCTTCAGGAATTCCCTCAGAGCCCAACTGCCACCACCGGCTTCCTGAGCCTCTCAACCCCCACTCCTCCTGCTCTTGAGGCCGATTGGCTGGGTCGCATGGGCGGAGCCATGGGCGGAGTCAAAAGAGTCCCCCAATGAGCAGCTCCGGGGTATGAAAGGGCGGGGGAAACAGCCCAATGAGCATCTGCAGAGGAGCCAGTCAGCTGGCAGCTAGAAGTTTGCTGGGGCCACTGTGAACCAATCAGCTGGAAGTTTGCTGGGGCCCCTTTGGCTGTGGCTCTCAACAATAGTTATATCAGGAGACTTGGCTGGACTGGGACCTGAGAGGCAAGGAAGAAGGACCAGAGACACAAAGCAGCAGTGCAGGGGCGTAGGTGGGGTTGGCTCTTTCTGAACCACACTTTGCTTGCTGAGAATTAGAAGAGATTCTTGTGCCAGAGCTAATGAGAAGCAACTGTAGCCTCAAACCAAAGCATGTCTTCATTCCTGTTCAGTCCAGAGGCTGTTAGTTATGCTTGGCCCTTTTCATCCTTCTTGGCCCTACTATACAGGCCTTCTGAAGTGCTCTGGTACAGTTCAGCCTCATTGCGAACCAGTAAGAATCTGCCAGTAAGATTCAATATTGTGATGTTTCACCATCTTGCTTTATTCCTGGTGATTCTCTGTCCCAAATTAGTCCACACCTATCTAGGAAACTGAGTCCTGGAAACATTTAGGAAGCCAGACTGAGGAATTCAGGGGCTAAGTATCCTGTACTGGGTCCTCTTCCCTTTCAAGTTCTTTCTTGATGTGCTCACTCATATTGGCTTCAAATATAAGTCCATTAGTGTGGATGTTACCAGAACTCTACCCGCCCTTGGGCAAACCACTGGGACGTATTGAGATTTCATCTTTCATTTACAAAACATTTGCAAAATCGTGTTTTAACCCATTTCACTGTTTGTTTGTTTTCCTGTCTCTCATATCTGCCAAAGTATCTCTCCCATGACTTTCAACTGGAGCTTAAACCCCAAATAGCCATTAACAAAAGCGAGAGGCGATGACTTCTCAGTGTGCTCCCATTACTTGTGCGACTGGTGGATTAAAGTCTGTCTCCTCGCTAGGGACAGGAGTCAGAGCCTGCTCACCATGACCTAGCTGTGGCTTGGGAGGAGCAGGGACTCAATAAACATATGTTGCCATGACTCATTTTACTCAAGCCCTTTCAAAAGCTGAGCTTAAAGACACAAGAGAACTAATGTTCGTAGATGATGTTTCAAACATGGTGACCATGAACCAGAGAAATACTTTTGAATGTGGACATCTGCTCTGTATTCCTTAAGGTATAACAGAAACTCTTTATTTTGCTGGAATACAAGGTTTATTTCAGTTTCTCCTACTGCAACTGGATGCATCTACCTAAAGCCTAGGTCTGACCAGAGACACTTCCTGCTCCATGAACCCAGTGGCTTCTGAGGCACATTGTACCAACCCTTTACCCATCTTGCTACTTCCCTCTCTTTTCACACCTTTGATCCCAGTGGCCTTATTGTCTTCACCAAATACTTCATCACCTAGGCCATACCCTGGGCTGGAAAGACTTCTTACATCCCTAGGATGTGAGACTTCTACCTGTATTTTTAAACCCATATCAAAAACCTCTTCCTCCGGAAAATTCTCCTGATTTGACAAACTGAATACAATTATTTCTTTCAAATTCATACTTAAATCTTACCACTGTTTATGACATTTTCCATAATTATCTTATAATATTTATCTACCTACAAAACCTAAACAACGAAGATCTCTTGAGGTCAAAGATTGTACATGTGTGTATGATAGTTATGCTCCTCTGGTACCCATTTAATGTAATTTAAAGAATAGCAGATATTTTGTCTGAATGGAAGTATCTACTGGTTGATGTTTTTAGTAGATATTTTTTTTCTGAATGAAACTGAAGTGAATTGAATTGGAACAGACAAAACCCTTGTGCTGAAGTAGTAGAATCAGCTTGTTGTCCTGACAGAATTTAAACTTTGTCTCAGGATGACTCACCAACTCACAGTCTTGTTTCTCAAATAACAATAGGCTTTAAAATCTGATTAGCAGAATTTAAAGCCTGCAGTACTGGCCTCTCCAAGAACATTTCAAATTTCCATCAAGACAATGTCATCTGATGTTTACTGAATTTTGTAAACCCTGGATGTGAGTTTTGCTAGACCCTTAGTGAGTTAGACAAAAAAACCAAAAAATGTTATTGTCTCTTGACTTGCTGATTGATGAGAAACTGATATGGAATATACCCACACTCCTAACCCTACATAGAGTAAGAAATCCACTTGATTATAAAGCACCATTATTTTGGTTGGATATTTTATTAATATACTGAAGTAAGTAATTATTGAATTCTAGGTATATTATTTGGCTTCTAAAAAATAAAACAGTTTGAAAAAATAAAAATAAAACAGTTTGGCTATCTTTAATTTCTGAACTTAATCTATTACAAAGTTCCTGAAGCCAATTCTCCCAGTTTTTCCTCTGGCCTCCTGCCTTTGGCTAATCCACTCCTGATTTCTGGCTTACTTAGACTAGCTTGGGGAAAAACAAAAAGAAATAAAATTCGAATCCATCAATTATACAGCTGGTGAACAGCTCGAGTAAAAAGTTTAGTGGAGGACAAACTATTGACCACAGCCTGTTCTCATAAGTATCTGTAGATATCAGTTGTCTATGATTTCAATTACCTAGTGCCCTAGGATAGAAATTCAGAGTTGGCGACATGTTGCTTTCATGGTACAGTAATAATTGAATGTTTTAAGCACTGTGTGGGAACTATTATTTATGTCAGTGCCTCAAAGTTTCCATTACTAATTTAAATCATATATAAATAGCATATTTACTAAATTAAAAATATCCATTTTCCCCTCTTGTTTTAGGCATCTCATGGCCGAAGAGGACATACAGGCCCACAGGTCAGTGATTCTTTTTCTTAACTCCAAATTATCAATATTTTATGTCCAGTCAAGGACCCAGATAAAGGCTCTGTAGTCTCTTTCCAGCCAAAATGTCTTTTGCTTTCTGATAACATTGATTATGCAATAAAATGTTGGAAAACTTTTAGGCTACAATTTCAAGAATTCAAATTTCAAAATAAAATGAAAAGTTGAGCACTTTAGTTTAAAAAAACATAAAAATTAATGACCAAAGACAGTATTTAGCCCAATTATTGTTAAGTTCAGAACTTTATTTGGATTTCAAGGAATCTCCATACTGCTTTCCAAATTGGCCACACCAATTTGCAGTCCTACCAGCAATGTACAAGTGTACCCTTTTCCCCACATCTTCGTCAGCACTTGTTGTTATTTGACTTCATAATGGCTGCCAATCTTACTGGAGTGAGATGGTATCTTAGGGTGGTTTTGATTTGCATTTCTCTGACTTCTAGAGATGGTGAGCATTTTTTCATGTACTTGTTGATTGTTTGTATGTCCTCCTCTGAGAAGTGTTTGTTCAGGTCCTTGGCCCATTTATTGATTGGGTTATTTGTTTTCTTATTGTTTAATTTTTTGAATTCTTTGTATACTCTGGATATTAGGGCTCTATCTGAAATGTGAGGAGTAAAAATTTGTTCCCAGGATGTAGGCTCCCTATTTACCTCTCTTATTGTTTCTCTTGCTGAGTTAAAAACTTTTTAGCTTGAGTGAGTCCCATTTGTTGATTCTTGTTTTTAACTCTTGTGCTATGGGTGTCCTATTAAGGAATTTGGAGCCCGACCCCACAGTATGTAGATTGGAGCCAACTTTTTTTCAGATAACTCAGTAAACAAGCTTTCTTTTAGAGTTTTGTTCAATTAACTCTCAACCCTTACTTACAATTTGTAGAAACCCCGTATAAGTCAATAAAATACAATGAAATTTTAATACAAAGTGCATATTCTGAATATTTTGTTCAAAAAATAGATCAAAAGCCATATGATATCCACTTTGCACATATTGGTGATACATTATACATGCTTTATGAGCCTATGATATTTCTCACCAGAGAAAAGAAGAATTTTACTCATGAAATGAATAACTAAATTAAATTGTAGCAGATTTCTTTTCAGAAAACAGTAGTAGTACATGCAAGTATAGAGGAAAAATAACTGTTATCCTAGAATTTTAAACCTAACTAAACTATGAGTGAATGTAAAATAGACACTTTTAGACAGACAGACACACACACACACACACACACACATACACACACACAATTTGTTTTAGTCTGTTCCTGATGCTATAACAAAATGTCCTAAAATGGGTAATTTATAAACAACATAATTTTATTTCTTAAAGTTCTAGAGGCTAGGAAGTTCAAGATCAAGGCACCAGCAGATTCAGTGTCTGGTGAAGGTTTGTTATTTCCTCTGCTTTTTGCCATACCCTTACATGGTAGAAGGAGCCCACAACTTCCTTAAGCCTCTTTTATAAAGTCTTTAATTCCATTCATAAGATTGGACCTCTTATGATGTAATTACCTCCCCAAAACCCTGCTTCTTAGTACAATCAGTCATATGAAGGATTAAGCTTCAGTGTATGAATTGAGGGGTTGATCACACACACATTTAGACCATAGCAAACTTCAAAGTTAGACTTCCACAAAAAGAAGAGTAAATCCAACAAAATGGCATGAGATAAATGAAATGAGATGGAGAAAGTGTTAAAAAATCCTTCTTTCTGATTTCAAGAAAAAAGTATCAGTGATGGACATTTAATCCCATCCAACTGTATAAGAACTGAGATACAAACCTAGGCTATCCGAATAGTTGCCTAAATGAAGCTTTTCATAATCCTTTTTTCCTTTTGGGGGTGAGAATTTTTATCTGTGACAGAGTCCAGAACAATGTGAAGAGAATGCTTAATGTTTTCTCTCTAGCTATTTCATCTATTTGATTATAAATATGATATAGTAAGATACTTGGAGATGTTTAAAGAAAATATGAAGCAAATTCTTAGTTATTTTCAAGCCACATGCCCAAGAAAGATATAACATAATACAAATTTTATTGAAAAAGCAGGGGTGTGTGTGAATGTGCACATACATTTAAAGACTGGAAGTAAATACACCATATTTCTGCTTGGTAACTATTTGGATTTTTATTTTCTTCTTTGTATTTGTCCTTATTTTGTATATTTTTATAAAGATCTTCATTGCCATTATAACCACAAGAATATTAACAGTCTTACACTTAAATAAAATTCTTAGGAAATAGCATTAATAGGTTGATTGTTTCTCGCCACAGGGAAAAACAGGCATTCCAGGCCCAGATGGACTTGAAGGCTCCTGGGGACTTAAGGGCCCTCAGGTATGTGTCAAGACCAGTCAGGGTGTGAGACCATATAGCAGAATCTGGGTATGGAAGAATTTGAAGCCTTGATAGAAACCCTCAAACCACCTTGCAGAATTACAGATGTTTAAAGAATTTTCAAGGTAATGAAGTAAGGAAACAATACCATCTTGACTTGTAAAACATTCTAAGTTTTGTCCCAGTTAAGAGGTGGAAAGAGTTTGAACATATTGGGCAGCAGTCCCTGAAGGTTTGGTTTCTGGGTCCTTAGGATAATCCAGTGAGACCTTGAGCCAAGGAAAATATTGAGCCTCAACTCTGGGAATTGTGGTCAATTTAGCACAGTAATGGCTCAGTGTTACATATCTGGATGTCCGTGATGTAGAAAGATTGGCTGCGCTCTAGGAAAGAATTGCTCCAGATACAGCTGGAATCTTCTGCGTGGTGATCTATAGTGTGGCACTCAGCCTGTCCTGTCCAGCTCACTTCTCCAGGGAGAAGCACATTTTTCTTTGCAAGGAATAAACCATAGTTGGCTCTTTACATGGATCACATGAGAAGAGAGGGCAAAATGTAGCCTATAGTAAGGATGAGACAGAAAAGGAGTAAATGCTGATATTAAAGAAAGAAGCCAGACCACCAAAAAAAAAGATAGACTTTCTTTCCTTTTCAAACTAGTTTTGAAAACAAGAGAAATAAGTGTATTATTTGGCACATGTAGGACAATGTGGTTCGGATAGTTTTCAACGTTTTATGACACACAGTTAGAAAATAAAAGCATTCTATGTTGGCAGCTTGGTGTGTAGAAGTTCAGCAAAATATCCTTAAACATCAGAAGAGAAACTCACTAAGATTTCCAAGCAGTAAACAGTCTTCCCCTTGGACCTCTATCTCTTTCTAGCTTGATTGCTTTTCTTTGTTGTTACTTACCAGCTGAGGAGAGCTCGATTTTCTTACTTTTAAGTGAGAAATCTTTGCCACTGGGAATGTGGGGAAGCATTTCAATAGATTCACTGCCTTTATTTCATGCTAAACAAAATAACACTACAGCGTCCTCCTTCTATTTTATAGAACATTACCTCTTTCACCATGTAATTTAAAAGGTGAAGCAAAAACCGAATACAGCATGAAGGTTTCTCTCTGCATAATATAAGGAATCCACAGTTAGTAGACAGTACAGTATTCCAAAAGTAGACATATCTAAATTCCATCTTACCATTAGTTTTATCTTCTTTATGACCCATTTTCAGTGTGGTTATTGAAATAGAATATCTACTTAAATATTTTGGTTCCAGATTTGCACAATTAGGGATTTTTTTTTTAACCTAAGAAATGTATGGGTTCATAGTACAAAGATTTTGAGGACAACTAGACAGCAAAACTGAAAAGCTCAACCGTTCAATATTTCGTCCAGGACCCATTCTCTTTGTCTGCAGATGCCCAAGCACCTAAATTTCAGATTAGACTCTAGTGTCTCCACACAGATGAGGGGGGAGCTTTCGAGATTTAGATGGACCAATGACGTCCTTGGAATTCTCTTTCCAATTTCTGTCCGTGTTGCTGGCTCAGCATTTCCACTTTAAAAAAAAATTCAAGTAAATATTCAAGTGTTCTCTTTTAGGGAGAAAATAATACTGAAATTCTGTGTGTTTAGGGCCCAAGAGGAGAGGCTGGTGCAAAAGGAGAAAAAGGAGGCCTGGGAATGAAAGGCCCTCAGGTATGTAATGAGAGAGAAAGCGATGGCCTCTGTTTTTGATCTTGGCTTTACTGTGGATGTTTTTGTGTGTTCCCCTGTCCCCTACAGGTGGAATTATTTGTAGCCTGTGAATTAACATCATGTCTTAGTTTGTCTTCAGTGCCACATGTGGTGGCTATATCACATTCTGGTTCTCATGTTGCAGAGGGAGCTATCATTCTGTCAGGCACAGAGGTGGGAGATCATGTCTAACTCTCTTTTCCTCCATTGCTCAGCTGAGGTCAAGGATTCCTCCTCTGTGTAAATCAGGTTACATCAGTCCCCTGACCTCAAGTCTCTTAGGACATCCTAGCACACTCAGGATACAGACCATTATCATGACTCTCAACCGAAGAAGAGAATGGTAGGAGAAGCTTCTGGGGAAACTGTAAAACATTCCACCACCTGGGACCCTCCCCAAATCATGTAAATCAGAATCTCTGGAAGTCTGGCAATGCTATCAATCATTCTAAATTCTCCCCAGGTGACTCTATTATATACGCAGGGCTGGGAATGACCGCTCAACATCAACCTGTCTCTGATTTCAAAGTGCATGAGAATCCTCTGGAGAACTTGTTAAAATACAGATTCCAACCCGGTAGTTCTTGGTCAGGGCCTGAGATTCTGCACTTCTAATGAGCTCCCAGGTGCTGCTGCTGCTGGTGGTGGTCTCCCGTCCACACTTTGAGGAACAGGCCCTTGCTTGTTCTCATAGTCTGTGATTTGTTTAGCTGTTTGTCTATCATCTTTGCTAAGATTTTTAACCTCCATAAGGTCTAGTGTTTTATTTACAGTGTCTCCCCAGAGCCCAGAACAGTAGTACCTGGCACATAGAAAAGAATAACACATATTCATACAGTGAATCAGGCAGTAAATGAATGAAAGAGATACACATAGGACTTGCACTCTCCATTAACACTAGGATGAAGGGAATTCATTACTTTGCACCCTGTTGGTTAAATGGGGGCAATGGCCCAACACTTAAGTGGCTGTGCTTATCATCAGAATATTTAATAAGCTATTTGCATAAACTTGTATCACATGACACGATGTGTTAAAGCATATTAATAACTAACTGCTCATGAAGATGTTTGTTCCCAGTTTCAGTGACAGTGCTCCTTTGAAAAGCATGAATACTTTATAATTTTACAGTAGTACTAAATTGATGAAAATAACTATTTCGCATTCACATCCTCAAATTGTTAAACACTTGTTAGCACTACAAATTGAAATTTTTAAAAGAAACAGTAGCAAGTATTTTACCAAGGAAAACATTTATCAGGTGATTATCTCATTAGTTTATATAAAATATTGAAACATAGGTGGATCAAAATCCGAAGGTCATGCTTTTTAAATTTTTGTTCTAGAATCCAGTATGGCATTCAACTGGCTGTTACGCTAATAACTTTTCCATTTTTCCCTATAGTATATCTCTGTGAGTGAGACCCTTTAATCTTTCTTTGGCAATATTGGTCATAGTCATAAATCATTCAACCCCTTGGCATTTCCAGAATTAGTCAAGAGGTACCACTCTTCTTCATTTATCTGGCTGGAGAATGCGATTTTCCTTCTTGGTTTAATTTTCATGAAATACCCTGTCAACACAGTGAAAATGCTGTTTCAAAGATGTGTGGATTTTTCTGATCCATACATGGTGAATTGTTTCCAATGGAAAACCACAGAGATGAACACCATCAGAGGTACAGGGGATTATTCTTTATTGGCTCTGTAAACCCACTGCCACAGGTTTCATATTGGTGTATATAGCACACAAAGACCAGCCACTCTAGTGGAATAAGATGAGCACTTTCTAACAGTGGGCTTGAAGGATTACATCAGGATGTACATTTAGAAAGGGGATGTGATTACTGTTGGTGTTCTGAAGCTCATGAACTTACATGGTATTAGGATGCTCTGCATAAATCAAACGTGCCGATCCCATCTGTGACTATGATATTAAAAAAATACAATTCACAATGAAAAGGAAGAAAGTGCTTTGAAAGGAATGGCATATTGTTCTGTACTTCCCTTTGTTCCCTCTTTGATTTCCCTTAAGATCATATCCTAACATAACCAACACCTAGAAGAAGAAGGAAAAACTAGATCCAAAACACCAATTTCAGTTGGAGCTATAATTATTCTTCAAGCATTTATGTTATCTCAATTAAATAATCACCAGTGGCATGTGCAATATCAAGAAAGGATGGAATTGTTCAATGCAAATTGGAGCACAAAGTAGAATTTCTGTTATTGTCTTTACAAAGCATAGTGCAGTGGTCAAGAGCACAAATCTGGAGCCGGACTGCCTGGCCTTGAGTTCAGGATTTGTACCTTACTAGTTGTGTGATTTGGGCAAATTCATTTAACACCTCCGTGCCTCATTTTTCTCCACTGTAAAATAAGAATACTACTAGTAGCTCCCTCATTAGAGGCTGTGAAAATTCAATGGTCTAATATGTGCAGGTGCTTAAAACATTACTTACAGTAGTAAGAACTACATAAATGTTTGTTATTACTACTATATTGTGACAACATTACCTAATTTATCAGAGGCATTTTATGCCCAAAGAATGTGGGTCACTGTTCTGAGGAAAACCAGATTAGTAACATAACAATATGTAACTTATATCACAATCCTCAGGTTTCGCCATTCTGTATAATCTAAGTTGGACAGTCCTTCAACCATTCCTTTCACTAATTTGACAAATTACTGTAAGTGTTTTCTGTGTATCAGGCCCTATACCAGGATATGAGAACGAATCCAATATAGATTCCAGCTTCAAGTACACCTAGCCTCACAAAAGAGATTCATGCAAACAAATAACTGAGGTGCATTGTACTGAATTGTTAAAATAGAATTATACCCAAGGTAGAGTGGTGGGAGAAAGGATGGACTTCAATGGGGAGATAAGTGGATCCCATTTTTCAGAATGAGGAGTTATTTTCCAGGTCAGCAAGGAAGAGGTAGGCACGTAGTGAACCAAGTTAAATAAAGCAATCCATCAAGGTGAGTTTGGGAACCATTAAATAGTATGGTATTGTTGGAGCATTGGAACATGGGGTGCATGGGAGAGCACTTGAAGGTAAGATTAGGACTGTCTCACAGACTAGCGTGGTCAAGACTGGCATCTTCTCAAGTATCTTGGCATTTGTCCTTACATTAGTCCATCACTTGCTGGCCTCTTCATTTTTGTTTTCTCAGACAAAACTCATATCCAACTCTTATAGAAACTGAGCATTTAATCCCCTTGTTTCTTAGCTTGATATTTGTTGGTTATGAGTTTTTGCAAGATTTTACCCTCATGCGAACAAAAAGCATGGAGTGGTCAGCATTTCTCTTAAGTGTGAGGAGAACCTGCACCTCTTTGCCCTGCCCTGCTATGCCCCAGCCAAAGTTGAGATATCCTTGGCAATGAATGTCCCAACCATCGATCCCAAACTCCTAGTGCCATATCTTCTAATAAGATGCTAAGGATATATATTTTTAAACATTTGAACTCTGAACAGTTCCTTTCTATCCTCACTTAACACTAAAGCATTTGTGGCTGCCAAGGGCAATGAAACAGATTCGACACAAGCAAAACACTTCCAGCCTGAGTCCCCATGTTGGAGATTTGATTTAGCCTCAGCCGCCTGCCTCAAGTTTGGAGACTCACATTTTTAGACCTCTAATCTAAGCTGGTGCATGGATGTAAGACCTTGGGAAGTCTGTCTCACACATGGACCTCAAAATAGCAGAGTGGCTGGTACTTTAGTTTTTAGAGTCAGATAGAATGAGGTTCAATTCCCATCTCATTCTCATATTAACTAAGTGATTTGGGGTAAATGCCTTGAGAATCTGTTTTTGATTTTAATTTCTTGCTACATTGTTGTGGAAATTAAAGATTTTATCTCCCACTTAGCACAGTGCCCTGTACAGAATAAAAAGCTCCATAAAAGGCAGCCACTACAGCAAAGCCAATGAACCTTTAACCTCTAACTAACACCATTGCCCTCAGCTGCTCTTTATATTCCATAGCTGTTCTTGATGTTAAATCCAGGGAACTTTTTGGCTTTGATACCCAGGGGTGCTAGGAAATTTTCTCCTTTCCTTTAGAAACTACCAAATGATCTTTTATCTAACACCAGTATTTGAGTAGGTAATTTATCTGGATAACCATTCGTTGAAACTTGAGCCCTATTCGATCAGTCACAAGTCTCTGTTTGGTACTTTGTAGGATCCTGCATAGGAAACAGAATCAGGTATTTTCTGATTTGCTGATGATAAGGTGTCTTATATGTATTCATCCATTCATCCATCCATCCATCCATCCAAGGCATCTTTTATTTTGGAGGTTCTTAAATCATGATAATTTCTCATTCTACTTGTATGTGCTTTGGGTGACTACACATGAAATAATATCCCAGAAATCTTCTCTACCTCAGAGTTCTTTATGGAAAGAGAGCTTGTAGGCAAAACTTCCAACTGGTACCATGTTGTCAAGGATAATTAGAATCTCTCTGCTTTTTCTCTCTGTATTACATGAATTTACATGGGAAAACAACCAACTAAGCACATTATTCCTTCCCTCCTGAGGATCATTCCTGAAAAGACAGATGGGTGGATGGATGGACAGATTGGTGAGTCCTAAGTACTGTATGGTGTTCCAGATAAATGAAGTCAATAGGATTTGCCTCATCCTTTAGGGAGTGTGCAATCGAGTCTCTAGTAAATCAGAAAGAGAAATAAATCAATAGTTACATACAGAGTAGAGTAATCGGTGAGATGAGAATGAAACCTAACCCAACAAGCCAGGAGGTTCCGCTGTTCTTCCTGGAACAATGATGCTGCCAATAGTAAGATTTTTGGAAGACGGGGATTAAACTACTCCCCGGTTGTCTGACTCGTAGTTGAGTGGTTTGGAGAAGTGAGCTATAAGGAGGGATCCAGGGTGATTTTAGAGTTTCTGGTTTGGGTTTCAGCAGGAGTAAAGGTGACAGCATGCCTTGATGAAAAGAATATGAGACTAGGAGCATAATTTAAGGTAAATATGATTATTTTTATAATTGCTCCCTGTGGGATATCCAATAGTCATTTAAATAAATGAATCTGGTGTTCAGTTGAGTGGTTTGGACTAAAGGTACATTATTTAGGGGTCATTATGTAGAAGTGGTATGTGAATTTTGTGTGGTAGGGTACTAGTTAAGAAGGGGGTTAAAATGAGGGAAATAGGGGAAAGGATGGAGATTTAAGAGGCAAAGAATAGGAGTGTTTGAAGGTTAGTGAGAGGACACTAGAGAGGGCCCAGGAAGATCTTGGTAACTTGATGTTACAAAAGTTAATGGAAAACTTTCAAAGAACACATGATCAATCTCAAATAAAGTAAGGGCAGAAAAATATTGATGTGGTTGAACACGGAGGTCATGGGACAGCTCTGTGCCACGGTGGAAGAGAAAGTTCAAAGGAAATGAATCGAAAGCTTTCTATAGAGGGTAAAGAAAATGAGATTTTCCTTTTAAATAAAGGAGGAAAAGAGATAGGGGATTATGGAAAAATTATCTTCCTTAGCAATCAATTTACTGTTCAACAATCCCGCTTATTAGGAAAATGTTTTTTATGTTCCACTCACTACATTTTTTATTTTTTTAAAGAATGAAAAGGTTAATGTGGCCAATTTTTTTGTTCCAAACAAAATTAATTTGTTAAGCATTGTGCTTATTACACAGAGATTAGCTTATTCACTTTTAAATTATAGCAACCATGATCAAAAATATTGTGAAAATATTTTAGTTCACAGATGTTGGGATTATTTAGAAGTACCTGTAAACAGCTTTGCAAAAAGATATTTCTCTTGACATATGTTTGGATATCCCAAAGGAAAAACCTGATCCCAAGTGCTAATAACAGAGGAAGGCAAGTTGTGCTATCTTTGAATTGGGATTTAAAAATGTTCAGCCCTAAAGCTGTTCCAATAAAAAATGCTTTCTAGAATGTTGGAAGAATTTACTTCTATTATGTCTAATAGATTTTCCATTTAGATGCATATTATGTCTATCCATCTGTTCAAGTTGTGTTATTATGTTTTCAGAAAGTTTTAAAGCTTTTTTTTAATATAGGTCTTGTATCTTTCTTGTTAAATTGAACTTATGTACTTTGTAACTTTTTTCCCTTTTGTAAACAGGAATTCACTTACACTTACTTTTCTCTTTTCTAATCTTTTCTGAAACTATTTCAGAATATTTATCCTGTGCTACCTGAGTATATTTTGTTAAAACATGAATTGATTTTTAATGGTTTTTTTGGGGGGAGAGGGAGGGTCATTATTGTTTATTTTGGGACTTTTGATTTGTTTTGTATTTTGTTTGTGATGCTGAGGGTTGAAATAAGGGCCTTGATCATGCTAGGCAAAGTGTTCTACCACTGGTCCCATGCAAATTGTGTTTAGTAAAAATTTTCTTGAGCTTTTTCTGATGAATATTATTTGGAAATAAAGAAGCCAAGCCTGCATTCAAAAAAAGTAAAAAGACTGATCCTTTGCTTTGGTAGAATGTGTTTCTTTTAAGGCAAATGTCACTTGGAATGCCTTCTTTAAATGTTAGCCATTTTAGCAACATCTGCTCGGAGAGCAAAATTGTGAGAACCTGAAATCTCTTTGGAAGAGAAGACTCACGAGGAAGCATAATCATTTAGGCAACATCTGGCATGACTTACTTTATTAATTTTCTTTTATTTACTAGACTTTGACAGCTGCAATACTTTTTTTCCAGAGCAAGAATCCGTACAGCCATAACTCTTCTCGCATCTGTAGTTCATTTTCCTCTTAGAAGAGACACAAAAGTTTTAAGGGGAAGTTGCTTCTATGTTTTGCTATATTTGCAAACCTTGTTTTGTTTCAGGGGCCTCCAGGACCCGAAGGAGAAGCAGGCAACCAAGGACGTTTGGGAAGCCAAGGAAATAAAGTAGGTCACATTCTTTATATCCCCCAAAGTTGGGGTTTTTCTCCTCAAGAGAGCTGTGTCTGGTTGTACTCGCCAGAGCCCTTTCAACACAAAGGAAAACACATCTCATTGCCCCTAAACCCTGGCTTGATTCTTAGAGAGCCAGTGACCTCTAAGGACATGGGTGTGGACCAGGATGAGGTCACGGATTCCAGCTCAGCATAATCTCACGAGGAGCTACACCCAGTAGGAGCTGAGGGATCTCTGGGAGGAGGGGGACTATTCTGGTTTGGCCTTCCTTTCTCTCTCCCACCCTCCCTGCATCTTTACCTCCCTCCCTCTTCTCCTCCTTCTTTCTCTTGCTTGCTTTCTTCCTTCCTTTCTTTCCTCCATTCATACAAACCTCTGCTGAGCACCTTTTAAGACCAAGGCCCTGTACAGAGCCTTCCCTTTGTCTGAGCTGAAGAATCATCTACAGGAGATCAGGAATCTTCTTTCATTCCCTGATGCATTCCTGGTGCTTAGAACAGTACCTGACAAGTATTAGTGCTTAGTGAAGACTCGATGAATGAATGAGTAAATTTCTAGGTGGTATAATAAATATGATGTGAAAGCCACAAAACTCAGAAAAGTTTCAAGACAATAATCTAGGGCATAAAATAGAGAGGGATAAGGGAGTGACATGGAGGTTTAAACAGCATTGATAGACATATTTCTGGGTTGGAATATATCTAAGAAGATATAGGCTGTGAGTGGGCTTAGAAGATAAGATCTTTGGCAAGCAGAGAGGCAGGATGGGTGATTTGGGATTATTCAGGGAATGACAAATGCCACCCTCTGGCAGGCACATAAAGAACAATGTGTCTATGTGACTGACTTTCTTCAGTAGCCAGTACAGTGCTAGCTATCTACAGGTTGTGAATGGAGTGTCTGAACCCAGCCAGACTTGGAAGATGTTAAACGGGCAACCCAGTGAAGGGTTTTGAAGGTAGAGAGCTTGGAAGCCAGGAGATCAGGCAGTACACTCTCACAGCCTCTGGGACAAGCAGAGATTAGGCGACTTCACAGGATGAGGATTCCTGAGTGACGGCTCCATAGGACTCTTCCAACAGGGAACTGTGGCTGGCAGAAGGGGCTAGGTGATTTGGGGCTTCCAGCATCAGTGTAGACACCATCATAGATGCAGGAAAGTCACAAGGAGGAGCGGGTTTACAAAGGAAGAAAATCTTTTGCTATGGGAGGTAGGTCTGGTTGGAGATGCGAAATCACTGGGGTTTTTAAAAAAATTCCCTCAGTGATGCCTATTTGTAAGAAATGTATGAGAAGCTAGAAAACGATGCTTTATTATGAAAGAAGGAAAAGAAGTAAAAAAAGTTCTGTGAAGAAGAATACAAGAAGGGACAGTCACCAGTATTGACAGGTCCAGAAACGTGGAGGGGAGGAGAGAAGCCATCCGATCCGGTGGCTAAGGATGCTCAAAGAAGAGTTCCCGAAGTGTAGCAATTGAGAGGAGAAGAAAGAAAGGGACCCAGATTGCAAAAGACTGAACCACATGTTCAGGTGAGGAGGAACTGAATACAGAGCTGCAAACTACTCTTTAAAGAAGTTAAGCCTTTAGGAGGAGGAAGAAGACATTACTGCCCCTACTGCCAAGGTCTGAGCAAGGTTGGAGCAGGGGGTGTGTGTTTTCAATGACAGGAGAGATGTAGCATGTTTATGATCTGAGAAAAGGAAGGAGGAGATGGAGGAAGAAAAAGCAGAGTAGCTGCTCGAGCACAGAAACTTCTTGACAAAGAGAATGAGGTTGAGGACATAAGAAAAAGAGGGTAGCTGTGTCGGACAACTACTAGCAAGATATGACGGAGGCCAGAATTCGAGTGACACAAAGACAGCTGACCGGTCTACGTAATAAGATACATGGACAACAATCGGCTTCAGAGGAAGGGATTTCTAGGGCGTGTGGCTCAGCAATAGTGGTGAGGAGATGAAGATTTGGAACAGACACAGTGTTGCCTTCTGTCCTGGAGAAGGGTGTCAGGGAAGTGGTGTCACTGGTGACAAAAGTTCCCTGTGCAGTGAGGAAGGGTGTGTGTGTGGCAGACATCATGGATGTGCCCATGGATGTAAGTCAATTATGTGTGAAATGAAGCCACTCCTTAGGGTGTGGTAGAAGGGATTGAAAGAGGAGTAGACAGAAATGGAGCCACCCTAGAGCTGGGTAGAGGTGAGTATGTGCAAGGAGGCAGACACAGTTGGGTAGTTATACCTATTAAGATTATTATTGAATAAACTTGTAAGGAGCCATGCAAAAATTTGGGAGTAAAGAGCCCCACAGCAAACACAAACCCTCTGGGCAAACCCAGGATGGACTGAGCCCTTAGACTCATTATTAATGAGATAAACCCCCAAACACTTACCCCAAGCTGACTTCAGTAAGTTCACGTCCACAGGGAAACAAGCAACCCAGCAATTAATCCTGCTGGACTCAATGCCTGGCTTACCAGAAACCAAATGTTTGGCCCTGGACAAGCCATATGACTTCCTCTGTTTCTGTAACTTGAAGATGTTCTCAAATTTCAATGTGCATGGGAATCAGTTGACAAGTTTACTTTAAAATACATATTGTTGGACTCCACTAGTGAGACTAACCCAATGGGGTCCAGGAGTTTCCTTTTACACTTGAACCCTGGGTGACCGTGGGCCAGGTGGCCCCAGAGCACACTCTGAGAATCAGAAGATCTCTGCTTCTCTTTCTATTCTGTTTTATCCCCCAGAGTTCGGGGCTGTGGATAATAATCCATTTGCAATTCTCACACTTAGTAGACTTCCTTTCTGTTCTTAAAAATGATTTAGCCACTCCCAAACACTTCAGTGTAGTCTGCACCTAACACTTTCTTTCAAAGAGTACAACATGGACCGGGGAGAAGGCTGGATAGTAACCTGATGGTGAGGAAGTTCGACCCACACTACGTCAACCCCACAGTCAAAGTTAACATTGACAAGTCACGTTGATAGTGTGTAACCTTGATAGGATGTGATGAGATGGTTTTATACCCCTGTGGTCTTCCTCCTCTAAACCCATAATCCCAGTCTCATCATGAGAAAAAATATCAGACCAACTCCAACTAGGCGACATTCTGTAAGATGCCTGACCAATGCTCCTCAAAACTGTGCAGGTCATTAAAAACAAGAGAAGCCTGATAAACTGCCCCAGTCTAGAAGAACCTAGAGACGTGACATATGGTATCCTAGGTGGGATAGAGGCGTTTGATGTTCACAACATTTCTGTAAATCTAAAACCATTCCAAACTTAATTTCTATTTTTTTTAAAAGGAGCTAATCTTCCTTTTTAAACCCATGTTGATTTTTCCATGTAGCTGGACTTGCCTGAGATAATACTAAGATTGAGGTATAACCCACAGTAGGTGCTTTATTAGTCAGAGGTTAGAAACTACTGCCAGCACCCTTGGTTGTCTGATTCACACTCGGAAACCTTCAAACTAGCTCAGTAAATCTACCATCTTTGCAGGAGCCTGATGATTTGCACGGATCATCATGGAAAGCCTTTCTGTTAACATTTTTCTGAACAGTACAGAGCTTCCTCCTTGGCTCGTGGTAAGACAGTTTCATGGCACAAGCTGCCAAGAGGCAACTTGCACTAAACAATAAATCAGACCTCTTGAGAATTCAACTGTCAGTGGAGGAGACCTCGCTGGCCAACAGCAGCCAGCCATTCCTCTTGTGTCGTTTGCATAACACGCAGCCCCGGGCACAAGGGCCTTGGTGTGTGTGATACACATGGATGCAATTGAATGTTGCCTTCGTGCCATCATTTCTGATTTCCATCAGAAAAGCAACCTAATAAAGACTTGTTTCACTGTGCTCTTTAACAGGGAGAGCCTGGAGATGTAGGAGAAAAAGGAGCTATTGGCTTTCCTGGTCCTCGAGGCTTGCAGGTCGGTTCTGTGATTTATTGGTACTTTTGATCTGACCCTTGGAATCTTTTAGTTCAATAGATGTCTGAATGCTACCTCTGAAGAGTCTATGAAGAGTTTTAGTGATAGTATCTCAGTCTAGCTTTACAGTGTGCTGGAAACTGAGAGCGATATCATCCTCACCTTGGACTAGTTCCTGGGCCAGCTTTTCCAAGACAGTGAATTCCCAAATACCAAAAATCATGGCCAGGATGATCTTGGAGCCAAAGGCTAAAATAGACAAAACTTTCATTTAGTATCCCCTTAATCTTTCTTCCAAACGTTCTTCCCATCAGAATCTCTTTATCAGAAACCCATTCCATCTGCCCCCATTGCTCCCAGCTACTACAAGGGTCAGTAGCCAATATCCAGACATTTTGGAGTTCTTGTTTTTGCCCAGGAAATGGAAAATGGATTAGACCTGAGATATTAAAACACAAAGGCAACTGCTACCTCCATTAACAGTATTCCCAACGCTTTGTCTTTTCATCCTCATAACAACACCATGAGTGGGAATTATTACTCCTTCTTTGCAGATGTGTTTAGTGCCACTATCACAGAAATGTCAGTGGCCTGTCCAGAGGGAGGATCTTGCATCCTAGGCTTCTCATCAAACCCCGAACCTGGCTGTCTTGTTCTATTGTGAATAAGCCTGCCTCTATGTGGGGTTTGAGATGTTAGTAATTACTTGCATTTTTCCAGGGTGATGATGGCAGTCCAGGTTATGGTAGTGTTGGACGTAAAGGAGCAAAGGTAAGACACATCTACCCGAAGCTGAATGTTTTCCCTTTACTTTTTATTGCTTGTTTTATTTGTTTGTCATATATATATATATATTCAGTGAATAAAACAATCTTGTAGTTTGAAACGTATTTTTATAATGTGTTTGCTATTGGCTGATATCCCATGGGGACATGTACAAGAGAAGAGAATGAGAGGGTTTAAGGTGCAAAAATTGAAACACAAAAATGAATTCTGTGTGCTTTGCAGGGATGTATGGTTAGGGCCTGACCTGGTTCAGCTTAAACAGGGCCTCCAGTCTTAGCAGTTCGGGGTTGAAGTTTGCTCAGGGAAGCATTCCACACTCTGTTTTAGCCACTAGTGAAAGATTTTGCAGGATTTTTCAAAATGCATTGGGCCAAGTGGTAACTTAAAAAAAAATGAAACAACAACAACAAAAAAACCTGTGCATCAGAATGATCATTTTTGTATTGTCATGAATTAAGTGCCTGGAAATAAGTTTACCAAAGCCAGTGATTTCTACATACCAAAAATGACCAGTAAAAACTAAGAATTAAAAAGACCCAATCATAACTACAAAATATTCAAAAACATAATATAGTTTTGGATATCCTTTCTGAAAAAAAAAATTTGAGACGTAAGACAAAGATCTGAGATATAAAGTAAGTGGAGAGGCAGAGTTCCTGTTGCAAAGTCTAAATCATCCTAAAGATCAGTATGATTCCAAGTGGACTTCCCAAAAGGCCATCTGGGAGTATAAGAAAAACAAACAAAAGAAAGCTTAAAATTTTTGAGAAATAAAGCTAAGGAATGAAGAATCTCTAGTGAAAAGTTTGTTAAAGTAGAGAATAATTGAAAACAGCCTTAATATCTCATAAAAGACAAATATTCAATAGCCTGACATTGGGTATTTGCCACTCTACAAAAATGAATGTGTCGTGTTTATAATTATGCTTAAAATTTTTAGGTTCAAAATATAATTAAGAGGCTGGGGTTGTATAGCTCAGTGGTAGAGCACTTGCCTACCATGCATGTGTGAAGCACTGGGTTTGATTCTCAGCACCACATATAAATAAATAAAATAAAATAAAGGTTCATTGACAACTACAAAAAATGATTAAAACTAACATAAATAAAATTATATTTCCAATGTCAAGTGAACATTTGTAATATACCTAGAAAAACATCTATCCCCATTACGCTAACATGCATTTTTAAAAGTTCAAAAGAAGTAGGACAGAATATGTATCATGGTTCTGGGTAGGATTTGGGTGCTGTTTCTTCTTTCATCCTCTCATATTTTATATACATTTAAGATTTGCTTTAACAATCAGAAAGTAAAATTGATTTTTTTGTAGAATAGTGATTACTAGAGGTTGGGAAGGAGAACGTGGATAAAGGGCATCTGTATTTGATTGGTGCACACTGTATCCATGTATTGAACTATTACACTGACCCCAATAATAAACTGCAATTTGCACATGTTAAAATAAAACTTAAAAAATAAACTTTATTTTAAATATGTATTTTCTTTATCAAGTAGAATTATACCTCTTGGGCTAAACTTTGACCAAAGTAAGGTAAGAAAGAAAGAAAGGAAAGGAGGAAGGAAGGAAGGAAGACCTTACAATGAATAATCAAGCTTAGACTCTGTAGGTTTCCAAGTTCCCCATGAAAATCCATTTTAAGAAGATTGTTCCAGAGACACGGGGTCAAATGACCATGTATTCTGTTATACGTATGCAGAAGAGGAAATTTTGCAATTCCTCAAATCACTTTAGCCTCAAGTTCCTTTTAGTCACTTATTGAGGTTGTCAAGTTTTGATGAAAACCTATAAATTATTTAATTTAGAAATTGGAGTTAGTCTCTCCAACAGTACTGTTTGGTTTCGAGTTTGCAACTGTTTGAGCCCTTCGTTGGTTCAGAGGCACTAAACAAGTCAGCAGATAAATTAGAGTTAGTAAAAAGACACTGGGCAATGTGTGCAATTAATCTTCTCTACTGTCAATTGTAGGGACAAGAAGGATTCCCTGGAGAGAGTGGACCTAAGGTATTGTGTACTTCGCATTCTTTAGAGATCTGTCAGAAATACTCCTGGGGTTAGGGAACATATCCTAGGCCAACAGAAGGACTGTTCCTGTTAAATAGATGTTCTGCCTCTGAGGGGAAAAGAGGGAAGAAACAAATAAGCCAAATTTTTTTAAATGATACCTTTATTTAGAAGTATAAGACTTTCAAAAAACATTTCATGTCTGATTTTTTAATTCATAGGTAAAGGAAGAAAAATAATCCTTCTGAAAATTTTCTTCTCCAGGGTGATCCTTCCCCTCTATCATATGTATTTTTTTCTTTCCTCAGAAAAAACTAAAATGTAAAGAAAGTCAAAATGATCTGATTTCACCTGGCTCAATTTTCTCAGTATGTTTGTAAGTTGTCTTAAGATATTTTCAACTTTAGGGCTTCCAGTTTTTCTGGAAACATTTACTAAACTTGATAAATGCCAGGTCCTGTGATAGGGTCTAAGGACAAAACAAGTTCACGTCTCCCAGGATCTGAGTTCTATTTGGGAAGACATAACTGTGAGACCAGCGATGCACCGTGCCAACTTTGTGAGAGCTTCACAGAGGAAAAGAAAAGCCTTCAAAGACAAAAGAACATGTGAAAAATGACTTCATGTTGGAATCAGTTTAAAAGCACAAATATATCTCTGTGATATAGATTTGATTTTGATAACCATTTCATTTTAATGCACTTAGGGTGAGACGGGGGTCCCTGGGAGTCCAGGAGAGACTGGACCCAAAGGATCCAGAGGTATAACGGTAAGCTTCTCAGATTCCCATTGTTGACCCCTTCAGCTACTTCGGAAAGTCCTTCTTCATGTATATAGTCATTTGACTATAGACTTATATAGACTTGTTCCCAAAGTCTTATAAAATGTGTGGATTTTGCTAGGCGCCATGGCGCAGGCCTGTAATCCCAGCAGCTCTGGAAGCTGAGGCAGGAGGATCACAAGTTCAAAGCCAGCCTTAGTAACTTCGTGAAACCCTATCTTAAAATTAAAAAAAAAAAAATTAAAAGAGGGCTGGGGATGTGGCTCAGTGGTTATTATACTCATCTCTCAATGCCAGCAAGAAGATGTCCTTGTTGTTTTTATGTCTCAACTACTCCCTTTTAGTGAACAAATTCCCTGTCCTGGCTGTCAAGGTACCATTGTTATCACTAGAAATAAGGTCTTTTTTTTTTTTTTTTACCCAAAGGAATCCTTGTGATCCAAAACAGGTTTTACACAGCCAAAATATGATCAATTTAATCCTATCTCCTGCAAGATTGAATGCAACTTAATAATGCCCGCTGACTTCTTGTCTTCATGAATGAGGTATTGTTAAGCTATATTTAATAAGATATATGCTAAAAGGTTCCATCTTAGCTCAGAAAGGTAATTTCTTGAGTTTTGTGAGAACATTTGTGTTTAGTATATAACTGAATATGTCTTTATTATTTTATGGAGGGGCTTAGCTATTGCCTGATGCTCTGAGACAATGAGAAGAAAGATATGTCTCCAGGACATCTCATAAGCATCAATTCACCTAAGGCTGAGGGGTTAAGAATAGATTTCTTACATTCCATGACTCTGTATATCTTAGGCTATGAACAAATGAGTTGCCTGTGGGTTTTTTTTTTAAGATTATATAAAGGCAATTGAATCTCAGTAATGTCTTCATCTCTTTCTTCATAATAGCACTGGTCAAGAGAATTAGGAAGAATAAAATCTCTGATAAAAATTTATCATGCTAAGTGAAATAAGCCAATCCAAAGGCTGAATGTTTTCACTGATGATGTGGAAGCTAAACCACCAATAGAGTGGGTGGGGAAGAAAAGAAGTTCAGTGGATTAAACAGAGGGGCATGAAGGGAAGGGAGAAGGGATAGGAATAGGAAAGACACTCAAATGAATCGGACATGATTTTCCAATGCGAATGTACAAAAATACCTAAGTGAATCCCTTCATCATGTACATCCACAAGAATGGAGTGCTAATTAGAATAAGATATGTTCCATGCTTGGATAATTATGTCATAATGGACTCTACCAAGAACTTTATGTATAGAGAATATTTATGTAGGTTTTAGGGGTGCAAGATGAAGAAAGTTCTCTCTCCCTTCTTCCTCCTTCTCCCAAGAGGACTTCTTCCCAGCTATATTGAACATTTTTTTTTTTGGTGGCTATCCTTTATCCTTATGCCTTCAAAAAATGACAAAGATTGATTTAATTAGAAAAATAATTGGAAAAGACTTTCAAATTAATCTAGATGTCATCTGCATTGAAATATCTCTGGATCATTTCCTTTGGCTTATTAACAGAGCAGTTTAACCTTGAACATCAGAAGCATGCTAACAAGCTCAGCTCTTTATTGTGTTCCCTTCCCGCGATGGCACATTAATCATTTTTTTTGAAAAACAATAAACTAGTATGAAACATATGAACTTTGCCTCTTGGCCATTGGAAATATTTGAATTTCTTCTTTGTGATCCATGTTGCATTGTTTGTGACTGGCTTTTTTCACCCATCCATCTGCTTTGAGTATTTTTGTCATTCAAAGTTGAAGTTTTAGACATTAAAAATTCTCAGGTTTTTCTCCTGAAAGAGCAGAAGTTTCTATTGGAAGATTTTGGTTAAAAAAAAACCTTGCCTTAAATTCTGAAAATTTAAAATTCGGGGTGATTTTAACCTGTTTTATTTTGTGTAGATGTGCTCTGTTTGTACGTGTGTTTTCATTAAAAACAACAACAACTTTACAAACAGTTTGAAACAGGCAGGCTTTTCACCTTGACACTGTTGACATCTCAGGCTGGATAATCCTGTTTGGGAGCTGCCCCAGGCTTTGGTGGGTGTTTAGCAATACACCTGGCATCTCCCTGCTGCATGCATCACCCCACCCTCCCTAAACACCTCTGCAGACCTCTCCAAGTTGGGGGCAGCTAGGGGAGGGGTGGCAAAATTCTCCCCAGCTGAGAACTGCTGGTTTAAAAAATGACGACACCATGTTAATGTTTTTAATGGCATTTTTATTGGTCAAATTTAAAAAAAAAGGAAGAAATTTAATAACTGGTCATCTCTCTGCCCCTCTCAACTCCTCCCATTTCCCTTTCCTCTGAAACAACTTTCATTTCCTAACTGGTGATTTTGGAATTGGCAATATGTTTCTAAATGTCATGCCTCTGGCCCCAACCTTTTGATTTTTAAGTTTTAGGTATTACTGTAAACGTTGCTGATTTACCTTTCATCATTTGCCTTTGATCCAAATCCCTTCTGAAGACGTGTAGGTTCAGCAGGTAGCCTATCAAATCTCCACCCAGAGCTTCAACCTAACCAGCTTGATCTGGTTTCCACTGTGCTTGGCACCAACCAAAGTGCAATCGCCCTTACCTTCACCTGTGGATTCCCTTCACTTTTCTTCTGGTATCTCATTCCTGATCCCAGACTCCTCATTCCCATTCCCAGACTACTTCTGGATTTCTCCCCTGCATCATGGAAAACTCATCCAGTAGCCCACTAAGAGGAGATGAACAAGCAGTACATTTTTTTTTTTTTGATACAGCTAACATCTGAAAATGGCTTGACACTACCTTAAGATGTGATGCATACTTTGGATAGGACATAATTCTGATTTAAAAATAATTTCTCGGGATTTTGAAGGCAGTCATTTCTCCATTATTTCTAGCTTCTCTCATTGCTTTGGGAAGTCCAAGGAAATTCAAGTGCCTAACTTTTTTTACATGGCCAATATTCTCTCTCTGGAACCCTATTGGATCATATCTTGGTCCCTACTATTGATATTTCATGTTTTTTATGTCTCTGTGTATGGTCCATTTTTATCAATTTTCAAGGCCCCTTGAGCCAAAATGTGTGCTCTTTGGTTCCAAAAGTATTGTTAATTATTTTGAAGATTTTCTTCCCCTCTGTCTCTTCTATTGCTGTTTTTTGAATACCTATATTTTGTTTGTCAATTTACTCCTTTACTTTCTCTCCTATTTTCTGTCTTCTTGTTCTACTTTGTGTTCCTTGGTTTTATCTTGTAATGTTTCTCTCATACTTTAAGAACTTATTTTTGTTTTCTTCATGTTCCTTTTTTATCATATACTATTCTTGTTTCATAGAGCATTTTTTCTTATCTCTCTAAGGATATAAATGAGTATTTTTAAGTCTTCTTTGCCAAATATATTCTGTTTCCTGCATTTTTCTATTTTGATCTGTATTTCTCATATGTATCAAGAGTGAGGTATTGCTTCATATTTAACACTTGAGAAAAAGATTGGAAGCCCTGAGGATATGAATGGGATTTACCAACTACAGATTTCACTGGAGGCTGATCTGGCTAAACTTTTTTTTTTTTTTTTAAACAAACCTCTGATATCAGTATTTTTAGGTCTTTCTTCTTTAGTTAGATTCCCCTTAAAACATTCCTTCTGTTTTCTGCCTGAAGAGTAAAGGCCTATATGCCAGCTTTCTAGAAGCCATGTGGAAAAAGAGAGCTGGAGGATCTCACATTTATTGTGCATTGTTTCTTTGAATCTCCTGTTTCAGTGGTACCATTGGATGGTCCTCAACTCATTCCTGAGTCTCAACTCAGTTTTACCTCAGTTTATTTCACGTTGGAGAGAAGAGACAACCACTAAACTGTTGAAAATGAAAGGAGATCTGGGGACTCCTAAAATTATTTTCCACTGAGCCTCCTTATCTGGCCTCTTCCCATCACTTCCCCTTCTCGTGGCATCTGGTACTGCCAAAGCCTGAGCCTTCTGGGAATGTGTGATATCAGACATGTCAGTCCTGGGCTTTCCCTGATGCTGGCTTAGGACTTAGCTATTTCAGGTTTGTGTCTAACACACGTCTGCTTTCCAGCCTCCAAAATTTTATGTCTATTGCCTTTTTACTCTTTCAAATTCTTATCATTGTTGCCTCTGCCCTTTTAAAAACTCAGTTTACTCTTGGTAAAATGTTAGAAAGGACAACAGGAAATGCAGACACTCAATCTATCATCTTTCCTTTGGCAAGGTTAACCCCATGTCTTCTGAGTAAAATATGGTCAGTGAGTTTATTTTATTCAAACTAGCACACGGTCAATATCATTGGGATACAAGAGGACATCAACAATTATTTACTGTTCCATAGGCAATGTTTTTACAAATTAAGTTGATTGTAGACAACTTCAGCTTTTATTATTGCAAAAGTTGTAAACCCCACGACTTTTGCATAAGAAAGTAATTTGGGGGGGGGGGGGGCAGGGATTGAACCCAGGGGTACTTAGCCACTGAGCCACATCCTCAGTCCATTTTTTTTTTTTTTTTTTTTTAATTTTGAGACAGGATCTTACTAAGCTGCTTAGGGCTTTGCTAAATTGCCGAGGCTGACCTTGAACTTGTAATCGTTAGCTTAGCTTCCTTAGCTTCCTTAGCTGCTGGGATTACTACAGGTGTATACCAGCATATTATCCTATTTTTAAATAGTAAATCCTGGCTTTCTCAGTGATAAAGTATATTGCTGAATACATATAGAAAAAATTCTGACACATGTAAACAGATAACAACTGTTTTTTTTTTTTTTTTTATTACTGCTGTTTATTACATTTCCTTCTAGCCAACTGCTAAATGTTTCTGTTTTTATTGTTGTCATCTTAGGAGGTTTTATATTTTAGTTTTATTTTCTAGGGCTTTTATTTATTTATTTATTTTTGCTTTTTAGTTTAGATAAAAAGAGATAAATATTCTCATTTAGATAAAAATTTCTCCTTCAACCCAGCTTTTTCCAATCCTAGCAGTTTTCCCTAATAATCAGAATTGTGAGTATGATTTTACAGTAGTATTGCTTACTACAACAACAAATTTAAATGCCAAAAGTAAGGGACTGGTTAAATAAATCATGGTACATTCATGTAACAGGATATTATGCAACCATGAAAAGTGATTTTACAAAAGAATATTTAATAACATGAAAACATCCAGAGCTACATACTTAGTTTAAAAGACATCAGGAAAAAGTATGATCCAAATAAGTTTTACAAACTAATATATATATATATTCTTCTTCATCCAAAGAATCAGAATTCTTCCAGTTCCAAAAATGGGACTGAACACCTAAAAGAATAAGAAAAGACATCAAAATGTTAACAAGGATTATCTGAGGAAGAAGGGATTGTTATGTATTGTTTTTTTCTTTCTTTTTTGGGGGGACGGGTACTGGGGATTGAACTCAGGGACAGATCCCCAGCCCTATTTTGTATTTTATTTAGAGACAGGGTCTTACTGAGTTGCTTAGTGCCTCGCTGTTGCTGAGGCTGGTGTTGAACCCACAGTCCTTCTGCCTCAGCCTCCCAAGGCTGCTGGGATTACAGGCGTGCACCACAGTACCCAGCATTTTTTTTTTCACTCTTTGTGCCTTTTGGAAATCTCTCAGTTTTCTATAATGAAAGTGAAAATTCACTTTTGAGTTTTCACCTTTGATATTTAAATTGAAAACAGAGATATATATGTGTGTGTGTGTGTGTAAATATGATTTTAAATAAATAAATTCTGCTTTGAGATATCTGCTGGACTTCCAGGAGAGCCAGGAGCCCCTGGGGAGACAGGACCCCCTGGACGCAAGGTAAGTAGAAAAGTTATAAACCATGTCGGAACCTTTGTCACTTAAAAAGTTAACGCAAGAACGCTTCATTGTCCAAATATGTGCACCTTCTGTTTCTGCTGTTTGGCCATTATTTTTGCTATTTCATGAGCTCTGCAAAAGGAAGGAAAAAAATGCAGACTAACATTTATCTCTTAGGCGGTGGGGAAAATTGGAGGAAGAAACAAAAAGTATAAGACTAAAATGAGATTTCTCAATTGTCAGTAAATTTTACTTATCTATCCAATAATTTCTCTCTTGCTGCATTTAATACAGGATCAGCGAATGAAGGGAAATTAATGAATAATGAATTTGATCAAAGTGGCATTCACATGGAGCTTATTATTTGCTTCAGGAGTCTGGGTGGGGCTCCAATGCATTTTTCCTTGGGTGTCTCTTCCAGAGAAGCTGGATTCTTCCCATTCCAAAAATGGGACTGGACATCTAAAATTAAAACCAATTCCACATTGTTCTTTCTATTCCCAACCTGATGAATATATATGCATATGTGTTTATAATTGCATATATATATGTATATTATATGTGTGTAACGTATACATATACGTATTCGGTTTGGGAAGACAACTCAAGGCAACCCCTCCAAGATGTTTGGTTTGAGTCCTTTTGTCATCCAACCAGTGGTGGGGACAGATGAAGGCTCTGCTTGGGCTGCTGCTCAGTGACAGAAGCAAGGCATGGGGTGAAGAACTCCGTCTGTCGAGCACAGGAGGGACAGCCAAGCACGAATGGTTCCATCTTTTTAGTGCTGAGCTGTAGACCTGCTCCCCACCTCTGCTCCCAAGCTCTGCATGCCTGTGTCAAGTTGCCAGCTCCATCCTTAGCTTCTGGACAACCCTGTCCTTCAGAGAAGGGGCTGCAGAAAAGCGACCTTGGAGGCCGAGCGTATCAAGCTTGCTGCTCCCCGTCTGTCCCCCTGAGCGTGCTCCTCTTCATTAGGTCCTGAGTCTCCAACCTGTATTTTTTGTTCCCTTTAAGAATAAAAACGTAAAAACCATCACATCCTCAGGGCAATGATGCTGCAGATTCTGGCCCCCCATGTGTCTAAAGCTATAAAACATTTTTTTGTTTGTTTCCCCAGGGCGTGAAAGGGGCCAAAGGATTGGCTTCATTTTCAGTATGTATCTCTTCTCTCTGAGTGTTCTGAGCACTCCATTAAATTTATTTAGTTTTGCGTGTCGTGACCGAGCATCTGTTGGCTAAATTCTCTCTGTTTGATTTTTGAACTGCAGACATGTGACCTCATTCAATATGTGCGGGACCACAGTCGTAAGTACCCTTCGTAAAACTACCACCCAAGCCGTCAGCTTTCGTAGAAGGGAAGCCGGGAGCCCTGCACTCAGAACTGAGACGATGCACCTGCCAATTTCTTAAAATCAGAGGTGTCACTGCATAAATTTGAGTCATCATGGGCTGGTGGTTCTTAAGTCCTGGTGTAGCTGCTGGTCTGCCTATTGGAACCCGTTCCAAGAACTAATACGCAGCAATATAGCTAGTGCTTTGGACCTGGGGAAAATAGAGCTTTGAGGTCACAGCTCTCCTAAGTGGTGAACCAATCAGTGGAGAGTCACACTGGACTTCTTTTAAATGATTATTAGCACCTGACAATAACTGACAGAATTGAATTTGCCAGTGTGAAAGAGCCATGGTGACAGGGTGTCCCAGTGGGTGGGAGCCTTGCCTTTGATTTATGGCTTATTACGCCTTTCCTGGACGGATGTGTTTGATTACTTTTAGTTAGGATGATTGATTTGCTTGTAAAACTCATGATAATGCATGTTCTGCCAATATATTTTTCTCTCTGCTGCAAAATTTTAAAAGCAAGAAGGCATTTAGATTTGGCAAATGCTCTTTGGAGTTTAAGACCCTCATAAAAAATTCTGCTTTCAAAATATGTGTTGATACCATAAAAAAAAAAAAAATCCATGTACAAGATGAAGTTTAATCATGTCGAATGTCCACTTCCACATATGTAGTCCTTCCCAAATAAGTACTATGACCAAAAAGAGTCAAAAGTTTCCTCAAGACCTTTGGGGGTTTGGGAGGGAGATGGACAAGTAGGAGCCCATTTCTGCAGACGAGAGTTGTTCAGAAAGACACAAAGCTCTAGAAAACAGTATAGGTCAGCACTCTTTTGGTAGCAGAATGGAACCAAGATGGGAATCAAAATTTATACACTGGGTGACAAAAGACTGGTTGTTTTGCAGCTGAATTAGCACAATGAGTTTTCTGACTTAGGGCTATGTAATCTCTAATGACCCAGATCTGATGGGACCTGAACTATTAAAATTTGAGGGGCTCACTACAAAATTGCAAATCCAAAAGTAGGTAGAAAATTATTTCACAAGTATTACTTAGAACAAGAACGGAAATCACAACTGCATATTTTACAAAATGTCATTGTGTTTACATTACTTACCTAATTCTTGCATATTTTACAAAAGCATATGATCATATGAGCAACATGGCTAGGGCCTCTTCCAGGCAGAGCCGTGCAAGGGACCTCTGCAAGTAAGAGGTCTAAAGCAGATTCCAATAGAACATTCTCAATGACAGAAGTGTCCACTGCCCTGTCCGATAGAGTAGCCATCGCATGTAGCTTTCAATACTTGCCATGTAGAAAGTGTAAGTTAATTTTAATTATTTAAAATTTAAATAATTACCAATGACTCATGTCTGCCATATTGCACAGTGGAGGTCTAGAATAAATGATCATTTACTTAAGAGTAAATCCATTTCTGATGTTTATATAATAATATAGAAATATGCACATACATGCGTTAAGCATCCCAAATCTAAACTCTACAATGCTCCAAAATCTGAAACTTTTTTATTGCTGACATGATACCACAGATGGAAAACTTCACATCTGACTTCATGTGATAGGTCACAGTCAAAATGCAGGCTCACTAAAAATGTTGTATAAAATTATCTTCAGGCCATGTGTGTAAGAGATATATGAAATGTGTATGAATTTCATGTTTAGACTTGGATCCCATCGCCAAGATATCTCATTGTGCATATGAACGCTGAAGAAATCTGAAATCTGAAACATTTCTATTCCTAAGCATCAGATGAGGGATCCACAACACATGCTATACATACAGTGTGTGTATGTGTGTGTGTGTGTGTGTGTGTGTGTGTGGCGCGTGTGTAGTTGATAGCTATAAATATGTATGTGGGAAAATTTTAGATGGGGAAATTTCAGATGGGAATATTTTGTACATGGGGAAAATGTAGAGTTAGGACTTTTCACTTTTCCAAATCCAGTGTAGCTCCTTGCAACATCATGACCCTTCCAGGCAGAGATTCTCTGCCTCTGACAGCTAGCAGCAGGCTGTTGATTTATGTCTGAATATTATCTACCCCTTTTCCCATGCCTTTCCTTATAGAAGGAATAGTGCTTTACCAAGATTGGGGCTCTGTCTGCATCTTCTCCAAAGCCTAATTGTTGCCTTGATTTTTGAGTCATCTACAAAAAACAGACAAGGCAGGATTTCACTGCCATGATTTTCTGACATTGTTAGAGAACTCTATTCTCCCACCAAATAATAACCCAGTCTCCTTTGTTCTTCTTCCCCAGCGGGTGGACATGGTGAGTAATCTTTATTTACAGCATGTTTTAATCAAGCTCCAAAATGTCATACATCTGGAAAGAAGAGTTAGAATAATGTGTTGCCTGACAGCTGATACAAATTTTATCAGGGCTTTCTTTGCTGCCTCATGCTGGTAGCAGAGACCTACCTCCAATATCTCAGTTTTAACTGAGCTTCACAGCTATTTCTCAAGCAAAATGGGTAAGCTTTCTTAGTATTAAAATATGTTAAAGGCTAACATCATCAATTACTTACTGCTAGGCTTTTTTTTTTTTTTTTTTTGTAATGAAATTTTCCCTTTGTTCTTTCTCTCCTATCCTCTCTGTAGACCAGTGATTAAAGATTAAGATGCAGAGAACAGAATAAAGTAGGGATGGTCAGATAGCAAGTAAGTGGAATGTGCAGCTCGGGTAATGCAAAAACTATGTAGCTCATGCTTAATGAGAATCACCAATTTGGCCTAATATAGTTTTCAAGTATTTCAACAAATGCTTCTTATGTGATGTTTTTGTGTAAATCCATATATACATTTAAACCCTTACAATTTTTATATAAATCCACCAACTCTTGCCCTCTGGTTGCCTGTACATGTGTTCAACAAATATTTATTGAAGGCCTACTATGTGCCAGTCTCTATATTAGGCACTGGGGACACAGAGTCAAAAAATAGACAAGGCTCCCATCGTTAGAAACTTCCATTCTCATGAAAGACCTAGAAAATAAACAAAGGAAAGAATTCAGAATCCTGTGGCTGCTGTGAAGAGATACAGTGTGAGAGACTCTGGCACAGGATAATGTGAGGGGAGGGGAGATGCTTTTAGACGCAGGAGCGTTCTTAGGCAGTGGACTTGAAGTCTAGCTGAAGGAAACACAGTCAGGCAGGGGAATTCCAAATGCAAAGACCAAGGGAACAGGAAAAACCTCTAGCTATTTCCAGGGACTGACAGGGCCTGGTGACAGTGGGCACATGAAAAAACGGGGATGTAGGCAGAGGCTGGATTGAGCTGGGCTTGGCATATTATCATAAGGTGGCTAGGAATATTTCTTTTTTTCTTGTATCTCTATATCATGCCTGAAACTTTGTAGTTGCTCCCATATAAAAATAACAAAAGCTAGCAGAATCAATTTAATATTTGTGCCTAGCCTAATCATTTTTTAATTGCAAAATTAACATGGCCTCAATTTTTAAAAGTCTTCTCAGCCCATTAGTTAGATTTAGAGAATCATAAATTATTTCGTGTCTCCATTGAGATGAACAGTTTGATTTGGGTTCCTCTCAATGGAGACAGGAAATCATTTATTATTCTCTGTGGTAGAGTGCTTGCTTTGCCTGGGTGTGATCTCCAGTGTTAAAATATAAACTCCTGCTCCTTGGGGGAAAAAAAGTTATCAGTTAAAGCCTTCCATGTCTTCTTTTTATCGCTAGGGCTATTCTCTGCCACAAATGGCAAAGTCATTTTAAGAACAATGGCTTAGTATTATTGAGCACCTACTTTGTGTTAGGCACTTTAGTTCTAAGTGATTTATTCGTGCTGAATCATTTAGTCCCCACCACAGGCCTGGGCACTAAGTGATATTATGACTCAGATTTTACAGAAAAGGAAACTGAGGCAGAGAGGATAAGTAATTTGAAGATGGTCCTATGTTAGTTTTGGGGCCAGGCTCTAAATACCACCCTTTCTTGCCTACTCTTTACAACTCACGATCTGTTCTGTGTACTGCACATCACTTCTATTTTTTTTCTGAAATTATCAAAGGGGCTTTCACAGTCATTCTTTTTTTTTTTTTTTTTTAACACTTGTTCCATTTTCTCATTAAGACAGAATTTATTTTAGTTTGAGTGGAAGTTCCAGCAACAAAATACAATACCTTTAATCCAATCTCGGTAGGGCTAAAGGGCATTACCAGAAGCTCTCTACTCATTTAGAAGGGATTCGCTAATTAAATTTCATAACCAATCACCTTGAATTTGGCACTTTTCTCTTTTGCACTTCCTTCAAAGGAGCAAAGTTGGCTTTTTCGACTAGCACTTTCAATTATCTCAAGATTTAAATATTCAACATTTTTGCATGTTTTGTTGTAATATGGAAATCATTAATTATTGAATGCTTAAATGTTTTGAGTAGTTAACATGGAAACTCACTCCACCTTCTTGGTCTTGTTGGAGGTAAGCACGGTGAGTGACATTTAAAGGGGCACGGTCTTGTCTTTTTAGGAAAACCTGAATGCCCCGTGCATCCAACCGAGCTGGTGTTTGCCTTGGACCAGTCCCGGGATGTCACGGAGGAGGAGTTCCAGCGGATGAAGGGGATAGTGGCCTCCCTGGTGAGAGACGTGAAGGTCCGGGAGAACCACTGCCCCGTGGGGGCGCGCGTCGCCGTCCTCTCCTACGACTCGCACGCCAGGCACCTGGTGCGCCTCTCGGACACCTACCGGAAGGACCAGCTTCTCAGGGAAATCGAAGCTGTGCCTTACGAGAGATCCTCAGAGGGCAGGGAGATGGGCAAGGCCATGAGGTTCATTTCCAGGAACGTCTTCAAGCGGACCCTTCCCGGGACTTCCACGAGAAGAATCGCCACGTTCTTCAGCAGCGGTCCGTCGGCCGATGCCCCGTCCATCGCCGCGGCCACCATGGAATTCAGCGCCCTGGACGTCATTCCCGTGGTGATCGCCTTCAGCAACGTGCCCTCCGTCAAACGCGCGTTTGCGGTAAGAGGATGAAGCTCTTCGCCTTTCCTCACTCTTTTATTTCTCCTGTATTCAGCAGCCTCCTAAGAAAGCGGAGAACTACCTTCCCTTGCTCTCAAAAAACCAAAGTCATCCTGAGTTGGCAGAATGGAATGATTAGAGGCCATGAGGCGTGACTAAGTCATTCAGGGTCACCCCAGGTGACTTTGGGTTGGCAGAAATGACCACGCCGAGATGGAGAAAAGACCTTTGTTCTTGGGATTCTTCAGCAATGGCTTCTCTGCTCCAGCTCCCACAAAGGAGGCAGACAAAAAAAGAAGAGGAGGAGGTTCCGAAGCTCCTTTTTATTGAAGGGAAGGCCCTCTAGAAAGTTCTACCCCAATGAGGGGGGGTCAGGTTTCAGGGGGTTGAGTCTAGCCTGGTGAAGTCTTGTGGTCAGCAGATTGACATCTTGGAAGGCTACACCCATCTCAGGTGCTGGGTGGGATCAAAAAGCAGAGCCTGGGGGAAAAGGACCCACACATGCATAGCCCAGACAGAGAGGCGACCTCAGTCCAGTCTGCTCATGTGCTTAAAATGCTCACAGCTCACACACACAGCCCACGGCTGGCCCGTGACAATTAGAAATGTTTATTTTTCCAGGCACACCTGTAATCCCAGCTCCTGGGGAGGCTGAGGCAGATGGATGAAAAATTATAGGCAATTTAGCAGGACCCTGTCTCAAAATTTAAAAAAAATTTAAAAATCTGGGGATGTCGTTTAGCTCAGTGGTAAACCATCCCTGGGTTCAATCCCCATACAACAAAAGAAAAAAAAGGAAGATTTATTGCTCATATACCAGGAACATATTAAGCCCTTATATGCATTATACTGTTTAATTCTCAAAAGTAGTATTATGAAATGGATAACAGTGGTTCTCACTTTATGAATGAGAAAACTGAGCCTAGACTTCAAAGTTAAGCTACTTATCCAGGTTTGCACAGCTAAGAGGAGGCAATGCCAGGCCTTGACTCCAGGTTTACTGCTCTAGTGCTTCCACAAGCTACTCTGAGTTGCATCTAAAGACACTGAATCGGGAGACCATTAAACATACACAGATGCCACTTAAATAGCCAGGGTACTAGTCTTTCCTACACAGTGAAAACCAATTGGCTAAACTTCACCAATTACATAAAAATCCAGATTTTATAAAAGAAAAGACATTTAAAAAATTATGGCCTCATAATTGGGGATTAACTCTTAATTTGTAACATTCCTAAATAAACCACCTGGGATGAAGACATCCATGCATAAATTCATAATACCCTGTCCATAGAGGCTCCAAGGCAGGGTTCCATTACAAAGAACCACCAGACCAGCAAAGTATCCTTCCAGTTAGCTGTGTTGGTCCCCATGCTGTTTGCTTCTCCATTCATGTGGAGACAGATTATGAAGAGGGGCCCTAGGCAGCAGCAAATGAATAAAAAGGTCAACCAATCAAAAGTTACTTCATTTAGATAACAGAAGATAAAAAGCCACTCAGTTATTGTCTTCAAGTAGGTGAAAAGTTATGACTTCAGAAAAATTAGCTGAGATTCAGCTTTGCAAAACTTCCTATTAGAGCAGCACAGGTAACTTCAGGTTAGGCTCAAGAAAGAACTGTCAGAGGGTAATTTTAATTTAGCGTTGGTGTGGATTCAATGGGTGGTCAAGACAGTGCCTTTCTCTGAAGGCCCTGAATGGGGGCAATGACTCTCCAGTCAGCGTGACTTCTATCTTTCTAGAGACTGGGACCTAGGACTAAGTGGCTTTTGGAAGCCTTTTCCAGCTCTCTACTTTTTTCAGTGAAAATGTTGAAATAAGCAGAATGAAGTTCAAATATATTTCTCACCTGAAAATATAGAGAGCAGTACCTATTTTCTAAAGTTGGTATGAAGCCGGACACATAGAAAGCACTGGGAATGATAGCTTCTGCTTTAATTATCATGATTATCACTTAATAGCTTGATACTGTTAAACTAAAACCTGTTTTATTATTATTATTATTATTATTATTATTATTCAAAACATTACAATGCTCTTGATATATCATATTTCATACATTTGATTCAAGTGGGCTATGAACTCCCATTTTTACCACGGATACAGATTGCAGAATCACATTTAAAAAACAAAGTCTGGAAAGTTCCAGAACGGAAAATGCTATCAGCATCATTGAACCAACTCTCAGAATGAGAGGGTTATGCACGTAAATTAGGAAAGAGGGGGGCCAGGCTATGCAAATGAAGCTGTTAGGAGAAGCGGCAGGTTAAAAATTCTATAAGTGATGTTGTTTATACACAGTCCTCATAATTCTCTCATCTGCTGGCTTTATTTAGCCACAAAACAAGAGACAACTTTACATCTTGTTGCAAACAATTGGTAGCACTTATGATATAAACTTAGACATAACTCTATCCACCCACTCAAAGTGACCTGCACAGTGTATTATTTATAAAGAGGTATTTCATTGTTTAAAAACTTGAACGTTAATCATTTCAGAGACTGGTAAATCTGGCTTCTTGATTCTACCCAAATAGCCTAGAGACTTTCATAATGAAGTTTCAAATTTTTGAAAACAGAACCTCATAAAATCGAGTGGCATTGACCACCAAGAGCCCTTGAGCAGAAGCAGAAGATTTACTAATGAAGTCAGAATTCCTTTCATATGACAAATGTTTAGTGAGCACCTTAACAGTACTAGGTGCTGTTCCAGGCTCTGAGGATACAAGAATAAATAAGAAAACAGAAATTTCCCCCACACACACACACATGACATGCCGTAAACAGCCCTGCCTAGATAGATAGGGTTAGGGTTAGGGTTCAAAACCAAGGCAAATGCTACCAGTTGGTTAGAACACAGTGTCTAACATTACAGAAGAGAAATTGCAACTTGTGTTTGCTGTCTTTTCCTGTTTTCTATGCATTCTCTTCCATTGTGTTTTACCTTTACTGAAAGTGTTGTAGTTTTTGGTTTTTTTGTTTTTGTTTTGTTTTGTTCTGTTTTAGAACAGACCTCAGAGGTCTAATGACACCATGCATCTTTATTTTATTTTGGGATTATATTTTAAAACCCTAATTTGTTTTGTACTTACCAGGTATTTTTCAAATCTCAATTCATGGAGAGTTCAGTAGGCCAGGGTGGAATTTGGTACCTGAGCAGACTTGTGTGGTAGGCCTCAAAAGCAGCTATTTCAAGAGCAAGGACTGATTTTCCTGTCTCTTTGCACAAGGATGGTGATCACCACCCTGCAAGTTCTTCACAGTGGTATAAAGTGGGGTTTCAAGCTGGAAAATGGAAGGCCATTTTTGACTGGAAAAAAAATCTCAGTCTTCACTTTGTCTCGTCACTAGCGTTTTTCCTCTGAATTTGTTTAGCAATTACTTCTTCTGATGAAATTTTACTAGTTCCCCACTAAGACTTCCAATTTAGGGTGGGCCCCTGGGTCTTGGTAGGTGGCAATGAGAAAGCTCTTCCCCTTCCCAAATGGTCTGATCTGTGTCCTCTGTACCAACACTGGTTCAGTTTCCCATCAACCTTCACAGTGGGAGCAAGGGTTTGATGACTTGAAACTGTGCACAGAGACATCTCTTAAAACCATTAGCAGTGCAGACTCTTTCTGCTAGTGTATTACCCAAGGCACTTTGTTTATAGATCATCAGAACCAGTTTAAGGTAGTTTAAGTACACACATGCACATACCATAAGAAAAATACGGCAAAAGGACCTAGATATGGCCCAAGGTATCCTCTGGTCCCAAGTCCAGGTAAGCTGCCTCTGGACACAATACCTTTATTTCACTTATTTATTTTTATGTGGTGCTGAGGATCGAACCCAGGGTCTCGCACATGCGGAATGAGCCACAACCCCAGCCCTCTTTCTGTCTTTCCCAGATGTTGTGTATTCTTTTCTCTATGTATTTGTGTCTAGAACTTTAGCCAGAGTCTTCAGTTATCACATACTCCATCTGAGTCTTCACCTCCAACCCAGAAAGCATGTGAAAGCAACCCAGTGGGCTCTCAGAGAGGACTCTGAGGAGCAGATATTTCTCTGTTTGTTGTACAAAGAATAATTAAAAATGACAGAAATAGTGATGAGTCTCTGGAAAAAAACCTCCTTATTTCTGCTAGTGTATTATCCTCCCTTGCTCCTGATTCCACAGATGGAATACAGACAGCTGGCTACTCTAGAAACTCTTGCCATTAAACATCATCCCTCAGACCTCAGAACCCCAGTTCCAAATTCCGGATAAAATGGGTCTGGCTTGCTCGAATGTCCTTTCCCAGTCCAACTGACTGAGAAATGGTCTTACCCCCATAACCAAGGTCCTGCCTCTAAGGATAAAGTATAGGAAGGAGACTTCTCAGAGAAAGAGGGAAGCCATGAGTGTTAGACAGTAGGATTCATAGCACTTAAAATGTCATCTGGCCATATCTGAGACAGTAGATAGGATCACACCTACAATTTTTCTTCAATTATCAGTTATCTGTGAGTCAGTTAATGGGCAAGTTAATTATTCTTGGACATTTGGAGCCTCCTTACTTCTCCTCACTTATCTTTTCCCCACTCTGCGCCCTCAAACTGTAAGTAAGTTGCTAACAAAGGGACCAAAGTGGAAAGGGTTGGGAGTTTCAGAAAGGAGAGCTGCCTAGACTTGGATTTGAATCTGTGTTAAAGCCGGTTTCGAGGCCCAGTGTACGGTGGAAACCTAAAGAAGTTAAAACAAGAGCGGCTCTGTGACTTCACATGGTTCTCTGGTACTTAGGCATGCGGGGGGGGGGGGGGGAGGGGGCAGACATCTTTGATTTTCTTCCTTAAATGATGTGAGTGTCTGGTGTCCTTTCATCAGCTGTTAACCTTTCTTTGTGTTTCAATTTCTAAAATGGGGAGGATGAACCTAAGACCTAACCTCCTGGGTTGCTGAGATAACAGATATGAAGTACTTTATGCTCCTTAATGACCCACATGACACCCACTCTGTGCCAATAAGTGCTTCATGATGACAAGCCTAATTGATGCTTACCCAAGTGCCTTGTTAGTAATTGTAATATTCCCATCTTAAAGGTGAGGAAACAGAGGCAAATTTGTCAGAGCTAAAGGAAAGGTTGGGGTTAAAGTCCAGCAGTGCTCTTGGTCACCCTGACATGCTGGGTCTTGCCATGACCTTAGAAGGAGCAGAGTTGCCCTCTCGATCCCAGCTCTGTCAACAGTCCTGGGACATTCTCGCATCCCTACCTACTAAGCAGTTCTTTCTCTCTTGCCTCTTGCAGATTGATGACACTGGCACATTCCAAGTCATAGTGATTCCCTCCGGGACTGAGGATACACCAGCATTAGAGAGACTCCAGCGGTGCACTTTCTGCCATGGTGAGACCCACAGAGAGAATATGATCATGCCTTTTAAATCCTCTGAGTCACCATTGGCCACAGCAGCTGGACCTTTGTGGCCAGAATGAGCATGGTGTAGAGAGGACCTCCTCGGGGCTCTGGCCCCACCTCATCTTGCTGCATGTTTAAGATTAAACAGATGGAGTCTGTTAGCTCAGCCTGCAGGGTCTCCTCCTATGTATCCCAGCAGGAGGGTGACATTCCAGGCCTCTCTATTTCCTGCAGCTTCCAGAAAACAGTAATGAATTTTAGAAAAACTTAGCTTGTCTCATTGCCAGGTATTTCATGTTATAAAGTATTCTATGTGAGTTTTCTGAATCTCAAATGTTCATGGCCCCAAACAGATGCTTTAAAGCAATTCAGCACCCTCCTACCTACTTGGGGAGTTTTTTTCCCCTCCAGTGCTAGGAATTGAACCCAAGCGCACCCTACCACTGAGCTACGCTCCCTTTTAAACTTTTATTTTGACACAGGGTCTTGCCAAGTTGCGAGGCTGTCCTGGAATTTACAATCTTCCTGCCTCAGCCTCCTAAGGAGCTGGGATTACAAGCATGTGCCACCATGTCTGGCAGATAGTTACAACGTGTTAGAAGGGTAGAAAACAGTAGAAAGTCATGAATCTCCATTGAAAAGAGCTCCAAAATGTTAACTATCAGAAATATTTGCCCATTGATTTGTTTGTAGTGTTTTATACCCAATTATTGGTCTAACTGGAAAAATCTAATTTTTCTTTTGAGCATTCTAATAATTATGAAAACTGTGGAAGCCACTGAGATTCGTGGTGGCGGATGTGAGAGCTGATGGTCACCAAACATTTAATATAGACCATGCACCATTCTTCTAATCTCTTTATGTAATACTGATGGTGACGATGAGACAAGAGTTAAGATACTGTGCTTATTATGTTCTAAGCACTGCTCAAATCACTTTTCATCAATTCTATCTTTGTATCCTTATAATCACTCTAAAACATCTGAGCTATTATTAACCCCATTTTACAGACGAGGAAAATAAAGCTTAGAGTGATGTGATAATTTGCCCAAGACCTTACAGCCAGATCAAACCCAAGAAGGCTGGCTCTAAACTGCTTGCAGATTATGAGGAATGGAGGTCTCATTCTGCTCCCCTGAAACTGTCCATCTGGGCCTGAAGCAAATGCCTGATGGCTGCCCTTCTCCAAGGGTATCTGTGAGAGGCCATGATCGATGTTCAAATGACCTTATAGGGAGGTGGCAACTCTGGTGGAGAAGTAGAGTTTTCCGTCTTCTTATAGCTCCTGTGTTTTCTGCCTTTCCTCTGCTCCTCTCTAATCAATTTCTCTTTTCTGTTGATTGCACAGGGTTAGTTTAGACGCAGGCAGTCTAACTCAAAGCAATTAAGTGCTAAGCAGGCTATGGGGAGTTATACCCCACCCTATGTATTCTCAGTTGCACCTTCAAACACGTTGATTACAATAGTTACAACGTGCCACACTCTTGTGCCGGTTCGTGCACAGTCAGAAGTTGCACATATGTGACTGGAGATGGGTTTTGGCTCCATTTCTTGGCTCAAGCCTTTGTTTTGTCTCTTAGGCACACGATGGAAGATATTTTGGCTGTCATTTCCTGCAATTAAAAAAAACCCACAAAACTGAGCAAATGGGCAGCCTGCTGTCCCTGATTCTATAAACGGCCTTGTACACAGGTGACTGTTTTGTCATCTGTTACATGGAGTCCATAAAATTTTCCTAAATTTCACTGGGGAACTCTGACTTGTGCAGCACCATCTTTACTGGGTCCTTATTGAGTGAAGTTAGGAAGTTGGCCACATCCCCTAGGATCTGCATTTTGGTCATTAAACCTTTCATCTAATAGTTTTTCTTTATGGCCCATCCCACATCTAAATACCATCTGTCTACATACATGTTATGCTGTTTCTCTTTTTCTTTTCCTTTGATGTTTAAAGAGGGCATTCTTATCCTCAATCATTAATGTTATTGAAAAATGAGACAGAATGTCATCCCTGGCAAAGGCTCTCTGGGTGGATCTGATCCTAGTTGCGTCCAACCACCTAATTATGCAGAGAAACTGCAGAACTGAGGCCCAGCAGGGGCACAGCTGGACACACACAGCATGTTTCTTCCTGCAACAAGACCTATCTAGGCACCCCATCCCTTGGGCCAAGGAGCCTCCCCACTACTGTTTCACATGGCCTCATCTCTGATAATAAATCATGACTTCATATGTAGAAACTTCTGGTAATACTGGTGTGTCCTTTGGTAAAAAAAATGATTCACTCTTCTGGTCTCAATCTACTCTATAAAATTAGAAGATCAGTTGACTTCCAAGATCCTTCCATTACTTTATTCCTCTGAATAGTTATTTTGGTTAAATTCAATGAAATTGACTCTTTTCATTACCATGCATTCTTTTGTTAAATGAGATATACATATTTAGAAAAATGACCTATTTTATGGGAGCCCATCAATAAGCAATATTTATAGTCATTCATTTAACATGCATTGCTCTTTTAACCAAAAGCACTATGGAGACATAAGGATGGGCTGTAGCTTTGTCGTTAAGTACATATGCAGAGATAGGCATGAAGTTGTGAACTTTATTTAAATTGAAATAAAACACATGGCTTTTTTACTTTAAGCAGATTATTATTATTATTATTATTATTGCATGGTAGAACAATCATAGTGAGAATGGTGATAAGGGCCACTGGTTTTAGCCTTTTAGTATCAACCAAGGACAATCAGACTCTTTCATATTATGCTACTATGTAGTCAAGATGCATGGGACAAATTGTCCACTTCAAGCTTTACAAACTCAACAGAGCCAAGATGAAACTTTTGTTGAAAGCAGCCTAATTAAAAAAAAATTGATAGCATGAGTGAATGGAGTCTAAGGCACAGGTGGGTATAAAATTTGTACTTTCTGGAGATAGGTGGAAACTGTGTACTAGGAAATCCTGCTGTTGTTGGTATTCAAGCTGTTTCATAACTATTTTAACATCAAAGACTATGCTGTTGCCAAATGTTAAGATAATTGAGGTGTGATCTTTTTCTATCCACATCTACTTAGTAACCCTAAGTGACTTGGTTTGCAGATATCTGCAAGCCTGACGCTTCTTGTGACCAAGACAGACCACCCCCTGTACAGTCTTACATGGATGCTGCTTTCCTGCTAGATGGCTCCCGGAATGTGGGACATGCTGAATTTGAAGACATAAGAAGCTTCCTGGGGACCCTGCTAGATCACTTTGAAATCACCCCAGAGCCAGAGACCTCCATCACTGGAGACCGGGTGGCCCTACTGAGTCATGCCCCCCCTGACTTCCTACCCAACACTCAGAGGAGTCCTGTTAGAACTGAGTTCAACCTTACGACCTATAGCAGTAAACGCCTCATGAAGAGGCACGTGGAACAATCAGTTCAACAGCTAAATGGAGATGCTTTTATTGGTCATGCCTTACGGTGGACTCTGGACAATGTCTTTTTAACCACACCCAATCTGAGAAGAAACAAAGTCATATTTGTGATATCTGCTGGGGAAACCAGCTACTTGGATGGGGAAACCTTAAAGAAAGAGTCCTTGAGAGCCAAATGTCAGGGCTATGCCCTATTTGTGCTTTCCCTTGGCCCTTCATGGAATGACAAGGAACTGGAAGATCTAGCCAGCCACCCTTTGGACCACCACTTGATCCAGCTGGGCCGAATTCAGAAACCTGAGCACAGATATGGTGTGAAGTTTGTGAAGTCCTTTATAAACTCAGTCAGGCGTAAGTCATGGAAATTATTCTTTCCTACATGTTCAGAATATACTTGGAATTCCCCAGTAAAAGGTTGATGGGCTAGCATGTATTATTGGAAACCCCTTGTCTATCTTCAAGGGCATTGCAAGGTCAGAAAGGAAAGTATGTAATAATGGATGATGGAAGGGAGGCAACCTCTGATTCCTAAGCATTTAATTTTTTTGGCTTATCCTTTTTATGCCTCTGGTTCCTATGGCGAAACAATCATAACAAGCAGCTGTTCACACATCTGTCTGCCTGGAGCAGTGCAGTCTGAGGGTGTGAAGTCACAGCCTGGACTCTAGCTACAAAGTGGAGCCCTTGCCATGTAACATTAGCACACTGCCCTTTGATGGAAAGTTTCATCAGTTAAACACACCGAAGGAGGAAGCCAAAGAAAAATTAGGCAATTCTTGGCTTTGCTTTCACAAGTTCTGAAGGCAAAGTCTGAAGTGTGAGGAGACCCCATTTTACCTGTCAGAGTGAAAAATACAGGCTTGCAAAAACTTTCTTAGCCTTGTTAATGACTTTCGATGATGCCAAGAGTTAGTGTAACTGGTGCCCATAAGAAATAAACATGGGCTGTTATTCCTTGCAATGATCTTGCCTTGAAAACACATAGTCCATTTTGAATGCAATAGGATGGATTAAGAGAAACAATGCCCTGGTATGACTCTGAAGGTTGAAAAGCACTCAGTGCAATTTCTCAATATTTTCAAGGTAAATGGTCCTGTGATCAAAAAATTGATCACATGGGCTAAAGAGCAGCCGGTTCTAGTGCAGCTCAAGCAAGGTCCTGGTTGTATCTCCAACAGACTGGTTAAAGCTGTCAAGACACTGACTGATCAGTGCAGGGGGAGGTCTGAGGAGCCTTGGAGAGTGTCCACGGGGCTCATGTTACGTCCTGTGCTATTCAGAGTGTGAGTCTAGAACCAGCAGTACCAGCATCACCTGGGAGCTTATTAGAAATGCATATTTTAGACCCTACCACAGATACTCAGAACCAGAACTGCATTTCATTAAATTCCTCAGGTTTTCATATGCACGTTAAGATTTGAGAAACAATGGTGTGGGGGCAAATGAGCTCCCAGAATGAAATGTATGTTGATGTGTTCTGGAATAGGAACCTGAAAGAGGAGCTAGAAAAGAATGGGGCGAGAGGTCCTTCTGAAGAGGTACACAGTAAGGGTAGCATCACGGTCCTAGGACATTCAGTCCAGAGCACACAGTCCCTCCTGCAGGAGACAGTGAGGTATCACAGCCCAGTAAAAACCTGCTACTTACAAGGATCCTGCATCATCAGGAAGAAATTTAACTGTGTTTAACAAATGTATTCTATTTAATGCTTTCAGGAAAAAAATACATTTTTCAAGTTTCCTATAAAAATGGTTTTCAAGTTTTTAAATAATATGAGGCATGCTTTATTGTCATGAAAAAATGATACACTTCCAACTGAAATGAGTCATTATGAATTGCCCAAAATAGCACTGTATTATTAGTATTATAAGTGACATAAAGACCATAAAGGGAATGTCCTTTTCCCTTTGCATTTTAATATTCTACAGAAACAAATAAAAATAAAAACAAATAAAAATAGTTCATATCAATTAAAGACCAGATCATTAGGAATGACTCATGATATTTCAGATTCTCATGGTTAACAATTTGAGCACACAAGGGCATCTTACTGAAAAGTTAGCTGAATTCACCATAAATTCAGAAGAGATTTTCTAAACTCAGTTTTGGAAATTCCTCGGAGAAATCTGCTTTCATTTCCTAGGACCACCTTAGTTGGTATCTTTCTTGATAGTTATGGAAAACAATGAAGTGACACTGTGTACAGAACAGACTGCATTAATGTTAATAGCCACGAAGAAGGGACTCTTCACAGCCTTTTCTGTTCCTAGGTGCAATCAACAAATATCCACCAGTAAACATGAAAACAAAGTGCAACCGTCTCAGCTCTACAGACCCAAAGCAGCCCCTGTGGCAGTTCCGAAGGTACTGTCTGCTTGGTGTGATTTGATAAATGAATAGGCACTTGCCTCTTTGTCCTCAGTCTTTTCCTGCTCCTCCTTTTCTTCCTCTCTTTACCCCTCCATTTTATTTGGATGAAAAATTTATTACTATGATGTTAAAATATAATTCATAGGAACAAGAGAATTTTTTAAATAATCAGGTTAATCTGAAAAATAACCAAGTAGAGATGTTTGGGTTTTTTTGGTAGTTTGCTTTTAAATGGAGCCAGGGTTTCATGGTTCCTTAGAAATACCTAATTCTAGGCTGCAACAGGGAAGGTGCAATGGTAGCCTAAGGCAACTTATTGTGCCACGAAGCAAGAAAATACAAAACAACTAACAGCGTCATGTGAAAAGGACAAACAAATTGTCTTGTAAGGATTCCCACTGTTCTAATCTTGGGTAAACTGAACACCAGAAAGCAACGATGGTAATAAATTACAATATGCTGAATTCTTAAAACCCACAAGTCTATATAGGTTCCCAAAGAGGGGTGAAGAAGGGGAGAAAAAGCTCTTCTTTATATAAGAATACTGGCAAATAAACATGGAAGAAATAGTTGAACTAGAAAAATCACTAGTTGTAACTTACAACGTTAATTATAAATGTAGAAACTGATGGCTCAGGGATGCTAAAACCATTCTATGATAGTTTTTTTTTTTTTTTGAGGGGGGCAAGTATTTTAAAAGGCTAACAGAAGCACTCACAGATGACTTATTAATTACAAGGAGGAAAATGTGTCCTAATATGGTGAGACCTGGCAGGACTCCCTAAAACCACAATCTGATACTGTGTGCCTCTTGTGGGATGCAGTGGGAGGTTCCTGCTGGAAATGTCTGCGAATTTAAGCCTATTGAGAAGGTCACTGGACAACTGCAGAATGTAGAATGTTCTTAAGGATACTTCACCTATACTCTGTAGGTTTCATGTCATGAGAAACAGAGGGATATGGATGGGGTATTGTTCTAGAATAAGAGAGAATAAAGAGATGGAATAGTCAAATGTAATTGTAGGAACCTTAGTTGGATCCCAGATTTTAAAAAAAAGAACTGATATAAATGATATTTGGCTGGCCAAGAATGTAACTCAGTAGTAGCGCACTTGCCTAGCATGCACGAGGCCCTGGGTTCAATCCAGTACTTCAGGAAAAACGAAAAAGAAGAGATACATAAATAATATTTGGGGAACTGGAGAAATTTGAGTATGAAGTTGGGTGTTGTTATTGAATTGTGTGGATTTCCTTGGATGTGATAATAGTAGGATACTATTTGGATACTGTTTGTATAAGAGAATGTCTTTGTTCTTGAAACAGGTATGCTTTTCTTTTAATGTTACTGTTATAGCCTACTTTTAGATGTTTTTTTCTAAAGGGGAGTAGGATGGTGTGTGTGTACACACATGAACACAAGCACAGATATGGATGTACACATGCTCATATATAGTAGCAAGATGGCAAAGGTGGAGAATCTAGGCAAAAGGCATGAAGCAATTTATAGTTTTGCTCTTTCTAACTTTTGGTGGACTTCACAATTTTGAAAATAAAAAAATAACTTACAAAACTCAATGGGTGAATAAACAGTAAGATACATCTGAAGAGAAACATAATAAACTAGGAAAAAGCTGAAGAAACTTTATAGTTTCTTGGACTACAGAGATGATGACTATAAGAGATTAAGAGAACAGAATGGAAAGATCTAACCTATCTCTAAATGGAATTCTAGAAGGAAAAAAAAATAAAAATAATAAAGAAAAGACAATATTCAAGGACAAAAAGGAATGATCATTTTTCAGAATGATATGAGTGCACAGATAAAATGAAGACAAGCTATAACAGGTAGCATAAATAAAAAGAAAGCAACAATTAGATTTGGAATAGGGCACTGTCTTGGCAGAATGCCAAGAGAAAGAAAACTTAAAATCAGCCAAAAGAAAGACCAGATCTTCTACAAAGATAATTGGGTGGCAGCTGAATTATTAATAACAGTAACAGTGGAAACCACAAGGCTACTGAGTATCTTTTAAGGTAGTAGAAGAAAATTTTTGTCAATTTAGAAAAACTGACTTTCAAAAAAATTTTTGAAAACTAGGAAAAATATTTCAGATTTTAAAAATAAGTCTATCCCAGAGAGCTTTACTAAAGGAACCTCTAAAGCATGTACATAGAGGGGGAAAAATGGCCACAGAAGGAAGAAGTAAGATGCAAGAAGTAATAGTGATAAAATTTGTCCATATTTAGGTAAATCTAGACAAATGTATTTTTATTTACTTATTTTGTGGTGCTGGGGATCTAACTCGGAGGTCTCAAGCGTGGTAGGCAAGTGCTCTAGCACTAAGTTAAACCCCCAGGCCAACATATGTATTTTTAAATAATAGTAATGTTCAATTTGTGGGTTACCAAAAAGCTGTACTTGTTAACAAACATAAAGCATTTGTCACCTAGTGGTTTTAACAGAAGAAACAGTGGTAACTAAGACTAAGAGCATCAAATTAAATATTTTTATTTACTAATTAAGTAGGAAAAAAGACAACAAATAATAAAATGATTTCTATTACCAAAAAAAGAAAAAAAATGAAGCCTTGATCTTTAAGAAAGGTAATACTAAAAAAAGGGACAATAATTACATAAATCACAGGGAGGTAAACAGAGACCAAGGGCTCTAGGTACTTGAACTGATGGTTAGGTTGTTGAAAAATTTTAGACTCTTTTAAAAATGCATTAGAGTTCGTCTATCAGAATTTCTTTTCTTTTTTTAACACAGAATTATTTATTTATTTATTTACATGAGCTTTATTATTATTATTATTATTATTTTTGCCTTACAATTCTTAATACAAAAGGGGTTGGAGGGGAAGGAGGGGGTATGGGGTTAGAAATGATGGTGGAATGCGATGGTCATTATTATTCAAAGTACATGTATGAAGACACAAATTGGGGTGAATATACTTTGTATACAACCAGAGATATGAAAAATTGTGCTCTATATGTGTAATAAAAATTGTAATGTGAAAAAAATAAAATAAAAATGCATTAAAATTTTTGAGGGCACACATGGAAAAATAGAAAGTAGCTAACTACCAAAAATATAGCAAGGGAAAATGGTATAAAAACAAAGACAGAAGTAAATACTTAAAAATAAAAAGCCAAGGAAGGGAAAAGATTAAAGGCAAGAAAGGACAGGTGGAAGGCACAAATGACCATTAGCATGACCAGTGGCAGAACCAAGTCCATTTAAATATATCAGTAATCACAATAAAAATATACACAAACATGCCAGTTACAATCAGTGATTGATAGACTTGATTTATCTTTTATTTTATTTTATTTTTTTGAGAGAATTTTTTTAATATCTATTTTTAGTTTTCGGTGGACACAACGTCTTTGTTTGTATGTGGTGCTGAGGGTCGAACCCGGGCCGCAAGCAGGCCAGGCGAGCCCGCTATCGCTTGAGCCACATCCCCAGCCCCGATAGACTTGATTTAAAAAACAATATCCAGCATGAACTGTTTTCAGAAGACACATCTACAACATAGGGAAATGGAAAGGTTGAAAGTAAAATGATGGGGAAAAAAATTCCAGGCACATGTTTATAAAAGCTGGAATAGCTATATTAATATCAGATTCAATATACTTCTAAACAAAACCATTGTGTAGTAATTAAAGAGAGTCTGTATGTTGAGCAAAAGGAAGTCTAGCAGAGTAGAGGAAAAAGAACAGGGGAGGGGAGGGAGGACAGAAGGGAAAAGGGAGGGAAGAAGAAGGGATGGTGAACCAAGATCCAATTCCATGCATATATGATTATTTCGGGATGAACCCAACTACCATGTACAATAAGAAGGCTATAGATTTATATAATAACAATGATAATGATAATGATAATAATAATAATAATAGAGTCTACTTGATGGCAAAGTGTCTGATTCACAAGGAAGATCCTAAATTTATATATATAATAACCTTAAAATACACAAGGTAGAAATTGAAAAAACTATAGTAAGAAACTGCCATTGAACTATCATCAAAATGAAGATTTCAAAAGTACACAGATTTGATAGACATAAATTTGTAAATACATACAAGATTTAAACATAACAAGCTTAATTTTGTAAATACATATAGTACCTTTTACAAAAGAATTAAACATGCATTCAAAGAAATACACGGAACATTAATAACTGTTGAATGGGGGTGGAGAGTTGATGGGTGTTCATTGCACGATTTTTAACTTATAAAGCAAGTGTCAACACATCTCTATGACTTGGTGTCATACAACCCACACAATGCAGTTAACTTAGAAATTAATAACTATTTTAAAGTTGATGCTTTTATACTACAACCACATTTCTAAATAAATAACAGGTCAAAAAAATAATGAAAATTTAGAAGTACTTAGAACTGTGTAATATTCAAAATGCTGTGTCAAAATTTATGGGATACAGTCATGATTTAGGAACATTTATAGTTTTAATTCCTATGTTAGGGAAAATTTTAAAACCCTAAAAGCTAATGATCTAAGCATTGGTCTTAAGATTTCATAGAAAAAAAAAAACAGAGAAAGGAAAAGAAATAATGTAGTAAACATATTATTGTGTGTAATATAGTAAAAGTAGAACTTAATTTTTAAAATTAAGATATATCAAAAAGGGTAAAAGTTCTATTAAAAAACTGAATAGCATACATTAGAAATACTGAATAGTATAAATTAGAAATAAGTGAAATCAAGTAGTTTTGAGTGTTTATTTTTGTGATAAATCATTCTGTACTCACACACAGCCACAGACCACAACCAAGTGTGCCCCAGGCACCTGGCAAATACCTTAGGCAACATGCCTACTTCTGTTGTGTAGTGTGTACTGTGTGCACTTCTGTGTGGAAATCAAGCCAGGCAGGCAATCCAGAAGCCCCAGCTCTGGCCTCTCTGAGAGGCCTCTGCCTGCAATCTCTTGCTCACCTCCTGGGGAGAGTTGTCCAGGGGAACTGTCCAGCAGCAAATACTGCCTGAATTCAAGCCTAAAACAAGCCTGTTTGCCTCAATCTAGGAGGAGCGGAGCGCCCCCTGCTGCAGGTGCCTGGCAGCTCAGAAGAGGGAAATGGAGTGAGTGAGGCCACATCTTTACATGGAGGATGTCTTAAAGCTGTATAAAAGCAGGGCTGAGGCAGGTGTGGCAGAGCTACAAGCTGGCTAGTTTTGTGGGCTGTGCACTTGCAAAGGGCCTGGGTGCTCAGTAGGGCCTGAATTTGGGGTTTAGTGCTCTCCAGTCACTATTAATGTTATTTTGGAATTTGTGTTTTGTATTGGGGTCCAAATGGACACAATGGCAAATGGCACACAGTGGCAAATGGGGACTTGGAGCCTCAGTCTACTTACCACCCCATTTTCTGCTACCTCCTGGCTCCCTGGGTCTGCCCTACCTCCCCCTTCTTGGTGAGGGACCCAGGCACACAAAAGAGTGGGGACCGGGAAGGCAATGGCCATCTGCTCCAAGCTAGTGATGCCACAATACATTTGCCATTGCTTTCCTCCATATAAGCATCCAGTACATTCCAGGAAGGAGGTGGTGATATTCTTGGGGATCACCCCTCTGCTGAGGGTTAGGACAGACAGCTGAGGGAAGATGAGATGCCTGGCTCAATTTCCAGACCAACTGTCTAGAGGCTGGTGAGAGGAGGAATCTGACAGTTGGCTTCACAGGCCAACTCATAGGGAACTGGACTTTTAAAGGTAAATAAAAATTGTCCACAGCAGGTTGGAGAGACAGAGACAACAGAAGAAACAAAAATTCATTTTTTTCTAAACTAGAGGCTCAAATTTGCATTTTGTATTGATCTCCAAATATGATGCAGTCAGCCATGACTGCAAGGGCATATGCCAGAGTCAACCCACACAATTAAAAGGCATTTCTGGAAACCACTCCACCATGCTCTCTGTTTGAAGAGCAATATGAGTAGGAAGAGAAGACTCACAGCAATTTTGGACAGGAAGTTTCTAACCCCTTCTCTACAATGCCTTAGATACACAGGAGGCTCAGCTTCTCCTGTGATTCTGAAATGATGAAATGGCTGGGGTATCAAGAATTGAGAAGTAAAATCTGTTCCATGTTCCACATTGGTGAACTCCCCAATGGTATAATAGACCAGGACTCCCCAGGCCTTCTTTTAAATGACCAAAGACTCTCATAAAAGGTAATGAGTCACCCAGCTGCTTCTGAAACTTGCTAGTTGAGTCATTCAAGAGAAGTGAAGCAGAACTGAACAGAGGATTGTGGAGGACGAAAATGCCTGTTAGGCAAGAGGTCTGGCCGTCCTCCGAATGACCTGCCTAGGAATTGGATCGTTCTGCTGTGAGATTTTGAGGAAAATGCATAAGAAGCTGGTTCTTATCAGATGGAAAAGAATTAACCACAAGCTACCAGGGAGACAGATGGCCAGAGGGTAAGATTGCAGGGTGGCTCTTGTAAAAGCACTTAGATCCGGCTCAGAGACAATAAGACAGATAGCCACCTGTTTATTGCTTTATCCAGTCAGGGAAGCATTTGTGCCAGACTATAAAGCAGTGACAGGCCAGAGCAAGTGAATTATAAAAATGGACACAGTCACCAATGCCATATGAATAACACATCTGTTGCAATTCGGCTTTTCTAAGTATGTTTTATGGACATACAAAACATATATTAAGGTAAAAATAATTCTGGAAGTAGAAGCAATCTTGTTTACATTTTCTACTCCAATGCAGCAAGTCAATTATGTAGCACAGCTCACTCCTGATTATCTGCATAGATGGAGGAATCTGTTTTTCACAGAGCTGAAATCTATAATTAGTTCCATCCACCACCACCCCTTTTTATTTAGAATTTGCCACATCTTTCTTTCAATGGCTTTTAGTGGAGCTGAGCACAAGATGCAAAATGAATTAACTATTTCATCCTTATTTCTTTGTCTTGACTACCTAATGATGGAATCACCAATCAGCACAGAATTTTCTGAACAATAGAGAGTAGAAAAAAAGAGAAATAAAACTGGGAAATAAATGGTATTTATCAAATGCTTAGGAAATGCAAATGCCTACTATAAGACAAGGTATGGAAATTCAAAGGTAGGGTGTTTTAATGTTTGATCCCTTTGAGAATAAAAATATTTGAGAGGGGGAAAAATAGCAATGTCATGCTTTGAGGAGTTGCAAATTCACAATTTTTTCTTAACAAAGATCGAAGATGACGACAAACATAATTAAACTTTCCATAAAAGGAAAAATAAAAAGAAAAGGCAGGAGGGAGATGGTGGAAAGAGAACAAAATAAGATAATCAATCCATGAAACCATGGCTTCTGACACAAGAATGCCTTCCCCATGATCGGTGGTGCCATATTCTATGTATATAGACAATCATGACTGAGAATTTGAATTCATAACTGAGTCTGGAAATTAATAATACAGTGAAGGATAAAAATGGGAGAGAGTGTGAAGAAGTTGTGTTCACGATAAAATTTAGCCATGGCTACTGTTCTTAAGTTGGATCATCTTAGTACATCTCTGATGGCACTGACAGAAGTGAACTGAAATGCACTTTGTGATTTGAGTTTCAGAAGCCAGACACATAGTATCTAGTGCTTGGCAGTTTGGTGGGGGTGTGTCAGGGAACATGAATGGCATGATTTTGTTATTCTGAGGGTTTCCTTCACCTATAACTCTGTTTATAGATGAGGGAGAGTGCACATTCATTCATATGTTCATGCATATGTAAAAAAGTGAAATAATTTTAGTTCAAATTTGTTATATATTTTCCCACTGTGCTCATTTCCTAAGTATTGATGTTTTGTGAGGTCAGATTTTATAGCTAGTGAAAGCAGAAAGAATGGATCACAGTGAATATTGCCACTGTTCTGATGTCAACATTTGGACATTCTCTTGAATTGTCCCTTGAGCACAATTCAGCCAGTAGCTGAAGTTTATCAGCATCAGTGAATCTCTCTCTTCTCATGTCACCAGTCTCTCACATATTCATTCTACAAATATTTATGAGGAGCCTGCCATTCTGTAACCATATCCAGGTGCTTCCATAACATTTACTATTTCACTCTCTATTCCAGGTATTTCAGTAGTTCTCCATATTGTCCTAAATAAAAACCTAGTTCAGTGAAAGTAACATTGGATTCCTACTTTCAGAAAAGTTGGGATTTTGGGGCATGGTGGACATGCCTATAATCCCAGTGGCTTGGGAGGCTGAGGCAAGAGGATCAGGAGTTCAAAGCCAGACTCAGCAAAAGCAAGGCGCTAAGCAATTCAGTGAGACCCTATCTCTAAATAAAATATAAAAAAGAGCTGGGGACGTACGTGGCTTAGTGGTTGAGTTGCCCCCAGCTTCCATTCCTGGTACCAAAAAAAGAAAAATAAAACGTTGGGATATAGCTCAGCTCTGTCACTGACCTTCACCTTCATGCACTATAACCGACAGAGCACCAAGGTAAGGGACTTCAATTGTTGCTCACAAAAACACGCATTGTTTTTCATTCCCACTTTACATCTGAAGAAACGAGGATTAGTCTAGTTAAATGATTTGCCCAGACTGCTCAGTTTGTAAGTAGAGGTCCTGGATTACATTTTTTGGACCCATGACTCTTTCTACTACATCCCTTAAATTAAGTTTATCTGAATGGCTATTTTCTTGCACTGTACAATACAGTGGCCACTAGTTATATATGGCTATTTAGAGCAATTAAGATTATATGAATTAGAGGCTGGGGTTGTAGCTCAGTGGTAGAGCACTTGCCTCACATGCATGAGGCCCTGGGTTCAATCCTCAGCACCACATAAAAATAAATACAAAAATAAAGATATTGTATCTATCTACAACTGAAAAAATATTTTTAAAAAGATTTTATGAATTAGAAAATTCAGTTCTTCAGTCACACTGTCTCAAGTGTGCTACTGGCCAGGGCAGATTATAAGACATTTCTATCTGTGCAGAAAGTTGTATGGGCAGGTTTGAATTTCTAGCTACCACTTGGCCCCTACAATTCCCCAACTACTTTACCTGGAATTCAAGGCATTCCAGAGTCTGACTCCCACTCTCCTCTGTTGTTGGGTTATTCATGACTCCCAATCAGGTTCTTTATGTATCTACCAGACTGGGCTGTCTCCCACTGTAGCTAACAAAGGGCCTTACATAGAAGTGAAAATAAATATTTGGAGGGATAGATGGGTGGACAGGAGGAAGAAATGGAGGGAAGAGAAGAAAGAAGTGTGTGGCATACAGTCATGTTTTCATCAGATGCTTTTTGATGATTTCTGTGAACAGATAAGGTCTCACAAAACTTACTTTCTGTTTGAGTGGGTAAACAGATCATGAATAAGTTTATAAGTAAATAAAAATTAAGATAGTGTTATGAAGAAAATAAAAACATGCTGTGTTGGGTGACTGAAAGTGGGGAAGGAACTGGGAAAATGATAAATGTGGTGGTCTCTGATGAGGGACCACTTGAACCCAAATCTGAAGAATGAGACCCACCATATGAAGGTCTGGGTGGAACATGTTCCATACAGAAGAAATGCTGCTACCAAAATTATACTTTTGCATACTTATACAAGATTTCTCATTTGTCAGCTTGTGATATATGGGCCAGTTTAAATCCCCAGTTTAATAATCTTTTTAAAATTACCCTGGAGGAATGATGCAATAAGGAAATGAGTACAATTAATTTAGGAAACAAAGATTAATATGGAGTCTATTAAAGTTGAAATGGCATTTATCTTCTACGATGTTCTCTTCCTTGTTGTATAGCTTTGTTCCTGGACCACAGAAAACTGTCCTCAAAGAGGATGCATTACAGCGGACAAAATTCTTCCAAGATAAGAAATATCTTTCAAGAGTAGTGAGAGGTGGCAGAGATGATGCTATTTGGAGTTTTCCCAGGAACACATCCCATACTTCTAAAACTGGAAGGAGAATGACAAAACCTACTCCCAAAAGATAAGACATTCAAGAAAGTGCTCAAATAATTTAGCATGGTAAGACTTGGACTTAAATAATAACTAAATCTACTCCAGAACTCTGGCAACTTTTATTTGGATATCTGCCTACCAGAAGTCCATTCTGGTGGGATGAACAAGCCACAGGTTGTAGATTATCAGGTAACTTGACTCTCCATACTCACTGGTATTAAGATATATCTTACCATTTATTTGACCATTCCTGACAATTCCAGCACTCTAAGACTGATATGTTTAACAACTGTTATCATTAGAAAAGGGAAGAATGAAAGAAGTACTTTGGAAAGTGTAATGGAGATATACTTTAAAGGTAAATTTTACATAGTGTATGTGTGTGTACATGAGCCAATGCTAATACTTTTGATTGCAGATTTCTCAGTCCATTTACTGCAAACCCAGCCTTCTTTCTTAATTCAGCACTGTTTAATGCTCATCTATTTAACCAAAGTTTTTTAACGTTTGGTGCAACTCGAATAATATTTACCCAGAGACTGATGCTGTTTGTATGTCATATTTTTGGAAATTTGACCTTTCGTTATTATTCCATTTAAAACACATCCTATTTCTGTGTGGAATGATTACTACTCAAATGGGTTTATGCTAGAAGTTTGTCTTTCATCTTCTGCAGTTGTTTGTTTGGACTGGTGAGAAACAGAGAGGAATTTTCTCCAGCTCTAAATCCTCCTAAACCCACTGAGGAACTCATTAATTCTCCCAGAACATAAATTATTGCTTTTCAGCTGGATGCTCTATCTTCATTATAAAACTTCCTGCTAAGCCATTTTGATGGATTTCCAGTCTTTCTTCCTTGTTATGGTCACTTATTAATTTTCATTAATCCTTGTATGCTTTAGAGAAGAAGGGTAAAGACAACTGGTTATGGGTAATGTTCTGAGTTACTTCTGGTACTTATTGAGTCAATAATGAACAGCACCAAAACAGGATTGGCAAAACTCTGAAAAGAGCTTTAAATAGATATTGAGTTTGAAAAAGGTAAGAAAATCTTTAAAACTTTAATCTAAAAATCCATATTAAAGTTGAAGAAATCCAAGAGATCAGAGTAATTCAGAGCAGGAAAACATCTTCAAAGTGCCTAGTCTCTAGTATCATTCTCTGATGACTTTGTTTCCTTATCTCCATTCAATTTCATCTCTTATGAAATTTCCAACAACTAAACACCCAAGTAGCACTGTTTATTTAGACTCAATATTCAGACCTTACCTCAGTCTAAGAGCTGGTTCCACAGCTGGCAGCAATGACCCTGCTAGGCAGAATATCACTGTTTTTAGTAAGGGAGGGAAACTGCACAGATATGAGATAACTGATACCAAAGACCAGCAGAGTCCATTCAGATTTTCTTTTCTATACCTCTTTTATAATGCCTGAATTGAAAAGCCATCTGTAGTATTTTTTGAAGCACTTCTGCCATCTCTACTCAGGCAACTCTATGGAGATAGCTCCCACATCTTCAGAGGAGCAGGAAATCCAAGGAGTTAAATATCGCATTAATACTCAGGTAACAGAGAAGAATAATGCACATCAGGTTTCTTCGTCCGTCCTAAATGGTGCTTTGGGGTTCAGGAAAAATTTTTTTCCAGTACAGGAAATTGATGAATAATATTTAAGAGGCATTTTAATAACAGGAACTTTTCTAATTAAGTTTGGATTGAGTACAAACACCTTTCTTCTGTTTATTATTGGAAATACTTTGGAAATGTATTTTTTTTTCCTGTGTTCATAAGTAAAGTACACCAAACAAATATTTTCTTGTGATTGAGATTTTTTTAGCATTTTGGGTCATATCATTAATAGGTCAGGAATCAGAAGTATGCTACAAAAAGAAGTTCCTTTTTAATAACTCCTAATCTTGGCATTTCCATGATTTACCTTTCTCCTAAAGTGAAAAACAGCAGAAATTAAGTGAATGTTAATAAAGTGCTGTTGTGGTGCATCTTGGCTTAGAAATGCAAATTGATCGTTAAGGGACCAGCCTCCCATTATCTCTGCATTGAGCTGTGAGTCAAACTTGATTTAAAAACAACAGCAACAACAAAGGGAGATCAGTAGAGGAAAGGGACTAAAGGGGTGGTTGGGAGGGAGGGAAGAAGTGCTGGAGAGTGATATAGGCCAAATTACATTGTTAAATTATGTATTATGTGCATGTATGAACATCTAACAATAAATCCCATCAGTCTGTACAACTATAATGCATCAATTAAAAAAAAGTGGGTAAAGAAATAGAGGTCAAAAAGGTATGTCAAGGGTAGGGAGGGGAATGAGAATAGGAAAGACAGTAGAATGACTCAGACACAACTTTCCCATGTTCACATATGACTACACCACAGTGAATCTCCACATCATATACAACCACAAGAATGGGATCCTAATTAGAATAAGTTATACTCCATGTATGTATAAAATGTCAAAATATATTCTACTGTCATGTATATCTGAAAAGAATTTTAAAAAGGGATATAATTGAACATGCCATGGATTATAATACTTAGTAATAATTCAACCAATTTTTTTTTTAAAGTAGCATTATTTGGGGAATTGAGGAGAGAAGAATGACAATGGGAAAAAAGGATCATATTCCTGTCAGCCCATTCACTGTTTTCTCAGCATTTCCCACATTTATTAGTCTAATGGCTTACCTAATAGTTTCTGGCCTAAAGTCTCTTATCCATGTGAAATTCATGTATCAAAAAATTTTCCCCAACCTGTGAAGACTCTAAATCTGACTTAAAACCTAGAAACCCTGTAAATATGGTCTTAAAAAAATTTTTGTTTTAGTTGTCAATGGATCTTTAGATTTTATTTATTTATTTATATGCAGTGCTGAGGATTGAACCCAGGGCCTCACACATGCCTGGCAGGTACTCTACACTGAGCCATAACCCCAGCCCCCCCAGTAAATATGGTCTTAACAGACTTAAAGGGAAACTGAGGCAACACACCATGACAATGCCAATACTAAGGATACAGACTACTACCCCAGTAAACTAGGGGCACCGTCAAGAGTTAATCACTCCTGACTTTTTTCAAGTGACTGGCATTTCCCAACAATTCTGTTGTTATCTGTTTAAAAACTAAGTTATTGAATTGAAAAGCTAGTTATATATGCATTGTAAACTGTTACATACTAAAGCTGAATTATATAATTAAAGAAATATAGCTGGGTGTGGTAGCACATGCCTGTAATCTCAGCTACTTGGGAGGCTAAGGCAGGAGGGTCATGAGTTTGAGGCCAGCCTGGGCAAGAGGAAGACCATGTCTCAAAATAACAATGATAATAATTACAGAAAAATAGAAAATTGTTTAGTGTATTTCTTAACAAGTAGTGTTTTGCACCAGACTCAGATTATCTACTGAATGTTTTTATACTCATGTAACTAAAACTCAAATATTTTGAACACCACGAACCATTCTGTAAATGGATAAGAATAAAATGTGGAAAATTAGGTTTGCATACAAACTGTAACCCATTACCTTTAAGGGTTTTATCTTGGTGGGAAAGGCCTTTTGAAAATACAAATTTCTGGCATGTTTTTCACTTGATCTTTTATTTTTTTTTCAAGGCATTTAATAATAATCTACGCTGGATAATGCAAGCTGGTAGACCAAGCTACAGAATTTATGGTAGAGCTTATAAAAAATAATGATCGTGGCCAAGAAGACCCAATTTCTCCAGAGCTAATACATCAGAAATTAATTTTACAGTGTTAAATACCTAATAAGGCAGACTGTAAAACAAAGGACGAAAGATCAGAGAGCAGAGAAGAATACAGTTCTGAATGTCCAAAGATTTGGACCCAAGGCCTAGTTCTGTCTCTGTTTCCTTGTGACACCCAGTTCATTTATTCAGTTCAGAATAAGTGCTGTTAGAGAGATTTCCCTTGCTTATGTTTACTATTTAAAACACCACCCAAAAAACAAACCAAAAATTATTGGGATGCTTGAGTAAAGTTTAGTTTGAATAGCATTTTTTAATAGCAAAAATGTGTTTATAATAGCTTACAACCATCTTTTTCAATACAAAATAAACATCATATTCATCTTTGCATTTTACATTTCTCATCTCTAAGACATATACAACAAAAAGTCTAAGATACTGTTGTCTGGCTAACTCTTGAAGAAAGGTGCACAAGTAAACTAGCCATGTCAACTTCGTTAACCTCCTTGGGTGTGATTTGTTTAGTTTTGAAATAATAATATAGGCATGATTTTAAAAATTAAGCAAATGAATTTGTTCTCACTTCTGTTTTCTAGAAATACATTTTCTTTTGAATAACTGTACATTTATAACTTTATTACAATTCACATGAGTCAGTAGACTTTATTTCCACACCTTCACAATCCCATCTCGAGAGGCAGTCACAATGAAGCCCTGCGTGGTCTGGAAAGTGGCAACATCCGTGATAATGTCATGATGTCCCACAGGCAGAGACTCTGGGCCCCTTCGGGGGGTGTCATCACTTGGTCCTACTTTCTGCTTATTCTGAATTTCCTATTTGATAGTTAGAAATCAAGGAGAGAGCCAGAGTTAAATCCACACCACATTCTGCATCTTGTCAGAATTCTTTCTAGGATAAGTTGTTGATTTGAAGTTAACACCTCATGTAAAGTAGTCACACTTTCACATTGAGCAAAAAGAGCAAAAGGAAAGAGTCCAAAATGACATGCTGGGTTTCCAGCCACTGGAGTGCATGAGTAGCCATGTAAAAATATGGAACACTTCCAAATGGCCAATAGTCTGGGCCTATTAATTTTTATTAAAATCAAATGTAAAAAAGAGAAAGAGTATAAATTGAGAGAAGTAAAAATGACCAAAATATAGAAGTAAATATATACTGAATGTTCTAGCATTTCTACAGCTCCTCATTTTTTGTCATGAAGGAAGTGCTTACCTGGACAAGGCACTTTCAGATAAATCACATCTGAAATTTCTAAGCAAAGGACACAAGTTTTAGAGTCCTAACAGTGAGATTTGAGTTTACTACTAGGTTGTTTACTACCTGTGTCTCAGAAAAATTTCTTAACTTCAATGTCCCTAAATTTGTCTTTTGTAAAAGGAAATAATAAAAGTACTTGTTATGTTTCTCAGACTTTAACTCTGTAAAGTGCCTACTTTTCATTTTCAGCTATATACTTATATGTGGTTTATGTTTATTATACCTTAATAAATTAAGTTAATTTATAAATACAAAAAATCCAAGAGAAAATAAATCATATTTCTTATATTTAAAAAAGTTATTGCCAGACTTGACCAAACCCAATTTTGTGTCTACAAAAGTTAAAAAGAAAGAAAAATAAAAAGTAACATACCTGAACAACTTCAGTGCCTTCTATTATTTTCCTGTAATAGGACACAGATGGGGAACTACTACTTCCTGCCACAATATAGGACCTTTCTGGGTAAGCCAAGTCCCAAAACCTAGGGAAGAGGAAACAAATAGGGAAAATCTTCACGAGATAATAGGAAGAACTAATACTCGTTGGCTTACATTCATCAATGCATTGTTTATACTGTGATTAGAAAAAGATTTTTCTAGAATCAATAATATAACATTAATTATAATAGAGTACTAATTGTTGCCCTTGTAATGTGCTGATAGTTTAAAGCATTAAATTGTCACCAGTATCTATAATAACACCTTTCATAAACCAATGTACTCATCCATCTTTTTAAGAATTTTTTTGAGATACTATACCTTATTTTCATGTCTGAGCCAGCTGTTAGCAGGATAGGATTTCCATCAGCAGGACTGCAGTAGATACCATGGACACTATGAGGAGAAGGCTTAAAAGAAGCAAAGATGGCGAGTCAAATAAAAGACATCAGTGCCTTCCACTAATGGAATACTATTTCTAGAGGCAAGTTAACTGCTGATAGTTCTATAGTCACACTTGGTTACCAGAGGATATGAGAAATGAGTTATATAAGTTTTATCTACTTTTTTGGGACTTTGAAGTATAGTTGCTTTGTATTATTCTGAACAGAGAGGTGCAGCCTGTTCAGTTTTCTAAAATTTTCTCTTTAGGACCACCTTGAGCAAGACCACAGTTAAAGGGAAAAAAAATCTTTCCTACAGGGCGGGGAAGGGCTAAGGATGGAACTCAGTTGGCAAAGCATGTGCCTAGCACATGGGAGGCTCTGGGTCTGATCCCCAGCACCACCAAAAAAATAAAATAAAATAAAAATCCTACCTTTTGCCCCAATGAAGTACCCTGGCAACATGATTGTGACTATTAAAAACAAAAGTACAGATGTTTCTTGATTTATGTGAGGGTTATGTCCAAATAAACTCATTGTAAGTTGAAAATACAGTTAATACACCTATCTTCAAGTATTAGTTATTTACCGTTGTGATCTGACCAGGAGCTATGGCTGTGATAGTAGGAGCAAATGTAACTCCACTTTGTTTTATGACTTCATCCTGTAAAACAACCATGCCAAGTAGAAGAGTCATGACTGGAGCAAGATGTTCTTTTCCTTTTGCTATAGAAACCTTTAAGAACACGGAACTACCTAATGGAGTATTGTTTCTGTAACTAGGGTGAGGGGGCTCTGTTTCTGTAACTGGGGTGACTGGGCTAACTGTGATTGGTTAGGCTTCCCTCCCCTTGACTGCACTGTCCCGCTTCTGTAACCTGGCTTGCTTGCATTGGCTAGACCCCCTGAACATCCCTTTTGCGGTTTTCAGGCTTATAAGGAGCGCCCTTGCAATTGTTTGGGGCTGATCAGGGGAACAGCTTTATGTTCTGGTCAGCCACCACCGGTGTGCTTCAATAAAGGCTTCATTAGATTATACGTGAGTGGTCTGGAAGTCAGTTTATGAAACCCTGGGACGAAGCTTTAACTATAACATTTGGGGGCTCGTCCTGGATCCATTTCTTCCCTACCCTCACGCCAAATTTGCCTCCAACGACGGGCCTTTGGACCTCGGCCCCGGAGTAGAGGGGAGCTCCTGAGAGACGTTCCTCAGCCTCACTCCAAGGACGACTCCAATCCGTCCTAGGACGCTCTGAAAAGTCTCCTGCCGGCTGTCAGTTCTGGTGAGTTGACTCTTCTCTGGGGGAAAAGGTCAGATTGGACGCAGTCGCTTACACCTTCCCCGGGACAGGACGAGACGTTGTCACTGTCTCCCTGGAGGTCTCCCTGTGTGACCTCATCTGTCTGTACCTGGGGTACCTGGGGCCCACTGGAGGCCTCCCTGTGGGGGCCTCATCTGTCTGGGGGCAGGACAAGACGTGGTCTCTGCCCCATTAGAGGTCTCCCTGTGCAACCTCAGCGATTGTTGCTTGTCCAGTGTCTGTTCTGCTGTTTGTCATTTCTCCAGGGTCTTCTGCTGTTGGTCATTTGTTCAGTGTCAGTTCGCCAGCCGTTTGTTCTGTTTGCGGGGTCTCTGCCCCATTAGAGGTCTCTGGGTGTGATCTCAATGATTGTTGCTTGTCCTGTGTCTGTCCTGCTGTTTGTTGTTTCTCCAGCGTCTTCTTGCTGTTCGCCGGCCGTTTGTCTTGTGTTTATCTGAGTGTTGTGCATGGGGCCTTTTTCTTGTTCCCATAACTGCTCTTCTTTCACCAGGACTCCTTTGCTCCACCAACATCGGAGACAAGGAAGCGCTACAGAAATCTCTACCTGGACCCCTTTAACTTGTTTTCTTAACACTTTTCAGGACTTTGTCTGTTGGTTTGTTTTTGTTTGTTGCCTTTGTGTTCTGTGTTGATTTCTACCTCAGTTTGTTTCTAATGGGAAAACAATGGTTAAAACGGTTTAACTGTGCTCACTACAGCTTGCATTAAAATGTAAAGTGCTGCCAACAGGACTAAAAGAATTGTCAAAAGTAAAAGCTAAAGGTAAAAAGAAAAAGGCATTCTAGAGATTATCTTCATTTAGGAACTGGGCCAGGTGGCCAACTGGGTAAATCATGTCAGTTCCTATGGAGGACAAATTAAAACTAAAGTGTTTTATAAAATTATTATTCCTAAATTGTATAACAAAAAACCATAATTTTGTCTAGAAAATTTGGCTTTTGTCTCTCAGTATTTGCAAGCATAAATAACTCCCAACAATTAAAAATGGTCTAAAGATTTTTCAATGTCAGGCTAAAAGTTGGTGGCCGCTATCCAAGAAACCAGAAAAACCAGTTTAAAATGGGACCCCAACCTGGGGGACTCTCCCAAGGAGACCAATGAAGCTGCATCTTTGGGAAGTTCCTCCAGGGAAAAATAAGCCCCCTTTGTTTGTCTATGTTCCCTCAACTCTTTTCAGCTTTGATGAACAGGACCACCTCAGAAAAAAGGTCAGAAAACTTTTAAAATTCTATGTTTGTTTTGATCCAATATGCCTAGGTTAATATGTTTTTCTGATTACACTCTGCTTTATTCTAAGGCCAATTTACAAGGGTTAACTCTCAATCTAATAAGCTACAAGGCTTTTGTTTGTCTGTTTGCTTTGTGTGGGTGCACCGGTGTACTGTCTACATGTATTGCCATGTCTATATATATTTGGTACAAAAAATTGACATATGAGCTCATAAATTAAAATTTTAAAAAAATGGATCCAAATACTTTTGGTTAATATAATTTAAAAGGTTCAATTCAAATTGGAAAAATAGATAAAAGTACAAATGTCTTTAAAGTTACTAATACACAGTTTTGTTTCTAGATGGTTAAACAGCTATTAAAATGTTAATGTCTATAAAGTGTCTGATATCCATTGTCTCTAGGATTTTTATTCAACAACAACAACAACAAAAGATTACTAATACTATTCAATGCACTTGTCTGATACCTTGTTTTTTTCAAAAAAAGGATACATAAATTTCATCTAAAGGTATATGAAATTAATCATGGATGTGTTTGTTAGAGACATCTAATTGGTTACAAAGTTAAAATGCTGACTGTTAAATATAATATCAAGTACTCTTAACTCCTTAAATTCCATAGGTAGAATACTTTAAAAATGTTGGTGTTTTTATAAATTGGTAAACTAAAAAGGAAATTTGTAATTATTTTGTGTTATTATAAAAACAAGATTACTCTAAATTACAAAGTCCCAACAGGTATAATTCTACATACAAGGAGTTAAGAGGTTTCAACTGTATTTCAATTAAAGTACTGTAAATAACAAATATTTCATCTTATTAAAATGGATTATTTTATCTAAATTGAGAAATTTATAAGGGTTATTTCAAGATACAAAAAAAAGGATCAATGGGTTAAAAAATTATTAAAAAGTTCTAAATATAAAAATATATTTAATGAAAAACATTTCCAGGTAAAAAGTCTTTATGTGGTAAAGTATAATTATAATACATCTATGTAAACAACAAAAGGGTCTAATTAAGTAATATAAAGGTCTATAAATAAAAGACAAATGTTAAAAGGTTTATATGTAACTAAGTTGGTTATATATGTAACACAAATAGTTAAAACTATTCAAGGTTGTTCCCTAAGGACAAATAATAATGTACTGATATATTTATATGTTAAATTGACAAAAACTTCTAAAAATATTAATTACATTATGTCTGAAGGTTGTTCCCTAAGGACAAATAATAATGTACTGATATATTTATATGTTAAATTGACAAAAACTTCTAAAAATATTAATTACATTATGTCTGTTAAGTTTTATCCCCTAGAACAAGTAATCTTGGAGAAACTAAGGTTTTTACATCTGTGGCTAAACAGCAACTGTTATTTTAAAGTATTGTTCTACATTACAAATTCTAGATTTTCCTTTATTTTTATTTTTTTTTTTTTTGAATTTTCACATATGGATTTTTTATTTTATTTTTTTTATTGGTTGTTCAAAACATTACAAAGCTCTTGACATATCATATTTCATACATTAGATTCAAGTTGGTTATGAACTCCCAATTTTACCCCAAATACAGATTGCAGCATCACATCGGTTACACTAGATTTTCCTTTAAAAAGCTAACCTTGGTTAATATAAAAACATCAATGAAAGTGTGGTACATTACTCTTCTTTACGGATTAAATGTGTTCATATCTTTCAGGTATACAAGTCTTTAAGGTAAAAGGTTTAAAAAAAACATTTTATCAAGCTGGTAGTCTCCAAACTAAAATTGTCTGTAATGGTAATTTAAACTTATAAAGATAATAAATTTTATTGGAGATTTATTATATCATTTGATGGTTTTTAACCAAATCTTATGTTACCTTTTACACTAAAATATAAAAATTTAAAGATATTTTAAAAAGTAATGCGAGCCTACTCTATTTAAATAATAATATCATAAAACATTTTGCCACTTTTCCACATGAAAAAAAAAATGTTAAGGGCTCTCAGCCTTTCCTTAATTAATGTTCCAGATGTATGTCATATTGTACTACTAACATTCATACAGAGTCAGAAAACAATATATGTAAAATTTATAAAATGATATCTAAAAAGAGAGACAAAGATCAACTTTAGAACTAAAACACTTTACCTAAAATTGTGAAGAGCCCTGCCTTACCTGATAAGGCTCTGCCTCCCACCTTACAACATGTCAGAATAACTTCAAAGTAGGCCAGATTTCAGTTAATTTAAAGTTATATTCAAAGGTTAATTTTATTACAAAGATTACTGTGATCTCAAATAGAAAATATAATGTATAACTCGGCCAAGGTTCAGAATTATATACAAGCTAAATATGTTTTTACTATTGTTAATTTCACTTTGTATTCTCATTATAACTAAAAAAAGTGACCACTACACTTAGAGCAACCACGAGACCTTTACTGTGACAGTGTCTGATTAACACGAGAGAGAGAAAAAAAAGTGCGACAGAGAGAGAGAAGTGAGAGGGAGAATGAGAGACAGGGAAAGTGAAAAAAAAAAAAAAGGAGAGACCAAGAGAGGAGGACCTGGCAAGAGAGAGTTTTTATAGCCAAAATCTAATGGGCTCTCTGGATCTGCAAGCTGCCTTGTTGTTGTACAGTGATTGGATCATACAATAGATGCTAAGGTGTCATCTTCTGCCTTCAGGCAGATCTTCAGCATTACGTAAATTAATAAATAAAATAAGGATATTGTGTTATGTAAAAATTAACTGAAAAGTTATAAAGATTAAAGCTAAAGCCCAGCATTATTACTTTAAAACTGGTAAAACTGACTTGCTGGATGTTTAAGGCCAAATTTAAATATTAAGGTTAAAATAAAGGGGCCAAAAAATATTTAGTTCTTGCCCTCTAAGTCAGCCTGAACCTAGGACAGGGGAAAAAGCTTTGCAACTCCAGGCCACATAACCTCCCGATAAGGGAGATTAATGAGACCAATGGAAAACAAAAAGCCAATGAGTGTACATGCTGCAAAAGAGGAGGGTCATTGAAAAGGGGAGACATGCCTGAAGCTTCCAAGGGAAGCCATATGGTCAGCAAGACCTTGACCCATCCTAATGCAGATGACACTAACAGAGCTAAAATGCTACTCACACGTTCCCCAAGAATGTCCTCCAAGGAAACTCAGCTGACTCTTACCAACAGATAGAAACAAGGTCAGTTTGACCAGCTTGGTCTTAAACATCTAGCAAAAACAGTTAAAAACCTAAGCACAGCCATTCCTGGGCATTTAAAAAGAAACAACAGTTATTTTAATGTAACTTAAAATATACCCTAGTGTTAGCATCCCCCAAAATAAGTAAGACTGGAGGCAACAAAAGAAAAATTCTTAGGCAAAAATGCCTGATAACTATCAATAAAAAACTGCTAGAAGTTTTTAGTCAGTTTAAGGCCTACAGATCTTCCTAATTTCTTATACAGGTAGATGTAATCAATGTTTATTAATATAATTATCTAGCCCTAAGTAACAAAAGGATCTTTACTGAACACAGAAGTCATGCCAAAAAGGTATTTTTACAAAAATCAGATGACATTAACAAATTTAACTAAATGTTGTGTCTACATTCCTGATAATTCTGACAATGTTAAAGATTTATGTTCCCTAAAAAAAGTGCCTTATTAGGCTTTGTTAGGCCTTGTTATGGGGACATTTTCTCAGGTCTTCTGCCTCCTGGTAAACAATTATTAATTTCTGTCAGTTTCATGATATTCATGGACAGGTTCCAGATGCTACAACTGCTATTTTGTATTAATCTTACTTCAGCACTCATGTCTTTTTGTTTCTCTCATAGAAGTGCCCACCCCAGGTGAATTTACATCCTGTTCTTCCTGAGCAGATTTTTACCATGGACTCCTTGACCCACTCAGTTTCTAAAAAGGGACTCCAAACTGCTTGCCCACTGCACATCGCCCCCCTTTCAGCTGGAAGTAGCAGGAACGGTCATTGCCCTTTTCCCTTACGGTAGTTGGAGGTCCCTAATATTAGAAAAAAAATTACGGTCAATATAGATGTTTGCAACATGTCTAGCTCAGAAAGATGTACCTGGAAAACTACTCCCCAAATTACGCTGGGTGATCTCCCAGAAAGAGACACTTGCTTCTACAACCCAACTTATAAGTGGGACAACTCCCTGTTCGCCAAAAATTGTGCTTCCTGGGTCCCACTTCGAACTCCTTGCCTATATCTCCAAACTGTCAATAACTCTGAACTATGTAACCTACTATTTTGGTGGGTAAAGGGAAAAGAACACCTGGACTTATTAAAAGGCCAGGCCCCACTGATTTATCAACATAGACTGGCTGCCCCCATTTTAGTTCCCCTCCTGACTGGTTTTGGAAGTCCCTCAGCCGTCAAATAGATATAGATTTAGGAAAACTAAAAAGGTCAATCTCCAAACTAAAGGTTTCACTAGACTCTCTGACAGAAATAGTCTTACAAAACAGATGAGTTCTAGATGGTCTCTTTCTGAAACAAGGAGGACTTTGTATGGCTCCAGGAGAAACTTGTTTCTCTGCAAACCATTCTGGGATAATAAAGAACAGTTGGCGCTTGTGAGAAACAGGTTAAAGAGATGAAGCACTAGAAACTTCAGGCAATTGGTTCCAAAACCTATTCTCATGGTCCCCTTGGTTGACTACCATCATTTAAGCCATAGTTGGGCCCCTAGTCCTTCTCCTGATTGGGATTACTGTAGGACCCTGCCTCTTAAAAACCCTCCTAAACTATATACAAAAAAATGTAGGTGAGGTCAAACTTATGGTCTTGTGAGTCCAGTATAGTCCCTTAGACACAGAAGGATGGAACAAAAACTGAGGCCTAATGATGTGCAAGATTGACATCAAACCTACTAAAACCAATGGGGAATGTGATAGTAGGAGCAAATGTGACTCCACTTTGTTTTATGACTTCATCCTGTAAAACAACCATGCCAAGTAGAAGAGTCATGACTGGAGCAAGATGTTCTTTTCCTTTTGCTATAGAAACCTTTAAGAACACGGAACTACCTAATGGAGTATTGTTTCTGTAACTAGGGTGAGGGGGCTCTGTTTCTGTAACTGGGGTGACTGGGCTAACTGTGATTGGTTAGGCTTCCCTCCCCTTGACTGCACTGTCCCGCTTCTGTAACCTGGCTTGCTTGCATTGGCTAGACCCCCTGAACATCCCTTTTGCGGTTTTCAGGCTTATAAGGAGTGCCCTTGCAATTGTTTGGGGCTGATCAGGGGAACAGCTTTATGTTCTGGTCAGCCACCACCGGTGTGCTTCAATAAAGGCTTCATTAGATTATACGTGAGTGGTCTGGAAGTCAGTTTATGAAACCCTGGGACGAAGCTTTAACATGGCTCACTGCCCAGCATCACAAGAGTGTACTGGACCACATACCTGTTAGCCCAAAAAAAGATCAAAATTTCAAATATGGTTTCTAATGAATGTCTATCACTTCTACACTATCGCTATAAAGTAAAAAAATCATTTGGTCAAACCATGGTTAAGTCAGGATCCTCATATTTAAGATGGTCATATTCCATTTTTTCATAACCTAAACTTGAATCCAGTATTTGCCTAATTAACCCAGGTCTACTGTAGTTCTAAAGAGATACTACAAACTTTACGTAATTAGCAACCAAAACATTCAGTAAAGCAGACACAAGCAAGTTTAAGGAATTAGAAAATATGCATGCAGCAATGGCCACATGATACTTTTTTTTTTTCACATGATACTTGATGTTATTAAAAACTCAAATTTTAATCCTAACCCCAAAGCCCAATAGATCCCTTGTTTGCTAAAATACCTGAAAGTGCTTAGGATGTGAGCAATAATATCCTTTACAGTTAGAACTAGAGACAAACCTGTAATTCAGAAAGTGGTGGTGCACTGCTGGCCCAGAGAGTAAATCTTCTGTCACCAGTCTCCATGTCCCACATGGATACTTCATTGTTCCCCTGAACAGCTAAGAGAGACAAAGGCCAGAACTGTTAGAGCAGAAGGATCTCACACTCAGAGCTTTCACATTGTGGTAGGTAGAGCAATTTTTTCCCAACCTATAAGAAATACTGACTAACACTTTTAAATAACAACATGAACCTATCACCATATTGGGTGAGTGTAGTTAACAAACTTTTAATAGCCTAACAATAAATATTTACTGGTGAAAAGAATTATAGGGCAGAAAGACAAATCACATGCAGATCCAGCCCTCAAGAAACCTATGTTTTTTGTTTAAGTTTGTGAGTTTCTCCAGAAGTGGAGAAAAAAAAGGATATATGGAAAACAAGAAGACATTGGCAAAGAAACAAGTAAGTGTAAGTTCCACCTGAATACAGGGAATTTAAAAAATCACATCTGGTGGGTGAGAATCCAGGTCCCATCATAGACAGAATATTTTAATAGGGACTAAAAAGGCAGATATACTACTTTAGCAAGAAAGAACTAAATGGGGGGCGGGGGGAATCTGTGGCTATTTTGGAGAAAGATGAATAAAGAGAAACATGAGTTATAACTGGAGCATATCTGTGACAGATCACAAAAATTGGAAACTCCAAGGCCTAAGACAGAAATTATCCCTTAGGATTGTGATGCGGGGGAATGACAATATACCAGGCTTCATTTGCTTAGAGCAATAGAGCAATGAACCAAGATGATCTTTCTGGTTTTGAATATGAAAGAAGGAGACATTAGCTAAAGGAGTACAGCAACAGAAGTGGGAAACTGCAAAGAAACACAATAGCCTCCAGAGGGAATATGGTCCTTCTGCTACCATGATTTTGGCCCACAAAACCCACTTCAGATTTCTGGTTTCCAGAATTGTTAGGAAATAAAACTGTGTTATGTCAAGCCACAAAGTTTGTGGTAACTTGTTATAGCAGTCACAGAAAACTAACATATGCCCATAAGGAGCCCCAAGGGAATAGAGACCAGTTACCCCAACCTGGTTGTTTCCCTCACCTCCAAATAACTGTTCCTCTCAAGATGGTTTTCTCTAATTTCTTTCCAAATTCCAGTAACTATACCTTCCACTCATGCTTTCTACTGCTACTCTGCTATTATTAATCTTGTATTACTGCAATATCTTATGATAGTCCTATATCCACACCTTTGTAACAGTTTCTTTGAAAATAAATCCTTATAATTTTCCTACCATTGGTATGCCATCAGTTTCTCATTGGAACCCTGACTAATAAAAAGGTTAGACAGTGGTTATGAGGGCTGATCTCTCCTTATGGTCCATAGAGCCTTTTGGACCACACTGGCTATTACTTGCAATGAAAAGCCACTGGGAGTTATTGAGCAGAAAAAAAAAAAAATCTTAAGAGATATGGTCAGAAGCAGGGAATTAAGAGGATATTGCAAAGAAAGGACAGAGATTGTGGTGATTTGAAATAGGGAGCCAATAATGTAATAATAAGAAGTGGTCAAATTCTAGATATATTTTAAGACAGAATTTGTAGAATAGCTGATGCACTAGAGGTGGAATGAGAAAAAGAAGAGTTAGTACCCATAATCCTAGAAACTCAGGAGGCTGAGGTAAGAGATTACAAGCTTGAGGCCAGTCTCAGCAACTCAGCAATAACCTAAGAAGACACCAGACTTCTGCCTGAGCACCCAGTAGAGCTTCCATTTATAGACAGAACATCACAGGAAAAGTAGTTCTTTGTATATAAAGCAAAACACTAAAAATGTATCTTAGCAATAGGATATAACACATTTTCCAACAAAACCCCCCAATACACAAAAGCTGGCCCTTCATCTTACCTGCTATCACCCAAGACTGATACAAAGGGTGCATTGAAAGGCGCCTGATTCGAGCCCTGGAAGGATGACAGTGACTGGAAATTGGCAACTGGAACCTCATGTCCCAACAAGCCATGGTACCACTACTTGTACCTTAAAGAAAAAGAAGCATAAAAAGATTACCATATAATGATCAAAGCACACTAGGGGGCATTTGTACAAAGTATTAACTTTATGTCAATGTATTTTAAAATTGCCTTCATCCCTTAGAAAAGGGTTTCATTCTCATGTAGCTGTCTTCCCAGTTTCAAATAACAGACATAAAGTTCTTGTCATAATGTTGTAGAGTACTGTCTAATGAATGTAAATTTAAAATGAGTAATTCATTAATTACTGATACTGTTATTAATTGCCAAAGGTATTCACAAAAACAAAAACTAGAGAAAATATAAACTGAATTTGGTAAGTCAAAATGTTCAGACTACCTTCAATAATGGTGTAATAGGGGATAGTGGATACTATTTTATCCAATGATCACTTTGGAATCCAAAGTTGGTAGCAGCTCTGCAGCTGTCATCAGATTTCAATCATTTTCATGTGCCCTTTTCTCCAAAACATCCTGGAGATGAATATGGATATCCAATCACAGCAGAAACTGGGGTGAAGTCTTTGCATCTACCCATAGCAACTTAAACTCTGGTCATGAAAGCAAATTCTTGCATTGGTTTCCAATCCCAGCAGGAGTGGGATGGAAGGGGTGGTAGTTACACAAAGACAGCTTGCATGTCAAACTGACCCACTCCAAGACAATGACTCAAATAGTACAGGAAACATAAGCATAAGCTTCCCCCTAAAAGCTGATCAGGGAGCCTAAGAGGCATCACTACCATTTGCTAACTTGCTAGTATATAATATCTAATTTTCTAGACCTAATATTACATCTTCCTGTACCTGCACAGTTTACTGAGACAGAAGGCAAAAATAATGCATTTTACATAAACTACATAAAAAGTAATACAGAAGGGCTGAGGTTGTGGCTCAGTGGTAGAGCACTTGCCTAGCATGTGTGAGGCACTGGGTTTGATTCTCAGCACCACATATAAATAAATGATAAAATAAAGGTCCATCAACATCTAAAAAAAGCCCAAGTAATACAGAAAAGGGCAGATATATAATTGTTGCAAACATAAATTAGGGAATTAAGAAACCTAAATTCAGACACAGAAGATTGTTAATTCGTCTGAATAAGAGAGAAAGAATAAGATGTGATAGCTTCCTAAGGGTCAGGTTCAAAGTACTATGGGGGCAAGGAGATGACATTTAAAACAGGAAAAAGGAAGAAAATGTAGATATAAGATGTTCAAAGTTTCATAGAAGGAATAAGCTTTAGTGATCTATTGCATAGATTGGTAATAACAATAGTGCATTGTGTGTTTCAAAATTGCTAAAAGAAGTACATTTTAGATGTTTTCACCACAAGCAATAAGTACGTGAAGTGACTAATCTGTTAATTACCTGATTTAATCATTCTACAAAATGAAGATACATGGAAACATTACATTGTACCCCATAAATACGTACAATGATTATTTGTTAATTAAAAATCAAAATTTTAAAAACCAGCAATACCATTCTTGGGTATGTACTTATAATAAATAGACATCTATGTCCTTACAAAAACCTATTTATAAAAGTTTACTCAGAACTAAATAAAAGCAAGAAACAACAATAATCTATTAACTAGAGAATGTGATGGATACATAAATTATCAATAGACTACAATGTCACTCAACAATAAATAAGACTTCTCATACATGCAATCACATGGAAAAGTCTAAAAAATTTATGCTTAGCAAAAAAAAGAGACACATATTAATGATTCTATTTTTATGACATTCTGGGAAATGCAAAATTATGGAGACAGAAATGAGTGGTTTTATTAGGGGCTGGGAGGAGGGCACTGAATGTAAAGGAGTATGAGGAAATTTTTCAAGAAGTGATGAAAATGTATCCCATTTATGGTGTATATATTTTTGGTACACTGTATATATTTTTATATTATATATTTTTCAGAACTCATCAAATTAAACATTTTCAAAAACCAACAACAATAAAAACAGAAGAAAGAAGCAAGCGAGATCACATGGTAGGGGCTGGGGATATAGCTCAGTTGGTAGAGTGCTTGCCTTGCATGCACAAGGCCATGGGTTCAATCCTCAGCACCAAAAAAAAAAAAAAAGAGAGAGAGAGAGAGAGATCACCACATGGTGTATCTTCAACCTTTGGGGAAAAGAGGCTTGGAAGATAATAACATGAGAAACCATTGCTGGCTCTTCTCCTGCACCAGACACTGTGATATAAGCTTTTAGCTCATTAAATCCTCAAAGCAGCCTTTGAAAGCATTAATCCCATTTGAAGATGAAGATTCTGAGACTTGAGTTGAACAGCTTGACTGAGGTTATTGTGTAACTGAGGTTACACAATTTTAACTGTGTCTGCAGGAACTCAAATTCTATTTTTTTTAAGTCAAGCCTGGTGATTTCCTGACCGAGTAAGAGAATGCCAGAAAATTTGATCACTATAATGATTATAAAGATACTAATTTAAGATCGAGAAGGAAATTGTTTATGCCTTGTGATACTGATTTTACCTTTCCAAATTGTCTTGAAATAAAAAAATAAATAAATTGCAATAATTATAATAATTATGAAAAAGGGAGAAGACGGAAAGAAATTACCAATGAAGAAAAAAAGGAAAAAATAGCTTTCCAATATGGCAACTGCAGGCAGTGGTGGCATGCAAAAACCAGTCAATGACTTGAAAATCAGCTTACCAATGCAGAGCCAGCACTGGTGGATGTCCACAGCAAAGGAAGTAATAAGGCCTGACTTTAAATCATGCTTTAATGTCCATGCATTGCTTGAAGATCTGAGATCCCAGCCAACCAGAGAACCATTCACAGTGGCATAGGCCAGAACAGACTGTGCCCCAGAGTTGAAGTGATGCATATCCACAACACAGCCATCCTCCTTTTGATCTAGAATTCTAGTGAAATACATAAAGCAAAATAAATACAGACTTTTCCTCTCATCAAAAAATGTAGAACTAGTTTCCATATAAAATGAATATATACCATGTTCAAGAGAAAAAGTCATGTAATCCCATTAGGACAATTATAGCTGAAGTATTTTTTAAAAAAATAATTTTAGACTTATAGAAGAACTGCAAAAATAGTACAAAGTTTCTATATACCCTTTACTCAGCTTCGCCTCATGTTAACATCTTATAAAGCCTTAGAACATTCATCAAAACCAAGAAGCTAATCTTGGTACAATACCAGTAATCATGTTACAGAATGTATTCTGATTTTATCCATTTTCCACTAATGTCCTTTTCTGTCCCAATATCCACTCCAGGATATCACAAGACACTGAGTTGTTATATCTCCTTAGTCTCCTCCAGTCTGTGACAGTTCCTCAATCTCTCACAACCTTTGTATTTTTTAAGACTACTAGCTAGTCATTTTGGAAAATGTCTTTCAGTTTGGGTTTGTTTGATGCTTTCTCATTATTAAAGTTATGCCTCATTGGGAAGGATACCACAGAAATGGCTTATCTTTCTAAGTGTATGATATGGGGAAATACTTGATACTCAGATGTATTACTGGTGAGGTAAATCATAATCCTTTGTTTAAGGTAGCACTGACTAATATTATTCACTGTGAAATTACTTTAAGAAAATGTAAAAGTTATGTTTCTAATTGAAGATCAACCAGTTCTTCAAGGAGTCCTGATTCCTGTTAATGGAGAATGGTGTTAAGAAACCAAGATCTAGGCACTATAAATGCTCAGTGTTATGACAGTATCCCTGATTTTAGTTCCTCTCAATGGCCAGAGCTAAAAAATATATTATGTACACTACTTCATGTGTGTAGACGTGGATTTATTCCTATCTCTTTGTGTATGTATGTCTATACATATATACATGAATCATAAGTTCATTTGGAAATCTTCACCTTCATCACTATCAGTTCATTCTAGCCTTTACTCATTTTCCTTATTTTTAACTTCTTTCTCCATTAGTGAGAAAACTGGCTCTCATTAGATACAACATATTTACTTATTTCTTCAGCCCTAGAAAGTAGCTTCAGAGCTGTCAACACATATTCCTGTAAAAAACAACCACCTAGAATATAACACTTGAGTTCAGTTCTTTTAGTCATTAAACTTGTAGAACTGAATTAAAACACTGCTTTCCAAAGTTATTTTAGTTCCTCTATTCTCTATGCTCTTCAATGAGATATGATTCATTTGTAAAAACAAATATATTTGTCACAGATTGCATTCCATCTTTCCCACTATATACTGGTTGATTTTTAAAAAATTTATATACTTCTTTGTGGAATATAATACATGGGTTACGACAAATATAGCCATGTATCTTCCATCATGTAACCACAGAAAAATATTCCGCATCCCCAAAATTATCTTGTGCACCCCATTTGTGGTTAACCTCTAACTATCTCTTCAACTCGTAGCAACCACTGATTTGTCTTCCTCCCTATAATTTTATGTTTTCCAGAATATCATATAATTGGAAATATATAATACCTAGCCTTTTGGATCTAACTTCTTTCATTAGCAAAATGTATTAAGAGTTGTCAGTGATGCATAAGCCAAAAAATAATTTATTCCCTTATTTATTATATAGGTATTCCAGTTTTTTTCAAGTTGAGGCATTTTTATATTGAAAAGAACATCAGAGGGCTTGGAATATACCTCAGTGGTAGAGTGCTTGCCTACATACATATGAACTGGGTTCAATCCCTAGTACCACAAAAAAAAAAAAGAATATCATAATGTGTACTGGCCAGACTCCATGATTAGTACACATCAAGCTTGTGCACAGACTTTTATTTTTGTCTCTTAAACGTTTTCTATTAAGAGTCACATATATCTCTTAAAACATTAAATATTTTAGGTCTTCTGAGTCACATATATCTCATATCCATATTCTTCTTTATTATATTTTTTTCCAAACCTTTAAAAATGCAAAGACCATTCCTATTTTATGGACCATGCTATAGGCTGTAGCTTGCAGTTCTCTGTCTTACATATGTAATTATATTTACAAATATTCTACTCCTAACTATATTTCCAGATACAGGGAAGATGGAAAATCAAAATATCAAATAAAATGTGAAATGGTTATTCCCATAAATTTTAATTCCTAAAGAGGCATGACAACAAGTGATATGACTGAATGAAACAAACACATGACTATGGCAAGGTTTCTTCGGAGAATAATATAGTCAGATACAGTAAAACACAAATATTCTGGCAAGCACTCCAAATCTAGGCAATAAATAATTTGCTTAAGGTAAAGACATTAACATTCACAGTAGAAAGTGCCGTCAGCTGAGAGAGAATCCTGCATGGAATATGCATATCTGATCTGTGTTGTGACCTGACGGCACAGTCATCACATTGCACAGTTTGCCAATAATTTAAATGAACTCAATATGTGTAATGCTATACAGTCATCCTCTACTGAAACAAATTTTAAGGAAACTGGCAGGTATTTATTAATAAAAGCCATAAAAAATATGTCCTGGACTAAAGCTGCTCCAATCTGTTTAGTGACTATTCTAAAAATAACACATTTTTAAATGCAAAAGCAAAGCAAAGCAAAACAACGAAAACAAAAAAAAAATCCTTGGTGATCCCACAAATTCCTTTTCTGCCTTAAGCTATACAACTATGAGTTATCATCCACTTAAGTGAAAGTCTCCTCATTTTGTTTTCTTTCTGTAGGGGTCCACCACTTCTGCCTAGTATGCCCCTCCCTCCCTCCCTTTCTTTCTTTCTTTTTTTTATATACATTTATTTTATTTATTTATATGTGGTGCTGAGAATCGAACCCAGTGCCTCACACATGCCAGACAAGTGCGCTACTGCTGAGCCACAGCCCCAGTCCCTGGTATGCCCCTTTCAACCACATTGCTTCAGGCGCTCACATCTATTCTCCCTGTCTTCTTCTCTCTTTCAAATGGACTCCTGTTAACCATGAAACATGGCATATTACCATACTGCACTAAAATCATTCTTGTCTATTTCTGCCACTAGTCTATAGATTCTTAAAAAATGTAATATTTTATTTGTCTTTGGAATCCTCAGTACATAACACATATTGGTCACCCAAATAATTGTTGCTCTTTATCTTTAAATGTCTTATTTTACATGTGTTTAATCTGTAAGCAGCTACAATTAATAAGAAGTGAAGGAAATTCCTTTAAAAAAAACAAACCCAGCATTTTGTTTTAAAAATGGTAAGGAAATCACATGCCTAAACTCTTTACTGTATATTCTCATCAACTTCAGAGATTTTAATGCCAAGCAACATTATGCTGATGGTTGAGTCTTCTTTAATGAAGAATTCTCAAAATGGGCCAGACAGAATTGTATTTTTAGTAGTTATATAAAAGATATAACTTGTGATTGCATTATTCAGACAGATTTCAGACTGGGATGAGTTACAAGTTCAAAGCTGCCCTTCTGACCTTTTAACTAACTGGCAAAAAATAAGATGACTTCTAAAATTAGCCACAGGTGATAGTTTTGAGTTGAAAGCACAAATTTATTTACTCCATGGGCTCAAAAAAGAAGTATAATGTAAGAGGCCTGCTCCAACTACACTGTGGTGTATGAGGGAAAATTAAATTACTATAATGTACTAAATGCAAAATTTTAAAAAGACAAAAGATAGATACCTGCTTTGTAGAGGATGGATTTTAGGAGACTTCGGCAGCTTAGAAGCCTCAATTCCAAGAAGCTGGACAGCACCATTATCAGATGCTATGGCTAAGTAGTGGGAGCCTTGACAGAACGTGAGTGTCTTGACTCTTCCTCCAATTCGGTTATATGTAAGAATAGATCTGAATGAAAGAAAAACAAGATTTTATTTCTGAAACACCACAAGCACATTATTGCTAATATTAAATATCCACATGGCTATTTGCAAACAAAATTATTATTTTGTGAGGTTCATTTTGTCTTCCTGATTTCATACCAAAATAAGAATCTCCTCTGAAAAGCAGTGGTTCAAAATCACCTTTTCTTCTGATTGTTTCAAATGGTCATTTTTGCACACTTCCTATCAGAACGAGTGGTCCCTCCTCTTGTTTAATAATAAGAAACCAAATTCTTACAGTCCTGATCCTACTGATGGTCCAAATTCTCCTTCAACTCTTTTTTTAATTACTATTATTTTTATTAATTAATTTTAATTAGGTATATATGACAGCAGAATGCATTTTGATTCACTGTACACAATTGCAGCATAACATTTCATTTCTCTGGTTGTACATGATGTAGTGTCACATCATATGTGCAGTTATACATGTACCTAGGGTAATGACGTCCATCTCATTCCACCACTCTCCTTCAACTCTTGCAATACTTTTTACATCCTCTCTTTGGCCCTTAAATTATCCTATAATCTCTAACATACAGTCTGGCTAGACTTGACTTTCATTAAGAACTGCCTATATGACCTTGGTTGTGCTACTTAACCTGCACTGTGCCTCAGATCATTCACTCACAAAACAAAGGGTGCTCTACTTATTTAACAGGATCATTAACAGGATTACAGTGGAGATCAAAAAATATATAAGCATTAAAACACTCATAAATGCATGGTTTTATTATAATATTGAGTCTCTCATACACAATGCTGACCTTTCAAGCTATCTGCATTATTTTCCTCCTTTACATTTTCTGCCAAACTTTTTGAATATGTAACTAAATAAAATGCCTACCAGTATCACCAATTCCCTCCTTCATTACTACTCCTTTAGGCTGTATCTTTACCCTTCTAGGGGACACACCTCTAAAAGGTCACAGTATCCAATCACCAGCGTTATTAATTTGTTGTCTATATTTTATTTTATTATATAAGCTAATGCATGTTAAATGCACAAAATTATTAAAATACAAAAAGTACAGAAGTAAAAAATTTATAATACCACCCAGAAATAAATGCTATTTAACATTTTGTTATATAGTCTTCCAAAGAGTTTTCTATACCTATTATAATATATTCATACTTGCTTTTAAAATATGAAATTTTATATTTATCAATAATTTTTCCCTACTTCATTTCTTCATAGTAACAGCTTTATTGAGATAGTTTTCATACACCATACATTTTAATGTATACAATTTCAATGATTTTTAATATATTAACAGAATATTGCATAGATCACTACTATTTAATTTTAGACCATTTTCATTATGCCTAAGAACCCACAAATAAACTGTTCTCTACCCAGGAGCATTTACTCTATTTTTCCTTACCCAGGCCCCTAGCAACAAGTCATCAATTTAAATTTTCTATCAACTTCACCATTCTTCATATTTCATACAAACATGTATAAGCTTTTTGTATATGGCTTCTTTCATATACCATGTTGTCAAAGTTTAGCCATGATGTAGCACATAGAACGTGACACCCCTTTTTACAGCATATATTTACACACACACACACACACACACACACATTTTGCTTACCCATTCATCAGCTGATGAACATTTGCTTTGTTTCCACTTTTTGACTACTATAAATAATGCTGCTATAAATGACTGTGGATGAGTCTTTGTATAGACATATATCTAGAATGCCTACAGGAGCTCAGTACTGTAGATAAGTAAAGAGAGCCAGGGGACAAGGCAATAGTAGAGATGGAAAAGTCAGTAAGCTCAGTCTTTCAACATACACAGCTCTTTCTTCATCTGTCTTTTAATACTGAGATGGAATTCACATACCTCAAAATTCACCCTTTATTTAAAGGGATTTATAACAAGTAAGTTTGACAATCATCAACATTATCTAATTCCAGAACATTTTTATCATACCCAAAAGAAACTCTGTACTCATTGCTGTTATATCAAAATCTCCCCCCGCTCCTAGTCTTGGGACCCAAGTGAGACCTACCTATCTACTTCTTGTCTCTACAAAATTGCCTACTCTGGACATTTAATATAAATGAAATCATACAAAATGTGGCATTTGGAACTGGCTTCTTTGACTCAGCAAAACATTTCCATGTTATAGCATAAATCAATACTTCATTCCATTTTATGACTAAATAATTTTCCATTGTATGAATATACCATGTTTTGTTTATCCATACATCACCTGATGGACATGCTGGTTTCCATCTTTTGGCTAATATTAATAATGTTGCTTAAGAACATTTGCGTATAGATTTTTCTGTTTTGAGTTAGGTATACCTAGGAGTGGAACAGTGGGGCCATAAAGTTAACTCCATATTCAGCATTTTGAGAGACCGCCAAACTGTTTTCCAAAGTTGCTACACTATTTTACATTCCTATCAGCAATATATAAAGCATCAAATTTCTGCAAAACCTCATCAACACGCATTATATTTTTTGCCTATAGACATTGTAGTGGATGTGAAATTCTATCTGTGGTTTGAATTTGGGTTTCCTAAGCAACTAATTATGCTAAGCATCTTTTCATGAGCTTACTATTATGGATCCTATTTGAAGAAACATCTACTCAAATCTTTTGTCTGCTTTTTTAATGGGTCATTTGTATTTTTACTATTGAGTTGTAAAAGTTTTTTTTTATATATTCTAGGGAACATATCCTTACCAGATATGTGACTTATATTTCTCCTGGATGATTTTATATCTAGTTGTCCTATCCATATTGAAAGTGGGTCTTCCACTATTAACCAATTATGATTAAATTGCCTTCTTTTATTCAATTCTGTCAGTTTTTGCTTTATGTACTCTGGGGCTATATTGTTAGATGCATATATTTCATGATTATGTCTTATTGATACACTGATGCTTTTATCATTATAAAATATCCTTATTTTTCTCTAGGATCAATTTTTATCTTAAATTTATTTTATCAGACATTAATATAGACACTTCACCTCTCTTTTAAGTACTATTTGCATGATGTATCTTTTTCAATTCTTACTTTCAACCTACTCGTGCCTTCTAAATCTAAGATGTGTCTCTTGTACACAGCATATAATTGAAGGTTTTTTCATCATTTCTACCAACTCTGCCTTTTGATTATATTTAGTGTGATCACACATAAGGTATGATTTACATCTGACATTTTGCTTATTTTCTGTGTCTTATTTGTTTTTGTTCTTCTATTTTTCCATTATTACCTTCTTTTGCAGTAAATAGACATTTTCTAGCATAACATTTGTTTTTTATGGTTTTTAATTTTACTGAAAGTTTTTAAGTTATTTTAAGTAACTGCCCTGAGAAATACAATTAACATCTTAAAACAACCAGATTAAAAACCAATTTAATATTGATACAGAAAAATTTTGCTCCAATGTTTACTCCTCTGTTTAACTATCATCATACAGTATTGGGCGTATATAGCTGTGTTATAAATTCATTGACCTAGGCTTATAATTATCTCTTTATGAAACTGTCTTTTAAAAGCATATAGCAAATTTAAAAAAATAGAAACAAAAACACATAAGACAAAGACAAAGCAAAATGTCAGATGTAAATCATACCTTATATGTAATTCATACTTTCTTTATATTTACTTCTGTTTACCTTTACTATTTACCTTTATTTCTTCATAAGAATTCAAGTTACTATCTCATGTCCTTCCATTTCAGTACCAAGGACTCCTTTTAGTATTTCTTGTAGGGAAAATATGCTAGCAATAAATTTCTTGTTTTCAATTTATCTTGAAGTATCTTCATTTCTCCTTTGTTTCTGAAGGACAACTTTACTAGATATTTATTACTAACTGACAGTCTTCCTTTTAACATTCTAAATATGTCATCCACATTCACTGACTTCTGGCCTTTGTCACTTCTGTGAAAAATCATTTGTTAATCTTTTGGAGGCAATGAGACACTTTTCTCTTACTGCTTTCAAGATTCTTTGTCTTTCAAATAGGTGCTTATGATGTGTCCGGATAGTAGATCTCCTTTCATTTTATCCTACTTGAAGTTCACTGAATTATTAGATATACACATTCATGTTTTCTATCAGATTTGGGGAGTTTTCAGCTAGTACTTCAAATATAGTCAGTAAAAACAGACAATTTGACCATAACAGTGGGAGACTTTAATACCTGACTTCGGATAGAACACGTAGGCATAAAATGAACAAGGAAACAGAAGACTTAAACAACACTACAAACCAATCTGATCTAACAGATATCAACAGAATAGTCTGTATCCATGGGTTCTACATTTGTGGATCCAACTGATCATAATAAAAATTATTCAGGAAAAAAATAACCTATGTCTACATTGAGCATATACATTTTTTCTTGTCATTATTTCCTAAACAATATAGAATCTACTTATTATATAGCCTATACATCATATTAGATATAAGTAAATCTAGAGATGATTTACGATATATAGGAGGACATGACAATGTATATGCAAATCCTATGCCATTTTATATAAATGACTTGAGCATCTGCAGCCTTTGGTATCCACAGAAGGTCCAGAAACTAATCCCCCCCAGAGACCAAGCGACAACTGTTAACTATGTACACACTGGAATGACTGATGGTGCTCTACAAGTTTTTAAGGCTCTGTTCATTTGTCCTTTTCTTTGTAACTCTGGCTGGACAATGTCAATTGTTTTATCTTCAAATGCTCTGAATTTTTTTCTCTTGTCAGATGAAATCCATGGTAGAGCCTGCCCAATGAAGTTTCTATTTTATTTATTATACTTTTCAACTCCAGAATTTATACTTGGTTACTTACCATTTCTTTTTATTGATACTATCTTTTGGCAAGATATTGTTTTCATATTCTCCTTTTTTATTTTCCAACTTTACTCCTTACAATGCTGAAAATGAAACTCAGGGCCCAGTGCGTGGTAAGCAAGTGCTCTAGTACATGCT